AAACCAAGTTTTGACAACGTCGAAATAATTAAATTACAATTAGTATGATAGTGCAGTTAGAATAAAGTTTACAATACCGTACTATTGTTTAGGTATGTCCTATGTTGGTTACATGTATACTGAACACTTAGGAATACAGCATTGGTATTACCTTACTTTTAAATACGTTATAATATGCCAAATTTGCCGATAACGACATACATGTTCAATAATGTCCGTTTTCAATGCCGCTCTTTACGCCGTAAGTGTTTCTGAGATGTGTGATCTCCAGAGATAAGAAGAGAGAGAAATGCTGGACTAATTTCGATGGCATACGGCTTATCTGCGTAGAAAAATGTAAAAAAAATGACGTTGCGAGGTTTGTTTAGAATCAGTCATAAATACACAAGGTAACCACATTTTGGAATATTCACCTGTTCTGAAATATTCTTGGTATACTCGGCCCTACGCGTGTGTTAATTTGTTGTCTCTTCATCACAAATTAAATTAGCAACTCCGAACACTGACCAATGAACTCGATAATTAAAGGATGTTGGTAAGCCTAAAAGCAATTTTTAAAGACCGATCGTGCCATGATAATACTGTAACGTGATTATGCCCAAGCAATATCATAATTTTTATCTGATATGCCGCGTTGTATCAAAGGATATATCTTTTGCTCGGGCTGATAACTACGTTTAAGCTCTTCTAAAGCACGAACATGTTTAATTCGTTATATTTGCGGTTGAGAGAGTCAACTTTGGAGGATATGACAAACCTTTGAAATACATACTCAATGACATTCTTGAATAGCGAATTTGATTAAAATGGGTGAAACTATGCAAAGCCTATCGCGCGCATGTCTCAACTCAACATAGCTTCGCGAAGCACATCAATCCTTTTCTTGCGTCACTGTCACAATGAAAATGGCAAAAGATTTCAATTTAGATAAAGAGAATTAAGCTATTGAGGGTGGCCAGTGAAAAAGAGAGATGCACAGTTAAAATGAAACCAGCGCCAAGATGGACTTGATAAACAGAACCTGTAAATTCAGCAACAACAACTGTGGAAATTTTTCTCCCGAAAAAGCTTACGAAAAGTAGGAGAGGTCATCGCTGCACAACATCCATGCTAGCACGGCAGCCTTTACCAGGCTCTCCACGGAGTAGGGTGAGATGACGAGCGAGCGACGCGTGGTGATTTTCGGGAAATCAGCTTTTCTAATCTCCCGCCTTATAATGATTTTCACCAACACGCCCTTCGCTTGTCTCCACTAGAGCCTGGCGGTAGACTAGTAAGTGATCAACATTCAAATGTGTTTTTTTGGCACTAACAAATACATCCATGGAGTCATATACCAGTAGCAGTGACTGAGACGAACAATACTCATCCTTCCTTCACAAAACAGCAGCTTTAGGAGACCAGAAGGCACTGGCAGTGGATGACTCCAGCTCGTTTAGTGCACACTGACTTCAGCCGGCTGACCTTGGCCAATCGCATGAAAAACTTCATTCAAGTCTGTCCTTAAGGGCGAAAATTCAAGAATATATCCATGGGGAAAACGCTGGACTTGAAATGGTGGTCGTTTTAGATATGAAATCTTGCCTCCTTTGCAGGCGATGTTAGTTCGTGTCACGCAAGTCGTTCACTCCTTCACCAACGCTTTCTGGTACTGAAGCGAACGTCCAGCGAGACAACAACAAACAACGTCCGCGATGGAGACTGTGTAACAGAGGGTAGCGTTGCGTGGCATCCTGAAGTGTTTTGAAGCTTAGAGAAGATTATCCACTAGTTTTCTATGGGGCCTTAAGCGCGACGAAGATTTCATTCTCAGAAACAGAACAAATGCTGGTATTTCATTTAAAGTAAAATCAATGCACTAATCGTGTTCAGCTATTTCATTTCACAACTAAACAAAAGATATCTTTAAATCGGACCAATTTTCGCGTCGTCGCCTCCGCCAGTATTTTATGGCCGGATATACCTTAATTATCTTTTAACCGGATGTAAATTGGGCGAGTTTGTCCTACCAGTTATCTGTCTTGAATGCACGGGTGGTATGGTGTTTATGAATACCAGGTCACGACCTTTGACCAATACTCTGAGCCAAAACATCAGCACCACTTGCGAATTCTTATAAGAGGATTTGAGATTTTCCAGGATTTTACGATAAAATTGTTATAATCCTGTTCCTATGCCCCCGTAATGCTAAGGAAAATAAACCGATGCATGAAACTGAAACTAGTGACAAATATTTTCCGAAATTTATTGTGGGCGATGACATCTTGAATGCACATGGAACAAATTCAAGTAACAATGAGTCAAAATTGGTCCAGAACAAATTCCGAGATAAGGATTTCATTGAATACATATTGCTTAAAAATGCAGTGATTTCACTACGTTTAGAGAGTCTTGCTACTTCAAATGCAAAATAAACATTCCTTTGTAAAATCGAATGAGCTCATCTTTTTTAAGTCTGTTTAGGGATGAATGCATGACTTTTTAATCGCCAAAGAATATTCTAATGCACGGGCACAATTCTCAAGTAACGACCATGCAAGCGTGCAAGGCGTAGCTTTAACGACGAAAGCTCTCTGTATCACGACTAAATCCGTCACAAATACCACACTTTGCACTCAAAACCGGCCTCAGAGGATCACGAGAGAAAATGAGCATTTAACAATAAAGATTGCTCGATTTTTACTCGCTAAAGTGGACGAGCAATGCCTAAATGCTTCGCACTCTTGGAGACTAAAAAGACCATAGGACAAAAATATAAATATGATAGATTCAGTTCAAAGTCAGCAGGATTGTAAACACGTACGTACTCCAACACAAATCCTCCCTCTCAATGTTACACGCAGCTAGAGCGCTCATTCATTAAGAGGCTGAACAGTTGATTTTATTCTAGCTAATGCAAAATATTAATTCTGCTTACCTTTGCGCATAAACGCTTGCAGCTTTGTCCTGAAGGACGAACAACGGCCAAGTACGCCTCTTGTAGAGCGGGAAAGCGTATAAATAAAACGAGTTATCGCCGCAGGCGGCAAACTGAAATAGAACTCGTGTTGACGTCAATGTTATTTTCCCGGATATTCCGAGAATGATGAATTAGTCCCTTTCCCGTCGGCACGCCCAACAACACAAAAGTAAACTTCTATTATCTCTGCGGTCAAGCTGATTAATTAGTACGGCCTTCTGCTTCCCGACTGATTCAAGCTTACGAAGCAGACAGAATGGATTCTTAAAACTATGGAATTTCCGCGGTCGCAAAAGACATTTGTTCCATAACCATCAAACACATCAATGGCTTTTTTTTTCATTTTCTTTTAAGTAATTTCCACCGTGTTACCGTGTTGCCGTTGGCAAAATCTACTTTGCCTGCATCTCTGCAAAAATCTCCTTTGGAAAATGGAGCGGATGAAAAGATGTATGTCAAATTTCCGTGATAAAGACTCGTAAAATTTGCGAAATTACTTTTGAGGATTGTTAATTTGTGTTTACAAAGCAGGGGTAATATTTATCCAAGCACTTGACATTTTTTGAGTTGGCTAGGTAAGTAACGGTGATCGATAGGCGTTAAGACATCGTAAGAGGATTGAAACGGCCAGCTTGGAGACTAATCCGAGGCTAAGGTAAATAAGAAATGCATATTAATCCACCCTCTGGACAGCTATTGAGTTTCTATACATTTGTTTGGGGTTGCTTGCTTTCAGTAATCACGAGAAAGTCAAGCGACCCAAAGTCACAATTCAGTCCACCAGTTACAATGGGTATGGACCGCTGCGTTTGAGTAGAGTGAGTCTCTTCACTGGTATGAAAATAAAAGAGGATCAGTGAACTATATGTTCAAAGTTCGTTTAGGTAAAAAAGCATTGGCTCCCATAAGAGAATAAGATATCTCTCAGTTTCGAGGAATTTGAAATCGAGGAAAATCCGCTAAAATCCGCAAAAGATTAAAAGAGCCAATTTTTTATAATAGCACCAGATACCACTAGACAAATCTTCGCTTGCATGTGGTCCATTATCAAAATTCATTCTGAGTTTGCAATGAAGTTGTTCTTTCTCGCAAATGAATTTCATTGTATTTGACTTTCTCTGCGAAGCGTTACCCCGTCTGGATATCCCATAAGCCATCGCGAACCCCGCGATGAACCAGTTGCGCGCGCCTTTACTGACCAAGAGAAACGTCAATGTTTTTCAGTTAGAGGCTCAGCGAAGAGATATATTTCAAATTCCTCCGAACTAAGAGAACTAATCTTGCTCGATCACTTATAGGCAGCTATTATTTTGTTATCTAAACAAACTTTGAATATACAGGTAATTTAGTGTTAACAACTGAGTTGAAAACGTAAATTGACCACCGTTAAGAGTTTATGGCTGACGTTTCGAGCGTTAGCTCATCGTTAGAGCGATTGGAGGAATTGTGAGTTGTGTGTGGGTTTATATGCAGAAAATGGAGCTCTACTACTGGTGGGAATATAGTGACGAGAAAACAAGAATAAATCAGTTAAATGACAAGCGCTCGTCGATACCGTGGGAATTAAGAGTGCCGATTTGGAAGATAAATTTTTGTTCTAGTTTTTCGTTGTTTTCCAAACTGCTTAGATGTAGGGAAAGACCGCAAACTGCCATATGTTGTTAACACTAAATTACCCTGTTATACTCTCTCACCGACGCACTACCACAGTTTCTTTAGAAACTTACCCCCTTTATTCAATTGAATATATAGGTCGCCCAACACAAAATAAAAGTAGTTAAGAGATCGCATGAGCGAAAGCGGACGCGATCTCTTAACTACGTTTATTTTTGTGTCTATCTAAATGATGACTCACACCTCTACGAATAGAAAAATTATTCGTCGTCGTTGTTAATGACCTTCATGTCTTGCTTTGCGATACGCAGCGCGCACGGCGATGAACAGTTTGCGCGCGTGACCATTATGACGAAACTAAATACGTCATAAGAGAAACTGTGTAAACGCTCTTGTTATGGACTAGAAAGCTTGAACATCTTGCGATATGTCTAAAGAAAACAAAATGGGGAAAGAGAAATCGTTTGGCATACTGGACGCAGATTTTACCCTTCGCAAGTCAATTGAGGTAAATCTTTCTAAGGGGCTGTTAGCACGCACACTCCATGGTTTTTACGTTCAGTTCAACTTTCAGTTCAGTTAAACAGTTCAACTGACTAAGTTTCTTCGTTGCTGAATTAAACTTATTTATGGGCTTCATTGATAAAAAATATTAACCTAGAACTGCCAAAAGAATAAATATCGCACTTACAATTCATTATTTTATGTTATCCTTTTGTTAGGAGTATCGCTCGAAACTAAGTCAAGCATTCAGGTAAGTGAAGGAAAAATCCAATTCGTTATTAAAAGCCGAACACATATGGGGAGATTATATTCCTATATTCCTATACTTAATAAGAAGTTCTGAAATGGGAATGAGCGAGTACTATGATGTGTTTACTGTATTAACTTCTACAAATCGCATATTAGTTGGGAACATCCATAACTGTTGCGCGAATTCTTCAACCTTGCCATTTGCTAGTAGTAGTCCCCGAACCATGACATTAAAGGAACCCGCAAAACACTATGATTTCCTGAACAGGAGAGGAAAGACAGGAACTCGAACTATCAGGTCTCCTACATCTGAGGAACTGGAAAACTAAGCTACTTGTCATAGTTCCCTGTCTTTCCGATGTAGGAATGAAAAATTCCCTTCGACTTCATATCTTACCCATTGCAGTTGACTGGTCTGTGTTTCTCATCGGCTGAGTTTTTAAAGTTAAAGTACTCTGCAACCTACTGTGTAACAGTACTTCTCCTGCATGTCTCGTTCAGCACTGGTTTCCCCGACGTTTCTTCAAGTTTCCTCAACAGGCCAGTCATAGTTTTGGTCGGAGAGAACAGGCCAAGGGCGTATCTTAGTAGGGGGAGGGGGCTGGGGCGCCCGTGACCCTTCCGTTTGTGAAGCATTCAGCCCCTAAAATTCAAGAGGGCGAAACACACAAATCCAAAAACTTTTCAGAGCGTAAATCTTTTCCACTGCCTTTCGCCGAAAGAAAACAAGCCTGCTAGGTAAAGCTGAGGAAAATCCTTCTTTACGCGTAAGGCGCGCGAAACTCGTAACCGTGTCCCCTTTTTTGAAAAACTTCTCAACAAAGCTACACCCTAAGGGAACTTTCTGAGAGTAAAGTGGCTTGCCTACGAAAACAAAACAGTGATTCAGCTGGGGCCCGAGTCCAAACGACTCACAACATCCCTAGTCCGTCACAATCTCCACTAGGCTGGGGCGTCTCCCACAACAGCTTATTAATACTTTTAAAATAATATTATTATTAAATATTAAAGAGACCTTTCTTTCCTTCTGTAGTAGCTCTGACAGTATAGCTGGAGAAAGCACTATGAGTAAACCGAAGTCGTTCGAAATAGGAAAAGCTCATTTTACTCTCGACAAACCGATTGAGGTATGCCTTCATTATTATTCGAAGCAGTTCTTTGGTTGTTCTTCCTTGGATTATACTTCAACTTCTTCTTCTAGTATATCTGGAGAACTTTATGTCGCATGATGTTAATTTTTGTCTTTTATTTTCCCTTAGCGATTTACCTCAATTCAAAGCCAAATCTCTAGGTGAGTCATAATAATATATAGATTTAACCAAGCCTAAAAGCGGAGCTCACATTTTTTTCTTCCCATACGTCTCAAGGGCACAACGCCTTGCCCCGGCCAGGACTAGAACCCGACTCGGAGCCCAGTGCACGGACCACTGGACTACTGAACAAAGCCGTGGCGTTGGCGTGCCCGCGGTACAGTTGACCACGCATGTTAAAAGTAGCACCTTGTAAGGTCGTACGGTCGCACGGTCGTATGGTCGTACATCCAAATTTTTTCGGCTTGATGGGTTACTACTATTTTGTATAATTATGGGGCTACGCTCTGCGAGCTCCGCTATAATTCAAAGTTTATAAATACCATAATATATATAATAATTATAGGTACTACTGATGGTAATTGACATAAAATTTAAACTGTACATCCGTGCTCCCCTCTGTTAGTAAAGATCTACTCGTGTTCTATCACAAATGCTGCAGTCTCATTGGCTGGACTACTCGTTATCTAGTCCTTAATAGCCAGTGAGTTAGGTGACTAGCATGTGAGTGTGAATCATTTTTAAACACGAGTCTGTATATTTGTCAAGTTCTCAGCAAAAATTAAGTTTATATTAAAACCAAAATAATATATTCGTTAAAATGTTGGCTCATTTAGAGTGCCCTTTTCCGTAATGGCTTCCTGACAAATTTTCTTGGTTTCGTCTATTGATGTGGAAATTGTTGCCGAAGAGTCCAAAGAAATTCAGATGCAGGGAAAAATTTTCCATTCAAGAGCAAGAGTTTAAAATCTTCCCAGTTATTATCTTTTCCTTAAATATCCTGCAATAAATTAATTCCAGGCACATCTTTGAATAAACCCGCTGACTACTTTCCTTTGTGGGCAACCATAATCGGTTAACTATTTATTCTTCTCTTGATATCATACATTGTAGCACTGGAGTTGAAGCTAAAGGAGGCGGTAGGCTAAGAGCGGAACCACTGGACCTAGGCGCAGCACATTTCTCTCTTGACAAACCGATTGAGGTATGCCATTATTGTAGCTAATTGAGATTATTCAGTTGAAGCCTTTGCACAGCCTTTCCAAGTGTATGTCACGCATTGTGATACAGTTACCGTAGAGCACCGTCGCGTTTCATCTCGACCTATAGAACGGTTGCCAAGTAGCCTTCAGAACAGGTGTAAACATTTTAGCTTTTCTCAGGCGAACGGAGGCAAGCACCAGGCAAGCGCAAGTCGCGTTAAGAGAGGAGCGAAAAAAAAATTCATTTTTTTTTCACCCTTCTCTCCTCGGGCGTAACTTGCATTCTGCGCTCGCTTTGTGCTTGCCTCCGCAACTACTCGACAACTACATGTACTCGGCGAGTAGTCGAGTACATGTAGTTGGGGTACAATGGCCCCTAGTTTTATAGCAGGGTAAGAAACAAATCAAAACAGAAAACCTGCTAACTGTGTATAAAGTATTTCACAGTTCCACGCAGGAAGAACCTAAGTTAATCCTTGGGTAGTAAAATCATGATTTCATGATCTGACGTCAATCAACACAGTAGAGTCAATCTTCTGTAAATCGCCCATTTTACAACTCTAGGCACTTCAGGTAAAATAGCTAATCAAGTACAATTTAGTGTTTAAATCAAATTCTTGTGTTTACTTTCTTGTAGAAGTTTGATTCCAACTACTTCCAAGCCTCTGGGTGAGCTAGAATGTAATTCAAAGTTTAAACAATGTTTGAGAGCTGTTTGACCCGATGTCACTAATGTGGAGAGACAGTCATATCTCTTCTGACTTGTTTTTAGACAACGATTGTGGGAAAAAATTGAGCACTACTACATAGTCAGGAAAAAACAAAGGTTTCCATGAGGGCCGGTTATCGACAATCTATCACTGCCCAGAAGTCTCTTTTAGCAATGTCCGTGAAGCTTGCGAGGTGGCTCTTGTGGTTTGGTTTTTCCTTCAGGCCCCTTTTCCGGGCACAGCGCCTCTTACACAGTCGGAAATCGCTTATAGAAAAAGTCACTGAAACCCTTGAGTAAAAAACCTTTGGTTATGTGCACTTACATTTGAAAGGAGATTTGCGTAGGGACCTGGGGACCGCACTCATTTAGGCCTGAGCCTGATAAGTGCGACTTGGACGCCATGTTATGCTTTACTCTGTCGATTATAGAGGCTTCGTAACTCTTGAACAGCAGATATTGAAAGAGATGGAAGGTGGACGTATCTACAAACGTTGTTCTTCGTCTGTTGCAGGTCTTCACAAGCAATACTCTCATATTCGTCAGATGAATTGATGATAAGAAGACTTTCATGGATACATGAAGAAGACAACCGTGAGGAAGACTCCTCTTCTTTTAGTGGACTAGGTATGTATCAACAGGCTGGCATGTTTGGCTTAAGGTAATTCCCCAGTATTGCACTGCGCATCCTGTACTACGCATTAAAATCACGTAATCCGACGAATAAGCGTGCGCGCATTCTGAGAACACGGTATTGTCTTCAAACAATGGACCAAGTAAAGAGATACGATGGTCTTTAGCTCGTGAACGAGCACGGTGACCTTTATTTTTCATTGCATAATTTTGGTGTACAAATTATCTCTTTCAACTTAACGAAATTAAAAAATACATGGAAGGGCAAAAAATATGGCCAAAGGCGAGGCTGGACACTCAAGTATTTAAATTATGAACCTGGAAGGAACGCCTCGAGGAGCGTTTTGAGTCGATGTCGTTAAAAATTGCGTTTCCCACAAATTAAGTATCAAATTGTTCCATATGCTGAAGACTTCAACCGATAAATTTTTTATCAAGGGTTACCTTGATAAAAAACCTGGCTTCCAGTACACGCATAAAAAAGATAATAACAGACCTCTGTCATGGAGGAAAGTTATACCAAAGGTAAACTCCTCTAAAAGTGAAATCTCGGTTTTTTTTTCAGTTAAAAAAAAAAAAAATTAGATAGCATAACGACCTCTTGACAGTACCGCAATCGTTTTTTTTTCTCTTTAATTGCTTAGACTTGTTTTCCCCTCAACTCGTACAACCTACAAGAAATAGACCACCTCCCTCTAGAATACACCGTCCAGCAAAACAAGTAACAGCAACCACAAGCACGGAAGAAATTACGACACAATTTAGTGGCTTAGAAGCTCGTGAGACAGCTGATGTAGGAAAGAAGCCGCTAAGGAATAGTAACACCAACTGCCAGTGACAATGTTAAACAATCACCAAGTACCTGTATTTTTTTTTTAACTTACATGGGTTTTTAACTTGTACACACCACAGAACAAGTGATTTATGTAAAATCATTATGTATATGAACACAAGCACTATCTTTTGGTTTAGTAAATGTAAGGAATTTTTGAAACGTCCTCGACTCTTCAATTGTGTTTCACGAAAAAAAAAAACCAAACAAAACAAAACAAAACATGCAAGCACACAAATAAATAAGGAAAAAACCCACCGAATAAATACGGCAAAAGACTTATAAAGTACAGTTTTTGCACTACTGTTTTTAAGTTTCAGTGTAAACAAGTTTTATTACTTCAATTCTACGATTACAGCATTCTCTAAAAATTAGAATTGTCTACTTCAATTTTATCCACACTCAAATTAACTTTTACTGACTCAACTTGCAATTATTTGATTGCACTTGTGCATCACGATGAAGTGAACACGTCTCTAAGGAGTTCTGATACATCTTTGGCAAATTTTGTATCATCTGCGAAAAAAAAAGAGAAAAACGTTCATGGAAATCCGCAATCGCCTTTCGCATCCATTTTCCACTTAGTATAAGTAATAGCGTGATTTTGAGTGCAATTCGGTGTTAGTAAACACGAGTAATTTTTTCAAAGACAGCGAAAATTTAATGAGCCCGTAGGATGAGTGTAATTTGTAAGTGCAAATTACACGAGAAATCATATCATTACTTATTCATAATTTACTCGAAAAAAACATCACAGAAAGTCAGAACAGACGAAATTTTGACAGCACAAGCGCTATTTGCAATTTACACTCGTGTTACAACTTTGCGCACGTGTTACACGAATAATGCACTCGGTTTCATCTAATCAGAAGCGCGTAATAGCGGAGCTCGCAGAGCGTAGCGCCATAATTATACAAAATAGTAGTAACCCATCAAACCGAAAAAATTTGGATGTACGACCGTACGACCAACCGTACAAGGTGCTACTTTTAGCATGCGCGGCCAACTGTACCACGGGCACTATCTTATAATCAGTCCTCTACACGGACACGGAGGAGTTGCGAATGAAAATCAATTAATATTACCACGCACTTTATCCATGGTAGGGGCTTTAGTTTTGTTGAAGAGACGTGCGGGAAAAAAAATGCAAGCTCTGCTTTTGGACTTGCCTAAATCTGTATATTATTTCATGTACATTAGTAATCAAGATAATGAAGATTTCCACCATACAACCAGTTTGCCTCCCGTCAACTGGGTTTTTTTCAATTTAAGCTCTGTTTATTTCACTTCTGTTTGTATTTGCGACGTCCACATGTAGAACAGAGGTTCTCAGTTCGTCATAACAAATCTTTTTTTCTTTTTCCTTGTATTTCTATAGTTTTGTTTTACTTATCTATTTTTCAAATCGTTTATGATAATGACAGAGGGATGGGCTACGGATTATGCTTCATTTCCTGACCCTGAACAAACAAACGAACCCAAAAACAAGCCACAAAAATGAGAAAAAATATTTAGGAAGCAAGACCCAAGAGGAAACGCCAAAGATTGCAGAACAGTATTAAGAAAAGATCAAACGAAGCGACAGGACGTGGAACTGTACGTAAGAAAGCGTCAGAGGTAAGTGATGGAAAAACAAACAAATGAAGGTGTAAATCACCAACTCACCACTATCTGCTAAAGCCATATCTTGTTCTAGTCGAAGTTTGGTCTGCGCACAGTGGAGAATCGCTTCCTCCACAGTGTCTTTACCAATCAGCCGATACACTGTCACCGATCTGTGAGGAGAATGTCGAAAATAAATCACACGAATCATGGCAGCGGAATGTTAATGGCCAACTAATTTTGCAGCGCAAAAAGTCGTCATGAATACTCATTTGGTTCATTTTAGGGTATTATCAACAGAGTCGATATCGTAAAGACCACCATAAAGAGTTTTAAAGCTGACATTTCGAGCGTTAGCCCCTCGTCAGAGCAAATGTAGGAGTTGTGGGTTGTACGTGTGTTTATATGCAGAAAATGGAGCTATGCTGTTGGTGTAAATATGGTGACTTATTTTTTTGGTTCATTTTACGTCGATTAAATGTTACATAAGCTTCGTTAGTTAATTGGCCATTTTATTTAAATTTGTTTTTAGACTTTCATGACAAGAAAAAAACGCACTATAAAATTTACTGTCATTGTGTTTAGAGACCAGTCATCATTTATCGCTAGGAGAGGGATGAAGGATTTTTTTTTCAGGGGTGGGGTTGGGGGTCACATGATTTCAGGGGGAACGAAAGGGAATCAGTCATCGACAACAGAGTATAAAGGCAGGACTCTAAAAGAAAATTGACTTCCATTTATGCCAATGGGGGGGGGGGAAAGAGAATCATAAGATTATTATTTATCGTAACACAACACATTTTCTACCTCACCTCGCCCCACCCCCACAGGCAACAAAAAATGGCCGGTCCAAAAGATCGAGAGGACCGACGGTAGAGCGTATCACTTTAACTCTCACCGATATTAGGTACCTGTTACTTTTGTATCACACCTTCTAAGCACGTTACTTTCATTAAAGGGACACAGATTGAAGGGCTTCTTTTTATAGTCCAAAGGGCGCCCCATGAATGAAGGGTCCAAGGAATTACTATATCTGCTATCTTAACGTACCTGGTTTGACCCACCCGATGGCACCGATCCTCCGCTTGTTTGTCATTGTACGGGTTAAAGTCAACGTCGTGCAAGATCACAACATTTGCTGCCGTTAGATTGATACCCAGGCCTCCTACAGATGAAGAAAAGACCTTGCATTATGATCGAAAATATGAAAAGCGGTTTGTTTAAGAGGATATGTCTATAGCCTGTTATAAACGAAGGTTAACTCTGATCTGTCGATTGGTTCATAACTACTGAAGTTTACAGCGGAAAACTGCAACTCCTCCTGGATGGAATGCCTGTCATTCGTGTAGTCTCCATCCTAATTCGCCAAACAGTTTTGCTGAAAAGAGATCATGATATGACCTCAACGTCTGACGCTGCCGACCATTCATGTTCTTTAATGGAATAGAGGAAGTGTAAGAGTGAAGCGTCTTTCCCAGGAACATAGGGAACACATAGGTCAACAACCCGGGTACCTCATGAACCCGAAATCACGCTTATTATCAGGCCGCCATATCATTTTAACTCGAAAGGGAAAAATCAATACTGAAAACTTAAAACTTTCCACTAGGCTCATCGCAGATTCGAACAGGAAATGAAAGACAAACCTGCTTTGGTCGAAAGAAGAAAGACAAAGATATCCGGATCACCATTAAACTTGTCAATTAGGTTTTGCCTGTAGAAAGAAAACACAGGTGCATTGATTTACAATCGGATAAACTCGCAAGGAATGGAAAAATTGTAGGTCACATGATCTTGTCAAATCAGTAAATTAAGTGATTGTGTGACACGTTGCAATCGATTTCAAATCAAGAAATGAAGCAAACATAACATGCTTGGGCACTGGGATTATTCATAGTGAAGAGATCTGAAAAAAGAAAAAAAAAAAAAAGAAGGCGGCTGCTATTAAGGCTGCTTTTGCAATTTAGGTGGTATGGCGTCAGCTTTTTTTTATCGCCCCAACAGTAGTCTCCTTAGCGGCCGCTCTTTGGGCCTGTCCCTGAACGTTTTCTCCAAAAGAACCTTCCGCTAAGGAAGCAATGAGGTTAAAAAAACAACAACAACAAAAACACGGCTTTGAAGGGGGCTACCAGCTAAAGGCTGGACAGAAGATTACCTATCTACTACAGCCGTCTGTCCATCCAGTCTCAAGTAACGATGACGTCTGTCCGACAAATAGACCTCGATGATATCCATCACCATGGTAAACTGACTAAACAGCAACACACGGCAATTCTAGAAACACCAAAAGAACAAAACTGAACCAAAGAAGTCAAGGTTTGCTTAAACTAAACCTATAACAATTGCGTAATTCTTCACCGACACCCCATACAAGCAGCGGAGCTTCGAGCTTTTCCTCTCATTTTTCGCCCCAAATCTCTCGCGGCATTGCAGCTTATTCATGCAACCCTAACGCATAAAAGAGCACCAAAAACAGCTTGGTAGACGGGCTAGGAGCGAAGTGGTGTGTATCCCACAAAGCAAGCGAAAAAAAAAACAAAAAAAAAACCCTTCTTGAGCCGCGCTTACGGTAAACAACACGATTTACTTCTGATTTTGCTCATCAATCCTCGTACACCCAACGGAAAATAGAAGAATATCTCCTTTTCACACAAAATTCTGACACGCAAATTGCAAAAGTCAGTTACTGTCGCTTGTCGGTCGTGTAAGTTCACTAACGTTATTTCGCGCGCCCTTGAAAGTAGTTAGTGCCCAAGAAGCTAAAAAGAGACCGTGGAAACCGACAGAGTATACGTGTACTTAGAATTCCGGTCGATCACATATACGTTTGCACGACGTTATATTCGAATACTTGACTAATTACATATAGCAGACAAATACAAACCTTTTCCTTTAATCCGGGTAATAGTGTATCTAAGTACTCAAATTTTCCTGATTTCATCAAAATTTCTTTATTAAGACAATGATCCGCCAAACTCTATAACGTTGAGCACAAATCAAATCAAATACACAAACCAAAAATCGAAATAACAAAACAAATACAAAAGAAAAAAAAAAGCTGCAATCAGGCGACCAACATAGACTAACTCATCATCTGTATGCGATAACCTGATATAACACCAAATTCTTTCAGTTCACGATTTACGCGAGCCATGGCGATTATCATTTGCATTATTTTTGCACCCGACAAACTAGAAGGGAGAATTTCTGAAATTAATAAAAAAAATTGGGAATTACATAGTGAAAGTTCTTTGGATCACATTACATGATCCAGAAGATCATCGTCTTCACCATAATTCTATCGGTCTCGCAAAATACCTTTTGTGACGCTGCAAAGAAACGCCCATGTACCATGCCATACATTGAAAGGATACAATTAGAAAGACGCAATTGCCTTTTCTTTTTGTAAAACAATTATCAAGAGAAGTGTTCTCTTGCATTGTACCTGTTCCTCTCGACAGAGACAATGTAGTTCAAAGTCAGACATCACTGTCATATCCTCGAAAACCAGATCCGGCTCAGAATCGCGGTGCACGGGGTCCTGGGAAATAATTAGATATTTTTCTTATCGGTTTAAAATAGTGATTGCACACTTTCGCAGACTGTAGCATTAACATCGTATCAATCCATGTACCACTTGATTTAGCAAACTAGAAAAATCTTTCGATTCTTAAAAATTTGTTTTCAACTTCAAAAAAAAGGGCTGTAACGTCAATGCGACAAACAGCGTCCTCGTCATCGTCATTAACCACTTAACGGATTGTTTTTTAAGTTTAAAAAAAAGTCCAAACCTTGCAGTATTTCTTTGCCATCTTCAGTAGTATGCTATCGTTGAAGTGATTACGTAGTAGAAGAGGATGATTGGCGGCCTTCCGAAGTAACATCAAAATATTGCTGTATTGTGAGCCGCCATCTGATGAGGAGAAAGAAAACATTGACCCTTTACATCTTAACATTAGTGTGCATTATCTCCATACTGTTCCCCACATATTTCTTAAGGTACTGACAAGGAGAATTTGTTTAACAATCAAGAGCTTCTTTAGTTGGTGATCAGTTCCTTTGTTCTCATGACCTTAATGTTTGATCCAGGGTTAATATTGAAAGGAGAAAATGGATCCTGCTCACTCTTAGCGCTAAAAAAATTTGTTTACCACACAAGTTAGGTTAATCATGTAGATGTTTTCTTCTTCATTATTCATAAAACGCCATGGCTTCAAATGTAACTCGATACTATTTATTCGCAAGTTTAGTTTGGTCGCATTCACATGAAAGTCAAACAGTAATAGTTCAAGGGCTTTAAAACCAAGGAACAGTTCCCTAGTCGCTATTACGTGGTTGGATATGATCAGGCGAAAAAAGTTGAAGGCTATGGTCATGTAAGCCTTTTCGCCCCCAGAAGCTAAACAAGAAATCGAAAACGGGTTCGTCCACTGTTTTTCTGTTCAGGGCTGTTCCTAAAGGAGAAGATAAGGCTTTGCAGAGGATAGCCTATATGTTAGCAAATATCTTTTGTACAACAGTTGTGCAGGTTGATGACGCTACCGACCCTTTAAAACACATAAGGCCTGCTCTTTGCAAGTCGTACTGACAAGCAGCACATAACTGTTTCAATTTTCGCACAATTTACTTGGAATTTCGTGAAGTTTCCGCTTTCGATATCCAATCACAACAGCGTTTTCAACGACTAAAGTTGTAACTTATGAAGCTCTGCGGTGACGTATTGTAGTTTAAATCTCTCCTGACGAAATTTAGGCCATTAAAAATGTACCAACAACCTTACCCGACTCCCTAAATTGTCTTGAACAGTTCACAAAGTTGTCGTTGTACAACTGACGCTGTTCTTCCGTCAAGTCCACCTTGACTACGAGATCGTGTTTGGCAGGAAGCTGTTGTAGAACCTTGAGAAGGACAATTAGTTATCAGAGCACAATTTCTCCTCCGAATGACGATGTAATTCAAGATATTGGGGAGAATAAAAGAAGTGGAAGGACAGAAAGGTCGAAGCAGATCCAAAGAAAAATCTGATTCAAGTCTCAATCTTAAGGCCCTAACCCCCACCCCCCTCCACCGGCGCGACGACAACTTCGACTATTTGTTCTTTCTGAAACGTTTCTACGAGGGTGTTGTCCTTGACACACAGTCGAGGTGTTGACAACAAGGGGAAGAGGCAAGGTGTTACTGTCTCGTTCCAATCCCATCTCAGACTGACACTTTCGCTTCTCGTCTCACAACCTTTGCCTCAAAAAGAGAGAGACAGAAAGCCAGACTGCATATCAGTGTAATGAGACATGAATCATAAAACGGGGCTCAGATTAAGCGCGTATTTAACCAATATAAAAACCAAACAAACAAGAAAACAAAAGTATATTTTTGACGCGTTTTCAATTTCAAGAATACTCACATCTTTCTTGAGCCTTCTTAGTACAAACGGTTTCATGATTCTTTTTGCCTGAGCAACTGTTGCTTTCTCGTAATTGCTCCCTGGTTTATCATTCTGTGAAAAACAGAACTTACACTTGGAAAACTGACGGCAATAAATAAGATCCCGATGGGACACTTTTTGATTAATAATAGTAATGGGACTGAGTGGAGTCCTCAATTTTTTTTTCAGGATAAGTGGTTGTTGCTATGGTTATTGTGATCTACTCTGTGATTGGTGGATTTAGCTGAGTGCACTTAGTATGATTGGCTGCTTCAACTATCCGATGACGGGTGTTCGATTACAGCCATCTGTCCAATTACAACCACACAATGCACCAATCAAATTTAAGGAAATTGTAACGGTTATGATTATGCGCCGCACCACAAAAACCAAAAAAATAATAACGGCTCGTTAGAACAAAGAAAAAGATCACATTGAAAAGAGCTGACCCGAGCATGCGTCTTAACAAAATTGTGAGTCGAGTTGCTAAGCCGTTTGTGCATAGAATTGTTCTAGAATTTTTTCCGCGATGCACGAAATGGTCTGACACCGTCTTTAGTTAAGCCTTTACACCCTACTATCAGTATGCATATTTCCCATACTGTACTCAATACATTTTCTAAGGTGCTCACAGGGAGAATTTGGTTAACAATCAAGAGCCTCATTTGTTGGTGATCATTTCCTTCATTCTTGTGACCTTAATGTGTAATTCAGAATAATATTATGAGGAGAAATTAGATGCTGGCCAATTTTAGAAGTCAAAGGGTTTTCGTACCATTTTGCTGTTAGAAAAGAGCATCTTAATCCCCTGAACACTCTCACCAAACATGCTCGGCATCACAAAACTTAGCAGAGACATCAACTCCAACAAGTTGTTCTGTAGTGGTGTTCCTGTTAGAAGAAGCCGACGACGGGCCTATGCGATAAAAGACACAAAATGTGAAGCGTTACAATGTACATATATACTTTTCTTATGTACATTTTGACCATATATGATCTTGCTCTTCTTCGTGATCCGCGACCACGCGAAACGTGAAGAACTTGATTAAATAACCGCTATTCGTGATTTCAACACTTACTCCCCGTGATTTCAGCTCTCGATTTGTTAGGTTCTGTTTATGAAAGTCAGTGAAGACTATGAAAGCATGAACGCAACCATGGCATCGCTTTTAACTTCAATTTGCACGGTTCTAAATTAAAAAACATCAGACGGCCTCTCTAGGTTGTGCTTCTTGAAAAACCCCTCCAATGGTCTCTTACGCCAAGTACTCCAAGCCTACAGGATGAAATGTTCAGTTACTTTCTTCGTTTTTCGTTTTCTTGGAGAACTGAAACATGGGATCGAGAGATGTGCGTAAGCTCGACCGTTCACATTTGACCGCAAACGTGGTTGATGCAGCACTTTACCACAAAGTAACAGTGTACCCACCTTCATTTTCATAAGTCCCTGGTATCTCTGTGACTGCATGTTTTTCAACATATGCCCCTCGTCCAGTACTACGTAATTACAATTTAGTTTTCTTAAAAAGGAACGATCGTCTTTTGTACCAGTTGCGACTGTGTAGCTACAGAACACCAAACAAAAAAAAAAACATTAATTTCATTCCGATGAATGACAGTGGTATTGGACAGATAGCTGAAGACCAGAGCACAATTGGTTAAATAAAGTGCAAATAACGCTATCCAACAGATAAATCGTTATTAAACGGAAATGAGTCAATAAAATGTTCTGTGCTATTCACTGAAAGAGATTTACCCAGCGGATAGCGCTATCCACCCTTCGATCAAACGGAGCCAGAGTTGTCCAGATATTTTTGAGTATCCAGCACAAATAGACAATAACGGACAAAGGTTAAAAATTAATTCAGATCAAGAGAGATACTTCACTCCTTTGTCCAATTAAAGAAGCCGGCACTTCAGAAGCGAGTTGCGGCGAAAACGCCACGCACCGGCTCTTCTAGAGAACACTACTTTAAACTTACGTCGTAATGAAAACATCAGGTTTTGGTTCTGCTAAATCCACCTCGCATTGCAACTGAAGTCTTTCTGCTTGACTCCCTAATTCATGATGGAATCAAGACCATTACAATAATAATTGTTGTGAATTACACGAGCGCTATTGTTGTAGTTTGAAAGAAAATCTGGCTACTGAACCCCCACATGCCGCTTGCCGGGTTGGCTGAGTCAAGGTAGAGAGGCTGCAAACCCCACGACAACGGTTTTAGAATAAGGTTTCCGTACGGTGTGTGAAAGTTTCCGCAGGGTTCCAAAGGGTCTTCGAAAGCTTCTGAAGGGTCACAAAAGGTGTCGGAAAGTTTCCGATGAGTTTCCCAAAGTTCTTCGAAAGTTTCCGAGAGTTTTCCGAGTTGTCTCTGAAAGTTTCCGAAGGATTCCAAAGGATTTCCGGAAGTTTCTGCGGGGTTTCTAAAGGGTTTTAAGAATGTCTCCCAAGGGTTTTATAAGGTTAGGTCAATCACGATAAAACTCAAAATCAAATGCAAATGAGGAACTTTCCTTAATTCTTACCATAATACAAAAAGAATTCTAATGATGGGCACCATTTCTTGGCTTCTCTGCCCCAATTATCTGCGATCATAAAAAAAGACCAAAAAAAGATCTACTTTTGTCAAAACCACTCAACTTGAAATTAGTTTAAATGCAAATCACATTGTGGCTTTGACACAAAAAAACTCACGGAGTAAAAAAGGCAACAAAAAAACCGATAAGATGTTGTAAATAGAATAAGAGAGATGGTAACTTTTGAGCTCGGTAAAGAAACAGAGAAAGATGTTTTTCGTATTGTTACGAGTGTGGGATAAAGATAAGATAGTTATAAGGTAAGATGTTCGTTACCAAGAGTTGACGCCGGAACAATAATCAAATGAGGGCCTTTCTCTCCAGATTCACACAAATAAGCTAGAAAAGCAATGGCTTGAACTGTCTTTCCGAGACCCTGAAACATGTAAATACTCATGTATCAAACACATGAACTGAAAGCAGACACAGATGTTATTACTGAGCAGCAAACATAACATTTACCATTTCATCCGCTAAAATTCCATTGACTCCCTGTTCGTGCATCAGAACCAGCCAGTTAAGACTTGTCAACTGGTAGGGTTTCAGCTGAAGACTAACAAAAATGAAAATTTCATAAAACGTTGTCATGGATCTCAAATAAGACTGATTAATATTCACAAAAAAATGGGACTTGAGAAGCAAGTCTGGATAAGTGAGGTTTGACTGTATCAATAAACAAAAACAATGGCATAAAAAAGAAAAAAACAACAACCACTGAAACAAAGCTATCAGGCCACATGGTTGGGTTACTAAACGACAGTAGTATATTACATGAACATCTAACAGTATGTGGATATTATTACCTTCTATTTAATATTTTTGGTTGTGATGTTATCACAGCTCCTCTTTTACGATCTGAAGAATCACTCTTGCCAGCCTAAAGATAAAATGTTATTTCAGAAATTATACAAATCAATATTTTGATGCAAATTTATTTAACCCTTTACATCCTAACATCAGTATGCATATTCTCCAAACTGTTTTCCATATATTTCCTAAGGTGCTGGCAAGGAGAATTTGTTTGACAATCAAGCGCCCCTTTAACTGGTGATCATTTCCTTTATTCTCAAGACCTTAACAAGTGATTCAGGGGTGATATTGTAAGGAGAAATTAGATGCTAGGGTTCATCTACAGGTAACTCAAACATGCACAACTTACACTTAATCTTGAGTTAAGCATGTCTTGAATTTTGTTGGAGATGCTCTCACATTTGTTCATCAACTTCTCAACAGCTTTACGCTCTTCAAGCAGGCTTTGACAGTTGTCTATCAACTAAAAGACCAATTAACAATCACTGTCAAACTCGGAATCCCATGAACACCTAAAATATGTGAGACTCCATATTGTTTTTATGTTATAACATATAGCATGAGAGATCAGGACATGTAAAAAAATCACAAAACCCCAAAACCCTAAAGTTAGGACTTCTAGTGTCCAATTGGTGCATTTTCCACAACACAAGAACTTATCAGAAATATTTCTGTCGTGTATGTTTTTTACAACATGACCCAGATATTGATCAACACTAAACCAATGCAATGTCCGCATTGTGTTGTGCACTCTGTATCTCTATGTGGAAATATACTCTGACTTTGAAGTTATTCAGAATACTTAAAATCAAAATAAGAAAAATCACCTCTGAAGATAAGTTCTTTGCAGAGTCCAGTTTGGAAACCTATGGTAAAAATCAAAATTAAGAAAATAACATAGCAAAGAAAGGTGTCATAAAAATGTTATCTTATTTTCCAGCATATCAATTTCCAAAAGTCTTTAAGGAAATGAAACAAAACAATGATTTTCAGTTGGACATCATTTCCATACACAATACGTCTTATGCCTGTTTACATCAAAATATGCATTTTTTCCCCAAGCCTGGCTTTCCAGGTGGAGACTGTTGAATTTTAATCAGAAAGTATTCCAAATAGTGAAATCAAAAGAATATATGTGATAAGAACAAGAAAGTAACAAAGACTAATGGATATTTTAGTACAGATGTCAGGCTTGGGGGTGAGGTTTCATTAAATGACATCATCATACCTAAGACCCATCACTCTGCACTTGGGTTTTATATGACATACATAAGCAAATCAATTATTTTCTTGGAGATAAAAATCTTCTCCAATATATACTGGCATATAGGTGGCAGTAACTGTTTTCTTACAAGATCTCTCCAAGAGTCAAATGGTCTCATTTTGATGATCTTTTCAGCCTTTTTCGAGGACAAACCAGGAACAGATGCCAGTTCTTGAAGAGAACAATCATTGAAAAAGGATAAAATAGTAACTGTCTCCTCTTCACTGAAGCTGTCCTCCTCACTGTTGTCTCCAGCATCAATTTGACTGATATCTATGAAATCTGCAAATATTCAAAGAAGCTTTTAGACTCAATTTGTAACATCTCAAACATAGCTTGAACCTCTGAGCATTTGAAAGGCCAAAATAACTATTAATGGTACAGTCAAATCTTGATTATCAGAATTTTCTATTTTCAGGACTCACTTTTCTGGTCCCATTTTTTCACAAACAGTCAAATTTGAGATCCATGACAATTTTCCCCCATCAAACAAAGCAGATAAACTAAAACAACAATGATGCTATTTCAGTGATTTAGCTTCAAGCAGTAATAGAATTAGTTTGATAGGTTGGCTCATTCAAAAATTCCCCATCCCCCAGCAACAGACAATGCTCAAATGCAGGTAGCTTGTGCAAAGGGTGGGGGGGGGGGGGAGGGGGAGGGAGGGATGTTAAAGCTTTGAATTGATCAGAGAATTATTATAAGTTATCATTGTGATACTTTTTGTGGATAATTCATCAGCTTTATGCAGTACACAGAGAAAACATAACAAACTGTGAAAACACATCATGAGTAATAACAACTTGGATAATCACAACTCACCAGTCAGAACAACATCACTATCTTCAGCTTCATCATCTGTTAAACAAACAACTTCAGGAATTTCTGAGAAGTCAAATTAAAAAGAAAAAAGATAAATTATAATTGATAATGATAATGATTGTTATTATCCCATAAAAAAAGCAGTGCTACTAGACCTAAGTTGTACCAAGCTTGCACAATTTGAAAAGTCTTAAAAATGTTATTAGAAAGAGAAGTGGTGGCCCTAAAGGTTGGGGTAAATGACTCTGCATTGGAGCTGGGGTGGAATCAGTGATTTGGGTTAGAGTGTCAAGTGTTCCTGAGGAAGATAATAAAACCCTCAAAGTCTCTTTACAACCAAGAGTATAAATTTGGTACAGGTGAATTGCACATAGAAGCAAAACATAGAGAAATGGATGGGGTAAACTCTGTTGCTGCATTTTAGAGGAACTATGCCAGGCTCTAGTAATTGATGCTAGTCTCCGGGATACTGTGCAAGCCTCAGTGCAGGGAGAAGTAAGGTTGACAGTTTATAACCTCAGGCTTGTAATGCAGGGGACCTTGGTTTGAGACTTGCTTTGGCCTCCAGGGCCCAGTTGTAAAGAGGGCAGATAACACTGTTCAATGGATAAATCCCTATCCAGCAGGTAGGTGATAGCAAAAAGTATAGTATCCACCAGATAGAGATTTATCCAGTGGATAGCATTACCTGATCTGCAAACAACTGGGGCCAGATGACCCTCTTTTGCCAACTTCTCAAATAAACCCTGAACAATAACACTTTTCAACCCTTTCGCTTGCAAGATCTCATTTAATTCTCCTTACTGTTTGCTACACAATTCTTATGCTGCGAGCTTGGAGAATTTGGTATTGGATCAACTAAAAAAAACTCTTCTAATTACTTTTTTTCCTTATTCTCATCACTTATCATATTGATATGGTAAGGAGAAATTCTGTCTTGGTCACTTATGGCAGTTAAGGGTTAAGGTACCTGTACCAGTACATCTACATATGCTGACCTTGTTTCCCATCAGTCACATCTCTCCTAGCAGAGTTTTTTCTTGAGTTATGGCTGGTGTCAAGGTCTTCTAATTCCTCAGATTTGCGGGATCTTTTCTTGTCTTCATTGTTATCTTCATTATCTTCATCTTCCATAAAGTAATGTCTTTTTCTTTTATTCCCTGCTTCAAAACTCCTCTTCTCTAGAATTTTCAAACAAACACTTCAACTAATTAATACCTTAATTCAAAGCTAATTAATCAAATACTCCCAAAATTTGGGGATTGCACCAGATAAAGTTTTGTTGAGGCTGAACCAAAGCTTATGCTGGTCAGTGGTATTGCAGGTTGCTCCTGAATCTTAGATCTTAGGGGTGACACTTGACATTTTGCAAGGCTCACATTTTGCATTTGGCCACCTGTGTGTTAACATATAACTACTCTCGCTGCAGACTGAGACTGCTAGATGCCTGGCTGGCTCTATTAGACATCAATAAGTGGGGTATTTGAATCTGCATTTGAAGAGGAAAAAAATACCTGTCGGAGTATTACTTCAATGAGTCAATGGTACCATTTAATCAGGCAGTTGCATAGAAAAAAAATCACTTTTTTTTGAGACATGTTTAATCCTTCAACTCCCAAAAGTGATTAATGTATAACTTCTCCCTATAAAGTCCACACATCACCTAGAAAATGGTAATGAGGATATTCAAACTTATCAAGAAGTTATCTTGATCTAACACCAAATTCTCGTCATGTATTTAAAAGGAAATGTCTAGTAGCTAGAGGGGAGAATTAATAATCTGATCTTAGGAGTTAAAGGGTTCAAATCAAAGTTTAAACGTCCGACTTGTGCTACATAATATATCCAGGAAAGTAAAAGTCTCCTCACCATCCCCACCCCTATAAAAAATGGCCACAGCTTAATTTGAAAAACAATAGAATGTACAATGAATATCATGAGCTTTGTATACGGTTACATAATCTTAGCTCGAAGAATTGTTTAAAATAATTATCACTTTAAACACCAGAGGTTGATCTATGATTATGTTGTCGCTACCTGGATTCATGTTTTCTTTTGAAGAAGAAGTTAAAGCTTCGACAATCTGTACCCGAGTTTCGCTTGTTAGAGAATCCATGACATCAACAAATTCTTGGCTAGCAAAAATTGTAGCGGTAAAACTTGGATCGTCTGCACATGATTCAAGTTCGTTATTTCCTTGATTGCTATCACAACTCGAGGGAGAGTCCCTTGATTTCCTTTCAGAACTCGAGCTATGTGCTGACTGCGAATTCAAAGTGAACTTAGTATTTGTGGATGCACATGGCTGATTAGAAATGCCGGTAGGATCGCGCCGAGAACATGTCGAAGGCTTTCGTTGATAGGAAAACTTGTCCAAATTAAATGCTGAAAGTGACATGTTTTCTACATTCCATCGCTCAATCCCGTTATTCCAATGTTTGATTTTCTCAGATGCAAGTTGAACCTGATTTTTTTTGAGCAGTTAGAACCGCCAAACCGCCAACGAAAATTAACATCAACGGACGAGGACATCTGGGAACTAGCATAAGTCTCAGGTTACCGCGGTAAACTAAATTGGCGGGAAGAGACGGGAACAAAGAACCATAGAACCATTATAGACAAATCATTTCGATTCCCGAGTTGTTGTTGGATATCGTGAATATATGAAACAGTAAACTAAAGAGAAATGATGGAGATAATTGTAAAATTGTTATAGTTGTCTTTGTTTCTCGGGTTTATTTTCATTGTTGTTTCTCGACGTCCAGTAGAGTTTACCTTTTGTCTTGGTGCATCAAGTACAATCGGATATCAAGCGAATGCAAATTTCTGATAATCATGCAAGCGTATTTTCGCAGTTGGATCTTTCTACTTTCAAAGATCTGTTGAACAGCTTGGCGAAATATGTGCGCGAGGATACCACTGTTGAAGTTTTCCTGTTAACAGCGACTGTGTAAAATTTATTAAAGTTCAGATTGTGAATGTGTATTTGCTTCTGTCTTTCTTGTGAATTTTTCATTCACTTAATTGTTAAATAATGAAGGCGTCGTAATGATTCAAATATTTTTATGTTGATATCTAAGAAACCAATGGTAAAATTGTATAAGATCTGTATTTTATTATTTAAAGATCGTTAATAAACAGTTTTGTCTTACAAGTATTATTTATTTTCTTTTGTCTATAAGAGATAGACTTTTTGTACACGCTTACAACTGAAATGTTTTCGTAACTCGTTAATGAAATTCTTCTACAACTGCCTTCAGCTGCCATTCATTTTAAACCATGGTCGTCTTAAAGGGCATTTTTTGTCAACGGAGGAAGGATCAGTCGTCGTTAACAGAGTTTCGAGGGACTACTAAAGCAAATTGACTCAATGAGGGGAAGAGGGGGGCATTAGAATACGACAGAGTCTTAGGAGGGGAGGGGAGAGGAAATCAAGTAAATTTTATTGTGATACAACCAAACACCACTGCCCCCTTCCCCACTCTCCCCCTAGCCAAAAATAATGATCGTTCCCTTACGGAGCATTTTGTGGCTTTAAAAAACAGTTTCAAGCTCATCATTTTGTCTCTCGAATGTCCTGCTCAAGCTTTCACTCTATCTTTATACGCGATGGCAAATTAACTTCTACGCCGACACGCTCGGCCACAGCGAGTAGGATATCTCTCTGTTGGTCTGTGGCACCAATGAGAATCTTCTGTCTCAATTTAGACTTTTCTATTTCTCGTGTCAAATTGTCAAGCCGTAACGTCATCTCGTCAATTTCCCCGTCATTGTCTCCTAAAAGATCTTCATCCTGAAATTCTTCCTGCTTTGTTCTTCTCCTGTTGTGAAGTTAGAATGAATATAGGTTTAGACGTAGAACGTATCTCCCTTGTATCAACCCAGGGGGAGTGGAGTTGGGAAGGTAGAAATGAGCCCCTTTAAACTTGTCTTATAGTTACTTACAGACAGGAGAAATAATGTGATTTCTCTTATTAAAGAGTATAACATAGTGTGACGTGTCATGTGTCCTGCTAGCATTTTAGATGCTAGCTAACAGACCTTGGTCAAAATCCTAAACACGATTTAACCAAGAAAATGCTTGACGAATTTCGCATGATCTTAAACCTGTGGGATCTTTGGTTGGTCGCGAACCTTTCATATAGATCTCGTGCAATGGGCCGAATAGCTTCGTGCAGTGCTAGGGAAAACGGATCAGGTGGAAATTTTGATGAGGTGAGAATTCTCATTTACCTCCAAAGTTTTCCTTTCTCTTCTCCAGCATACACGATCTCATGTCCACTATAAATTCGTCTGGTGAAGAATTTTGGAAATTTCTTCTCTATATCAGCGATAAAAGTGATTTGTTTCCCCTTGTTCCTGAGGAAAGCTGTCTTCTGAATGGCTTCAATATCTCCAACTGCCAAACCAATCTAAGATACACGTACAAATTATTATCTTAATTGGCCACCGTTAAGAGTTTAAAAGCTGACGTTTCGAGCTATAGCCCTTCATCAGAGCGAATGACGAAGGGCTAACGCTCGAAACGTCAGCTTTTAAACTTTTAACTTTTCACGTTATCAACTCAGTTAATAATGCCAAATAACCTTTTTATACTCTCCCAAAGAAGCAACACCACAGTTTCTTTGGACACCTACTCCCTTTGTTCAATTTTCTTAATTTTTTGTAACACATTGCGGGCCTAGTCTGGTTTCCTCGTTTTATAGGAACTAAATAAGAAGTAAAGTATTGAATAGTTGCAGCGAGAAAACATGAGCTGAGAGAGGCCATTTCTCATACATGCGCCCTGTAAAATAGTACGTTTCTTGTTTTACTTCACGACTAATTTTCGCGCCTTGCTTCCCTCAGCTGAAGTTCTCGTGGTTGTACTTTGTGATATGATTCTTTGAAGAAGGTCATTTTAACCTTGAAAAAGTCACAAATGGATAAAAAAAAATTTCGAAATTTTTCTTTCTTGGTGACTGAATTCAAAATAAATCAACGCCATTCTCGATTTTCTTTCATAATTTTTAAAAGAAACTTCTCAGTGTCCAAGTAAAGTTAAATGATTCTTTGTTTGGTGGGGGCTTTGATACTGGTAAAAAAAAAAGTTGCTTACCAATAGGTTAACAAGAGCTATCGGCATCGCCAAGATAAACATGAAGTAGAAAATGTAGGTAGAATCTTCAAAAGGAACGAGCGGAAATTTTGTGCCAGCTGAATTCTTGTTCAACGCGTCAATGACGGTTTGAGTATATTCAATTTCCCCAGAAGTCATGGCAAAAACTTTCATGAAGGCCTTCATTATCGTGCTAAACGATTCCTGCAAGAAAACAAAACATCGTCAACTTGGGGCTACAGTTCTATGGACTTCTTTGAGAAAATGAACGATCTATCTTTACATATGGATCGGCTGAAGTGTTCTCGGAGTTAAATCGGGAAGCTGACCTCTGTCAGAAACCTACTGATGGCTCTTCATACCAGAATGTAGAAATCTGGGAATTATGGTGAATTCCGCGTGAGGTGTTACTCTTGTTTTCTGAGGAAAGCTTCGTTAAAAGGGTACATCTTCTTTAAGAATGTTCTACATAAAAGGGTGACGGAATTAAGCTAGGGGGCTGAAAGTAGATCCTCCATAAAAATCTTTTTTTGGAGTAAACTCCCCGACTCTCCCAACCGGGGCCAGGGGAGAGAATTAACATCTCGCTCTCGATGCCATTAACAGAAGTTATGACCTTAGGCTCTGCTCTGTGAAAGACAAGTGTAAGTACGAATCAACATGGCGATGGTAAACATGTAATCGGGAGAGAAATTTTAGATGTCGATAAACAGAGAGTTATTGGCCGCCACGTGCATTCTGTTCGCCATACACACAAAGAACACATTTTGATAAATCTCTCCTTCTCTTTCCGCTCACCTGTTCTTTCAACAGAATGTAGAACGCCATTGCGAAGGCCAAAGTGAACATGACAAACAATAACAGAACCTTCAGAACGGTCTTCATCACTTCGAGGAACATGGTCACGTACAGACCCAAGAACTTAATCGGCTCCACGATGAGGATTAAGTTAACGTAACCAAAGAAAATGGAAAACGTTCCCATCTGCCAGTAAATTTCAAAATTTTGTCTCAGACCGGTGTCATCAGTAACGTAAGGTAAAACAAACAAAAATGCTGTCAGGTATAAGGCCCATTCAAGAAAATTGGTCCACTCCGTAAAGTAACGAAGCCTCTGGGTGTAGATCTGATAAAACTCCTTCGCAAGATGCAAAACCGCGAATACGATGACGATATAGGGCACCGCTTCGTTGAATTCACTTTTCTCTATGAAGAATTTTTCGTCAAGTTCATCATCGTCTTCTGGTTTGGGAAAGTTGACATTCTCTCTCTCCGTTGAAACAAAAATTGTCAAGAATATTAGGAAAAGTGAATAAAGCACGAGATTCGTTCCGTAAACAAACCAACCAAACCTCCTCCACTTAAGAAGCAACAGCTTTCGAGAAAGCGGATGAACCAAGAGGAGCTGCTGTTTGTGTCTGACCATCGTTACCAAACCTAGGAAGCGTTCGTCGTTGTTTCCACTGTGATCATCGGGGCCTGGGTCTATGAGAGTGAAGTCATACTTTATGGAGCGTTCAGAAGTAGATCGCTGAATACAGCGATCCAGGGCAACGTGGGCGGCGTCGGGAAAATGTTCAATCAACCTTTCCACAGGATTGGATTTGGCACTTGAGGCTGTAAGTGCTTCTCGCCATCTGTAAAAAATCGCAAATTTTAGGTGAGGAACTTGTGCTTCTTACAGACATACTGTCCCTCAACCTATTTATCTGTCTGCCCGTGTCAGTCGGTCAGTCCAGTAATCATTCGGTCTGTCAGTCTATCAGTCAGTCAGGAAGTCGGCCACAAGCTAATAAGTCTGTTAGTAAGTAAGTTAGTCAGTTAGTCAGTCAGCCAGTCATTCAATCAGTCGGCAGGTCGACCAGTCCCTCAACCTGTCTATCGGTCTGTCCGTGTCAGTCAGTCAGCTAGTCAATCAATCAGTCAGCTAGTCGATCAATGAGTCAATCATTTATTCTCTGTCAGTCAATCAGTCAGTCATTATAAAAACCACGACGTTCCGCGAACTATAAGAAGAGAAGCGCGCGTCAAAGAATTCACGCGCACCAAAATAATTTTTTTTGTAACGGTTTCTTTGTCTCACTTGACGGATTACACCGGTAAGGAAGGACTGTTGGAATTTTAGTCAGTCTATCCTCACACGGGTCACCTAGCTGGCCTGAAAGGGTGCACATGCACACATGCCTCATGAGATGTTGCATAACTCATTTCAAATGGCATTGGAGCTAACTAGGAGTGGGATACTGGCGGTAAAATACCTGTTATGTTTGACAATAACCATGACAACTTCATTAATCTGCGCTTCCATTGCCACATCAAGGCATGTCATTCCACGTTTGTTTTGTAAAATTAAGCTCCCTCCATAATTCAACAGTGTCCTGACGATCTCAACTTGACCAAAGTGTGCTGCCACATGGAGGGCTGAATTTCCATCAATGTCTACGTGATCCGTGTGCCCGCCCCTCTCGAGAAGGAGCTCTACGACACCGACATTTCCTGCCTTTGCAGCCCACATTAGAGGAGTCCAGCCTACGATATCGGGGCTATTGATATCAGCACCCATGTCCAAAAGTATGGCGCAAGATTTCCTGACAAGACATCATGGGATCATGTGTTTTCATCAGATATTCATTTATTGGCGCAGTCTCGTTACCATGATCTCTCCTCTCTCTTTGGGAACGGGAAGAAGAGAGACTCTGGGAACGAGCTGGGTAATGTTGATACCAAATGGCCAACTCGATTCGTTTCAAGCTTACTTAGGCCCAACTTTTCTCGAATCCAGTCTTCTCTCCTACCGACTGGTTTTGGTGGAACAGCGGCTGTTAATCGACTCAACAGCTCAATAGGGTCATAAGCGCCGCGTACATGTACAGAAAAATTACAATGGGTTTTTAAGTTAAACACTCACTCTTAAAGCTTTTATCTCTACTCAAGAGTTTGAGCACCAGTGAACCGACTTCCCACGGACATTCATCGAGAGGCAAGGGGTAAGATTTGAGGAATGGTGCATTAAATTCAGTATAGGGGATGGTTCGTCAGTCGCTTAATGTTACAGGAAGTAGGTTAACGTCCGATACTGATTGGGCCTTCGCTGCAATGTAATTAAAAAAAACAACAACAACTAGAGCAAAAGTGAAACGTGAGTGACGTACCTCTTCATGCTCATAACAGCGTAGTGCAAAGGAGTTCGCCGCTGATCGTCTCGCATCCATACACAAGATGGCGCAGCTTGGGTGAGAACCTTGACTTGGCGTGAGGTGCCTCGGTCAGCGGCTAAGTGAAGTGGTGTCTTGTGCTTTGCGTCTCGAACGCATCCATTTGCTTTTGTCTCGAGTAGCAGCTCCAAAAGCTACGGAAAAAAGTGTACGTTTCCAAAGATTGCGGTTACGTTTGTTAGAAAAGTTAAGAACTGAAATATAAACACTTTCATTGAAGTGCACTTGGCTTTCATGAAAAAGGAGATTGTGATGATTGTGGTCAATGACATTGGTGACGAGGAAGGAAAAAAAAAAACGAAATAGAAGAAGAACAACAACAAGGTGGATCTACAGAAGCTTAAATTCAGTTGAACGAAGTCACGCTTTTTCTGTCACCAGGATCATATAATAAAACTGATCACATTATAGGAAACGAATAGTAACTCTTACTAAATAAATTTGCGCTAAACAGTTTTTAGGAACAAAGCATGCAAAGATGACAACGATCTTAAATTAAAATCATCTCTTTTATCCGGTAATAAAACAAGTAGGTCTGTGTCAGTAATCTCCCGTAGCAGTGGTCACACTTCCTGTAATTTGTTTATACCTTCGGGTTGTCAATCCACGACGCGTAATGAAGCGACGTCCGCTGTTTGTGGTCAGGTATGTTGACTAAGTCGTTACCAGTCTCACTCAGTAACATACTGAGCGTTTCCTCTCTTCCCTGTTCTACAGCAAGGTGGAGGCAACAACGTAGGCGCTTGTCTTGAGCTGCCACTTTGGCGCCAAATGATAGAAATAACTTTGCGCAATCAGTCTGTCCAGCGGCTACCGCCAAGAGAAAAGGCGTTTGACCACTCTGGTCCCTGGTGTCAATTTTGGCACCATTTTCATGGAGAATCTCAATGCATTTTGTAGATCCCAAGGCGGCAGCACTGGAAGGAATATTTCAAAAATGTTAAATTAAGGCAAGCATGGCATCTGGGGGTTTGTGAGCACCAGAATAAAGTGGACGTGCATATTTTGCTTAACCCTTTTTTTTCAAGTTTACCGACACCCCTTCTGGTCAACTGATCGGAGTAATAGCTTCCTCATCTTACTCATATTTTTTAATCTAATTAAATTTTTGGTGTTTTTCGAGTAGCGTCTAATGGTTGGCTTGTAATTTTCAGAATCTTTCCTTGTTTGTAGATGGAAGAGATCAGCTTCACTTGATTTTGGATTAAGTTGTGTGAAACCTTGTGAGAATACGTGGGGGTTGTTCACTGATATTCAGTAGGTACCTGTGTAGGGCAGTTCTTTGTTGGCTGTCACTTGCATTCATATCGCCACCCTGCAAAATGAGCATTTTCAAGACATCTTGGTGTCCTCCAACTGCTGCCAGGTACACTGGTGTCTGGAGGCTCTTGTTTTGACAATTCACATCAGCCCCATACTGAATGAGCACCTGGGACACGTCCTTGGAACCTGTTTGTACCGCTAGATGAAGTGCTGTGCTACCATCCAAGTCACATTTGTTTATGAACTGTTTGAAGTCAGCGTTCATTTCTGGTTTTGCAACAGTAGTTGGTTCTTTTTTGAAATAATGGCGAATTGCTGTATTATTTGGATAAAAAGATCAAAATTAACTTTTAGAAGTCATGAACTATATTCACATTGCAAGTTTTTGACGCATTTTGAACGTCTAATAAGAGTGGCTTAAAGACGGCGGGCTGAATTTTTTTCCAGAGGTAAAGACATCATCTTCGGTGAAGGTGTGGAAAAGTTGCTTTACCGAAACCTTAACAAAAGATAGAAAATCTTGAGATACGTTTCCGATAACTCAACATGTATGTGCCAATTATTCTGAGATCAGAATTTCTCTCAGGAAGGTTCAAGGAACAGTTATTATTAAATGACTAAGTGTTCACATGATTTCAGGGAGAACTAAAGGGGAAACAGTCGTCGCCAACATAGTATAAAAGGGGGACGAAAGTCAATTGACTGCTAATAAACTGCCAAGGGGGAGGGTGGGGGGGGGGGGTTTGAAGGGGGATCCTAGGAATATTATAGAGCCTTAAGGGGGATCTGGTAACATTTATCGTGACATAACCAAAATACTCTGACACCCTTCCTCCCCGCCTCAGCAATAAATAATAACCATTCTATTAAAATGGAATCTTATGGTGATCAGTCTACCTGCTTCGACAATCTGTTGCGTGACATAGGAATCTCCATTGGTGGCGGCAAAATGAAGTGCTGTCATCCCTTCTGCCGAAGAAAAATCAACTTGAGCTCCATACTGCAGCAGAGTTAAGCAGATAACACCATAACCTGAGCCACTAGCGTGCATAAGTGGCGAGACAGATTTGAAATCTGAAGCATTCACGTCAGCCTTTGCATTCTTCAAAAGATGCTCGACAATGTCTTTGTTTCCAAATGCTGCGGCTTCATGTAAGGGAGTTGAACCCGTGAGGCTGTTTTTCGAGCTAACCTTAGCTCCTGCTCCGAGAAGAGAGAGGACGGCATCTAGAGAATGGAACCTGTAAATGAAATGCTGTCTGCTGTCAATTTGTTAACTAGAACACGGAATTGACTATCATTGTCTTCCTGCGGATGGAGTATACCAACGAATACACCTGACCTTTTAAACTTGAAAAGAAAGATAAACACACACAAACTCTCTCTTTCACTCTCTATCTCTCTCTTTCTCTCTCTCTACCTAAACGATGTAGCCCTTTTCAATCCAAAATTTTGTGCGTCTGTTAGAAACTAGCGCCTCGTCGACTCTTAGAGAACACTACTGCATTCCTCTGTTCCAGAGTTCATTATTCCTGGTTCAATATTTTACAAAAAGACTAGTGGCTCTTTAATACTTCTAATAATACTACTTCGTTATTTCTGTTTGAAAATTATGTCAACTCAAACTCTGTTTCGGCTTTTGATGATTCAACATTTTAAATCAATTGATAAAAAGTTTTACAAATTCAGAGCAATCAGATATATTGAGGCGCTCTCGTCAAGATTAGCTTTCCGTGACCCCAGCTGGATTCTTTCGTCTAATTTATTCATAAACAACACGGAATCATTATTCAAAGTTCTGGATGTAGGATGAGTAAAATCTACTCTACATTACATTAAAAGAACGGCGATCGATATCAAAACAATTTTTATTTTTTTGATTATTGTTTTTCCTCGAAGTGTTAACAATTAAAGCGCTTGTGTTTATGGTCTGCAGCTGTTGAGATTTTATGACGACGAGTCAAATCGTATTTGAGATCAAATTTTACCACTAAAGAATAAATAATTCTTTTCATTAGCTAGGAAGCAAAAAAAGAAAACCTTATTTATCCGAGGAGGTGACAAGAATTAAAGGCTTCTGAATGATTTTGCTTGCATAAAATGTTCTGGAGTTGGTAAAAAGTAACAGAAAGACATACTATATTAGCTCAGTTGCAGTTTTACAAGGTGTCAATTCTAGTCCCAAATATGTGGCTTCTGGTGCGTGTGAAGGATCAAGGTTAAGAAAATCTAAGCTCACGAGATCTCACTGATTCTAAGACTAAGTGATTTACTTGATTTTTTTATTTATCTTCACTCGTAATCAAACATAAATTAGAGCGAAAGGCACAAAAGTCCAATTAGTGGCCACTCTCGCGAAGAAGGCTTGATATGGCAGACCTTGGTAAAAAAAAAAAGTTTTGTTTAGTTTAAAGTTCACTGCGTACGTGACTCACCTCGCGGCAAGATGTAGGGCAGTCGAGCCATCCGCACCTGTCACAGAGGCTTCAGCGCCAAAATCCAGGAGCATGTTTAGGATAAATACTTTATTGTGCTGGGCGGCGTAATGGAGCGCTGTGAATCCATATTCATCGAAGGCATCCACATCGTACTTCTTCTCGGACAAAATCTTTCTCACGTATTCCGAATTTCCATGAGCAACAGCGCGATGAAACGCGACGTTACGATCTTGCAAGGGCACCATTTTCATCCCCATGCGAACGGATTCATCGTGAAGTTGAAGTCGTCCTCCCGAGTGAGGTCTCTTCTGTTGAACCATCGGGCTACGTCGAAATCGCGTAATAAGACTTCGATATTCGCCAAGATTTACTCTAGAATTTGTGTGGGAATCTGTATCACTCATATCTCCATCTGCCATAGTGAACAAAAGCCCAACGGTTTACGTGTTCCTTTCCAGCTGTTAAGAGATGTACATGTAACGGTGATTTAAGCATGCAAATAAATACGTCTTACGTTTTTCCGGCTGCGCGGTACGCTTCAATGGTCAAACATAATTTGTTACAACAATTGTATCTAAGGAGACAAAAACAAAGACGGAATATGTTTTGTTTATATTTTTCAATTTATCACGCAAACCACTGCTTACTTGAATTTACCACTGTGTGATTTAGGAAGGCGTGGACACGTCCTCAATAAGCTCCTGTGAGAGGTCCTGAGGCGAACGAAGTGCAATCGACCAAGAGGACCCGCAAGGTCAACTGACATAGTTTATATTTCAGCTCAGGAAATCGCGTGATAACTGCTTCATTTCCATCATTATTTGGGAGTTAAATAACAAATTGACGATTGAGGATCTTTAAAACCGCGAGTGGCATTAGGCGTTTGATTCTTTCAATTATGGGTTCGGTTGCGGCTCAATCAATTCAACTCATTTCGATGTATGACTAGCTGTGAAACAGCTGTCACGTACCCTCTGTGTCTGTGGTTATCGTTGGTCAGTTACGTCGATTAGATATGCCTGCCTCCCTTCAGCAAAATATTTCATATTGTACAACCTTCATAATTTCCATGGAAACTTCCGAAATCAGTCATTTGAAACTGTATATGCATTTTTTTGTCAAGATGCAATTATACATGTATGGATTGAAAGATACCGTTGTTAAGTTACAGTATGCATCCCAGACGCTCGTCTAAGATGCTGTAAAGAATGGAACCATTGGTGAAAGGAGGAGGGGGGGGGGGGGGTGACGTACAATTTAACAGAGATACAGCACTAAGTGTATTCCCCTCAAACGTAAAGACATGTCGGTTTTTTGGTCAAGACTTGTTAAGATCTCAACGCTTGACGAATTTTCCCATCAAAGCTTATCACGAAACAACAAAAGTGAAAGGAAACCGGTTGCCGCGTCATCAGAGGCATCAGAGGGGAGGGGAGGAGAGAGTAGAGAGAGTGAGAAAGACAATTGTCGAGGGAAACGTTCGTTTCACGCCCTTGCCTGGTAGCCTCTGGCCGCTATCAGGAACGTGACGAGAATAGAGGACATGATCATTAATCTTTAACCGGACTAACAAAAATCACGAAAGACTAAGTGGCCAGGCAAGTCTAACAAAAAAATGTTGAAGAGTCAAAAAAAAGAAGCCATTTGTTATTGGCCGGTCTGATCCAAACCGTCGCGGAGCGGCTAGTTTTATTTGAAATTTATCATGGCAGTTCATGAAAAATTAAGTTTTTGGGTACAAACATTTCCTGTGATGACTGCTTTTTTTAATCAATTCATTTCACACTAATGTCAAGCATATATGATATACAAAAATTTCCCACGCTCCTTGCAAATTCGCTTTAAACAATCGTTTGTTGAGTTAAATGTCAATATCATTAACTTGAGCAGTATATATGTATCCGACCAAAATATCGCATGAAATTTGACCCAGATGGTTTTAATTGATGCAAAGCTTCGATCTCATTTGTCTTATTACTCAGGCACTTTCTCCTTCGAGGAAGTTGAGCTTTTATTTTGAGTTTTAGCCAAAATGAAGGGCGCTTTTTTTTTTTAAAAGAAACTTACAAGAAGGGAGGCCTTAATTCAGGGTTTTACTGCAGGAACATGACTTAGATCACCTTCGTGGTCAACCTGTACTAAGTAAGAAAGAATCTTTAAGCTTCCTCACAGGTATCTAGGCCAATTTTAACTGCTAGAGCTGATAAAACGCTTCTCTGATCCTGTATGGCGTCAATGATTGACAGTTGCCGTCTCTTAGCCCTCATCAATTCCTTAGCAAGAGCTTCCAGTCTCTGTTCGTCCTCGTTCTCGGCTGTTCGTTCTTCATTACTGAGGTCTTCGTCTTCAAAGGAATATTTCCTAACAATTAAGTAAAAGGACGTCAAATTTATTTAAAAAGTGAATCACGTTCTGAAACAGTTTACCCGGAAGTCTCTGATCTAATGCCTGGAAAAGTTTTTTGGAAATAGTTGTTAGCAATATGAAGAACTACTACTCTGTTATTACGAGGTCATAAAGCTAAAACATTGAAATCCAATTTCATTTGCGCTTTTTAAAAGAGAAGTGCAGGTTTAGCGTGCGTAGGTAAGGCCACCAAAAGGAGTTGTCTCGAAATGCTTTACATGTTTGTTTTTTGGTCACCTGTTCTCTTTATGGAAAAACATGGTAATTTTCAATAAACTTGGAGAGGGCCAGCTTCGTCCCTCATCACTACCAACAAGTTAAGTACGTTTTATTTGTGAGAGAGAAATCTTAATGAATTTAGTTTTATTCGAACTCAAGAGTAGCAGTTGATCGTGTACAGTGGTTGTCTTGTCGAAAGCTGTTCTTCCGAGTACGGTTGACGGTGACTGAGCCTTCCGTTCGAAAAGCCTGAGCAAAAGTCAAAGTCAAAATACTCTATCTGCTCCCCAATAACTAGAAACTCACCCTGAAGAAATTTTTCTGTCCACGTATCGTCCAGTTACGACCAACTCAGGCTTGTGTAAACGCCGAGTAACAAATTTTGGTAAATTTCTTTCAACTCCAACCACGAAGTCTACGAATTTTCCCTTGTTTCTCAGAAACGCATACTTTTGCACAGATTCTATGTCTCCCACAGCTAAACCGACCTGAGAAAAAGAAAAAAAAAGACAGTAACTGAAAGAGTAAAAATTCTCGCGAGTTCACGCCAAAGAGAGCAGTACAGTCAGTAAAAGGTATTTTGGAATCGATACTTAAGCCTGACATCATTTTTTCACGACCATGAAAGGACCAACATTTTACTAAGCACCTCCACGCGTATGAAGTACGTGGATTACTTAAAAGATCCTTTAAACGCGGTGGATGGAAGTTAACGGCGGTTATTTACCTATCGTATTGGCTTTTGGAGCGAATTATGGAGCTAGGAGGCCCAAACATTCCCCTGGATGAGTTGTACCATAATACCAGGGGGTTCATACCATTAAGGTGGGTCCAGGCACATCCTCCCACGTAAACGTTTTAAGCTTTATACACGTTCAGGTGCTATTTGAGTGATTTGAACCTGTAGATTCCTTCAGAGTTTCACTTTCAAGCAGTCGTAAAACTAATTTTTACGTCCATTTTCCCCAAAAAACAGAAAGGAGGAGTTAGTCCGACAGCCGCTTGAATGACGTTCAGTGTGTCTTGCCACTTACAAGTTAGTCGTCACAATTACTTACCAAAAGATTCATAAGGATAATGGGCATGGCAAAGATGAAGAGGCAGAGAAATACGAAGGATGATTCACGGTAAGGCACGAGAGGTGCTTTGGTCTCTGGATTGGTGGCCTCCAAGTTGTCCACCAACAAAGTGGTATAATCCAATTCACCGATGGTCATGACTATCACTTTCACCAGCGTCACGAGAAATGTGTCAAAGGCATTCTAAAACGAAGAAATCTCTTCAAAATCAGTCAAGAAGTGCAATAAAAACAAAAAAAATAAGAAAACAAAAAACAAAACAAAGATATCACGCCCTACCCGGGCTTTTTTTTAGAACCACACAATTTGTATATTTGTCGCAAGCCTTGTCCGGCTGATGAAATGGTCGATACGAGAATTACGATGAAATATGTACATAGTTAATCAGATGGACAAAGATAAAACTGTATTTTTGGCATTGTCTACAGTATCGCAAGCGAATATCTTTGTTCCGCAGGAGAAATCATTCAGAATACAGAGGACCTAGGAAAGAGAGCTCAAGATACGTACTTGCTCCCTGAACAATATGTAGAAAACCACCGAAAAAGCCAAGGTGAACAGGAAGAAAAGACTGATGGCTTTGAGCACCGTGATAGCCACTCGAAAAAACATTGTCACGTAGATGCCGACATAGTCCAAAGTCTGAACAAACAATATCAGGTTCATGTAGCCCAAGAACACAGCGACTGTCCCTATCTGCCAGGTTATCCTAGGGTTTCCTTGAAGACTTGAAAAGCTGGACGAGACGTATGGCAGAATAAAAACTATGCTCGCTATATAAAGCACCCATTCCACCAAGTTGGTCAGTTGTTGGAAATATTCCATTCGTTGAAGGACAATCTGATAGAGTTCTTTGGCCAAATGAAATGACGCAAATACCAGTATGAGGAAAGGAATAACTTGATTCAATGCCTCCTTGTTCGTGAACATGTCATCGTAGTCGGGATCATCTTTATCATGTTTCCGCTTTAGGATCACCGCTTTACGCTTTGTCACCATGAAGTACGTCAAGGAGAAGAGGTACAAGAAAAACAAGATAAGGTTTGTCCAATAAACAAACCATCCATATCTGCGCCACTTTATCTTGAGAAGTTTTCTGCAAAGCTCATGTACCAGGAGTTCCTTTTCTTTGTGTTCCACCATGACCTTTGGTCCAAAGAAACGCTCCCCATTTGGTCCGCTTGTATCATCAGGACCTGGATCCAAAAGGCTGAAATCATACCTGATGAATCGTTGGCTGAGAGATCGCTGGACACATCGATCCATGATCAATTTAGCAGCATCAGGGAACCGCTGAATGAGTTTTCCCATCCTATTTTGACCATCTGGGCTATTGGCTGATAGGACCTCTCTCCATCTGGTATTGAGTGAAAACAATTTCTTTAGAAAAAAATCGAAGGCTTTCTCTTTCCGATTCAAGTTTCTTCATTTATCATAATCTAACTAGAGAATGCTTTTAGGTCGATATGAATTTTAACCCTAGACCTCTAAATCAAAAATTTACCTTGCGTTCTTAATCATTTCCATGACAACATCTCCTTGTTGATTATCTATGGCCACATCGAGGCAGTTAAGACCGCTTATGTTTGGTTTCAAGATCGCCCGATTGTTCAAAAGAATCCTCACGGCGGCTACGTGACCACTGGCAGAAGCAAGCAGCAGCGCAGTGTTACCACTTTTGTCTTCTTGATTTATATCAGCATTCAGCTCAAGAAACATTCGAATTAAATCAGAGGCACCCGTTTTGGCTGCAAACATTAAAGGTGTCCAGCCATAAGCGTCTGAAACGTCAACTTCAGCTCCCATTTGGAGAAGGATTGAACATGTTTTCCTGCAAAAATGGACACCTTAATTGCAAAACAATGCGGCTAAACGGCTATTTCTCCTTCGTAACAATACAGGAACTGTATTAAACTTGGTTAACGTATAAATTACTCTCAAAATGTATTATGCGAAGTTCGCGAAAAAGGCACAAAACTCTATCAAATTAAGGCTTATAATGATCTCCACTCGTCTAAAGGATTTTCATGTACCAAACTATGATATGTACCGGTACTGGGGATACGTTCAGGACCTGACTAAGCCTCACCCTTTTCCATTCAATGCTGCAAAATGAAGAGGCGTTCGTCCTTCTGAATCTTTTTGATCAACACACGCAAAAGAGGCTTTGGCTAAAGCTTCAACATGGCGGTCCTTTCCAAACTTTGCTGCAGTATGTATTGGAATTATGCCAGCACGATCCTTGAGTAAGCAGTTCGCTTTCTTTTCCAACAAAATCTCCAGAAGCTGCAAATAAAGGATATGATGATTTTGTTCAAGTCAACTGTCTGACCAAACCCACTTTGAGCTCAACAAATATGGGCGAAAGTCAGATTTTTGTATTGCCTGTACCTTTAACTTTGTAGAGGAAGCGGCGTAGTGAAGAGCTGTCCTTTCCTGTATGTCCGGAATATTTATACATTGTGATCCCGATCTTTCCAGTAGCATTTTCAACATTTCTGCTTTTTCATTTTCTACAGCGAGATGAATGCTTCCACGCTGATTCTTATCACGAGCTGCGATATTCGCACCGTACTCAAAGAGCAGCTTGGCACAATTTGTGTGACCAGCTGCTATAGCACATAGGAGAGGCGTCATACCCTCTAAATCTTTGGGATCTGGAGTAAAGCAGTTGTTGAGAAGGACTTTGATACATTCTGGGTTTCCGATTGATGCCGCACTAAATGCACATGAGTAACAACAGAAAAAGACAAAATGGTTCAGAAAGAAACGATGTAAGCATTTAGTCCTAATATTGTAATAAATAATTTCTTAGCTTAGTGTTAAAAAATAAGTTTAGACAAATGGATAAAATATTTTTTAGCCATTTGAATCATTTTGTTTGTGCTTTCCATAAGTCTCTTTGATTTTCAGGGAAGCTACCGGAATAATCCGCCAAATTTCAAAAGGTATCATTCTTCCCACCTAAAGAACAAACTGAGAGCTTTATTTTGCCTATATCCATAACATGGAACAAAATTGGTTAGCAAACAAATAATAAGAAAGGTGGTTCATGTAAATTAAGCAGAATTTTTCGAAAATCTTTCCTTGAATGCCGAAAACAACTTCTTTGCAAACCAGTGTTAAGGTTCAGGTGTTGTTCACCTAATACAAATCCAAGAGGTCTGAGGGCTAAAGGCAAATAGGTGTTCTGTTGCATTCTTACCTGTGCAGAGGAGTTCTTTGTTTGTAGTCTTTTTGATCCGTTTGAGCTCCTTGTTTGATAAGTAATTCCAAGATATCTTTGTTTTTACCCATAGAAGCCACGTGCAAAGGCGTTTGTTGATGCTTGTTTTGCAAGTTGACATTTGCATTATGTTGCAAAAGTATTTGACATGCAGATAAGTGACCTGTCTGAACAGCTAGGTGAAGAGCAGAGTTATGGTCTTCGTCTTTTCTGTTGACCAACTGATCAAATTCTGGGAAGTCCTTGCCAAACCACGTAGCATCTACAGGGTACTGGCAGATGTTCGCGAGAGCTGAAAGCATCAAACCCTATTATAAGCTTTATATAATTTTGAAGCTTTGGAGCGTTTTGTTAAAATAAGATGAATTAAATACCATCGTCATTTTTAGTCAATGATGGCTCTTATTAACATGCAATGATGTTGATTTAGTCACCATGGGAGACAGACAATTGACTGGCGCGACAGTCAGTCAGTCGGTCGTTCAGTCATTAAGTCAGTCAGCCAGCCAGCCGACCAGCTAGCGCACAGTCAGTCAATCAATCGATAAGACAGTCCGTCAGTTGCAGGGCTTTTTGTGTGTGCATCGCGATCGTCCAGATGAAGGTAGCTCAGATCGTCCAGACGTAAGCCACTGTCATCAACAATAATCCCTTTTCAGGAATGACCCCTCCCAGACAATTTCTCGACTGTTACTCCTGGTTACAAACCATCTACATAATAACTATTAGTAAAATCTCATTCAAGACGGCTGGTCGATCATTCTGTGCTGTGTCAATCTATTTTCGTGCGATCTACGATGATGTATCATCTTCTCATAAAAGCAGTTTGACCAACCGATACAGTCCGTCCGTGCGAGAAATCTGTGATATTTCTGCTGATGGATGAACGAACCTTTCATACTTACCAGTTTGAATGACCACAGAAAGAATACCCACGATGCCAACATCTGCTGCTAAATGAAGACACGTCTGCCCGTCTCTCGTAATTATGTAGATACTAGCCCCTTTGGCGATGAGATCGCTACAGATGTCCTCGTATCCATGATTAATGGCCAAATGAAGAGCAGCCAATCCGTCCCGGTTAGTTGCGTTAATTTTCAAAGTTTTTACATAGAGCAGTCGTTTGATGATCTCTCTATTACCGTATTGGGTAGCAAAGTGAAGAGGAGAATAACCTCTATTTGTAGATTCATTGTTTGGATTGGCTCCTTTTTTCAACAAATTGTCAAAGGCATCCAATGAATTATACCTGTTAGAAACATCGCAGACATCAAAATCCTACTGTAGATTAGGACTTGCCCTTAAAAAAATGATGAGGATACGGCAAATAAAAAAAAGAGCCATTGGAAATATTGCAGATATTTTCTAATAGGTTTTTATCGGAAAATATCCGGGCATAGCTGATGGTTTAGAATACAAAATTTGACATTCGAAGATTCAAGGTTCAAATTCTCTACTCCATAATTCAATCGGTTTTTGTTTCTCCGAATTCTGAGTTGGATTCGTCTTCTGCAATTTTCACATAGCCATCTGGTTTTTCTCCAAAAAGTTGTTATCGGTAATGATCGACTTGCTTGGTATTCTATTCCATTTGGTTACTGACGTATTTTGAAACTGTGTTCCGACGGAGTGAACATAGGCCCACCGCTGGGTATTACTGAGCCGGTAATGATATGCATTTTTACCTTCGGTAGAATCAAATCGAATGAAAAGGATGTCTCCCTCTCTTTGCATATAGCTAAAATCTTTTAGCAAGATAACAATGATAAAAAACGAAATGGCTGACGCAAAAACTTTACATCGTGGTTCACAGAAAGTTCTATATCTGTGCGAGAGTTCAGTGTTATGACGAAATTTATCATATAAACTTTGGTGTTAAACAAGAATTTCCAGCCCTGAGAAAAGTAGTAACAACACAAGTGAACAAATACGATAATTTTTCACGTGTGTTTGATATCGGAAATCAGCTGCTGACTGACGTCACTCGCCTTTCGCGCTACTCAGTCACGATGATGAATGAACGGCAAAGCCTTCACCATTTTCAATCCATAATCGTTTGTCCGAATTTTCTCTTATGGCTGCTAAAACACTGAAAAATTCGTATCGCTTAAAGACAGTGACGTTCAAACTTTCCTAGAAGAGGAAGGAAACCAAATTACGAAAACGAAAACCGAAAGATATGTATTCAGTGGCTTTGGTACTGGCATTTCTTGCGGCTGAGGACAAAAACCGACAACTGGAAGATTTGACACAGGCCGAATTTTGCTGTGTACCTGAAAGATTTCTTCTGTCGGTAAGGACAAAGTCAATACCTGAGAATTTTGTAAATTGATAATTACGCCTATTGTTGTTCTTGAGCTTTGGCGCCCACGCACTCTACGATTTTATTCGGGGATTGTCGATCCTTTTATTTTCATTCATCAATTAAGTCGATTTTTCTTGTGGGTAAAGGGCTATTGTGTTTATATAATAAACAAAATAATACATGTTTGCTTGTAGATATGGCATTTATCTACTCGTGTTCAACTGACGACATCTCACTCGTTTGCTGCGCTCAATCGCGAGCTTACGAGTTGACTAAGAAGAGAAATACCATATCTGGGCGCGCCCATGTATTATTCTCTATTCAAAGTGCCGATGATTGTAACAAGAACTAGATTTAAGATGAATTCAAATCAAATATTTAAATCATCATTTTTTTATGGATAAAGTTGCAACAATTGCATTCTTCTAACACGAAGAATGTTGTCCAAGTTAAATTTGGCGGACTTTTTTATAATAACTCAAGCACTAAGCTTATTTTTGAGAAACTTTCTCCATTATATATGAAATTAGAGGAAAAGCGTTAAATTTATTAGAAACCATTGAAAATTACTGGTGTGTCCATATTTACCTTGCAGCTTCATGCAATGGCGTAAGTCCATCCCTGCTGTAAACATCAACATTGGCTCCAGCTTTAGTCAGGAAATCGATGACTTCAACTCGGTTCATTCTTGCCGCGTGGTGGAGAGCAGTATCACCATTCTGATCCAAGATATCCACTTTGTTCTCCGTCGATGATAAATAACTTTTCATTTTATCAACTTGTCCTTTAGCTATGGCGTCGTATAGATCGTTCACTTTGCAAGGAAACACTCTCTCAAAACGAGGTTCAGTCGGCGAGTCTGCTTCATCGTGACTGGGACAAGACAGATGAGGAGAAGGTGTAAAGGTGAAATGCATTTAAACTTTAAACACAAGTACCAAATACTTGTTAGTAGTCCAAAACTTCCTCCTGTTGCGAATACTGAGCTTGCAAGAGGATTAATGCTTTCTAGTTACTTCGGCTCTTAGGGGGCAGTCGCTGCATCCTGTGCTGACCACATTTTCTTCAAGTGTGGTTTCATTATTTCAAATCGTTTCAGTGCAGAATTCAGACTTGCATATTTTTACAATTGCTATTATCGCGGAAGAAAGGCAAAGGGAGAAAAAAGAACTACAACTTTTTATTCACGTGCAAAGGCAATTAAGGTGTCGAATATGCAATTCCGCTTTTGAGGGTTTGCCTTTTTTTTAAGTCATTCATTTCTGTCTATAACCAAAACTGATTTCCATAACAGTAACATGCAATTAAATTCTGCTGAGACATTGCATGCTATGAATTGTCAATAAGTGTATGTCGTTATATATTGCATTCAAGGCTGACCTCAGCAATTCTTAACAATGGGATCTCAGACTGTTCTGGTTAACCTGCTCTCCAAATTAACATTTGCTTGTTTACCTTTTGATTAATACTCCCATCTCTCGTCTCAGCAGTACTAAAGCATTGAGATGCTGAAATGCTTGACGGTTAACCTTTATACTAATCTTAAGTTCTACTTTTCCCTCGTGTATGAAATTCTTCATGAACGCCCAATCTGTCCAGAGGTGTTTAACGAGAGTGTCGCCACGAATTTGAACTTTGGGTTCCTTGGAATAAATAAGATTTCAGAGATTGTCCCACCCTTAGTTTTGATCCTCTCACAGTAACGAACGTAGAGGCAATTATGATTATCAATAAGGAAATATTAGGCACAGCTAACAAAAACACTTACACTGCCAAAAATGCACAAACTAGCTGATTGGGTTCAACTGGTTAATCCTCTCACCGTACTGAGCGTAGAGGCAATAATGATTACTAGTGAGGGTGTAAAAGGTTCCGTCGGTAAAATTAATCTTCATTCCACTGAAATTTAGATCGTACCTCTCTTTATTCCCTAGACAACTTTTAAATGTGAAAATATTTCTAAAGTTCTTCCAACTCCAAAGGGACAATTCATTCACAAGCGGCACTGAATATATGAGTGGACGAGAGAAACTAGTTAAGCCCATTATCAAGGGATGCATGAAAATAGCAAGTCGGAGTACAACATCAACAAAGAACCAGAGAACGCTCTGTGCTTTATTAAAAAAAAGAAACAAGGTCCATCGCATCAAAAATTGTACTTAAGAGCTTGTTAATGCTTCTCGGTGTCTGATAAAAAGTAGTAAAATGTACATTGGTCAATTATAAAAATATATAGAAACGGCAGCTACGATAAACTTTTTTTCCTTACAGAATAGAATTCAGTATTAATTCCTTAGTTCAGGAGAGATATCGCTTATTTCACTTTTGATCTCTGGCAGAAGATAAAATAAGAAGCCAGTTTAAGAAACATTTAACACGTGCCCAACAGAAAATCCCCGCTACTCGATAGAACTGCCTAATAGCTTCATTCTTGGCCTTATACGTACTTACTTATCTTGGACTAAATAATATGAAGATTCCATCCTTCTACACTGAATAGCGCTCCACTTGTTATTTTAACTGCTTAAAAGAAGCGCAATTTTGTCGAAGCCGAATGTACCATTGTGCATGATCGAGTCTAAATCAATTGTTCAGCTTATCGTTAAGTTCTTTGTTATTTCTGTTTCATCGATCTTTTTTCACAGGAAATGTTTGGCAACCATGCAAAACGTTCTGGAACATGATTTCCAATTATAGCGAAACGTTTCATCCTTGGAAAACGTATGTGGGGTGCCACGTGCACATTTATAACAAGAGAACTATGAAAATCATGGCAAACCAGGTTTGAAAGAAAAATAAAATGAAAAATTATTTTGCAATGTTTGAACCCGTGGCTATTATGTAATAAGTTGCCTCGTACAATCAACGATCTAATTAACGCTCTTGAGAGTTATCTAGTGTCTTGTTCTCGAGTTTCAACTCCTGCTTTGGCAGCTAATGCAAGTAAAAGGTTCCTCTGGTCCTGAATTGTTCCGATAATAGACAGCTGTCGTTGAGTGGTCTTTGCCAGTTCCTTGGTGAGGATTTCTAGCTTTTGCTCCTCCACCTGGTCTGCTGTCATATAATCTTCATCTTCATCAAGGTCTTGGTCAACGACAAAGGTGTATTCCCTAAAAATGTAAAGCAGAAACAAACTTTGACATTTTGCACTCAAGAGGAAAATTTCAAATCTTTTGTATAGAAGATACTCTTAGTCATCGATTTATCACCTCTGCCTGTGTAGAGATTTGCCGATTGTCTGATTAGGCCACATAAGCAAAAGAAGTGGAAATAGGAGAAAGGTGAGGGGAGAGTGGATAAGAATAATCCATAGGGTTAGTAAAACTATATCGTCCTGAAGATATGACGTGATATCTCTTTTAGATATCTATGAAGATATTCTACACTTCTTACTTTGTTAGATTTTCATGAAAAAAGAGCTTCAAAATGTATGTATACGCGAGCACCGATCTATTGAATGATGGTCAAAATGTATTTTTTGACTTCTTTTCTCAAAAAGTAAGTCTCGATAAAAATATCCTTAGTTTCAAACGTTCTAAACTTCTTCAGACTCTATCATTTCCCATAAATAACACTAAATAGAGAAAGGTGAATCAAAAGGTAACCATCGACAAAGGTTTTTTTCTAAAAAGAATTGTCGTTATGATATTGTACATACTGTGACGAGATCTTCTTTTCCAAGAAGCTACCACTTATCACCAATTGAGGCTTGTAAAAATAACGCGTGATGAATTTTGGAAATCTTCTTTCGACCCCGTAGACGAAGTCCACGAACTTTCCCTTGTTTCTGAGATATGCATATCGTTGCACGGATTCTATGTCACCCACAGCTAAACCGACCTGTGAAACACCACGGGAAATGAATACATGAGGTTCCTAAGGTTGGAGAAGGTTCATTAAGCAGGAAATTATTTTGTCTATTTTCCATTTATTTTCCGTGATCACATAGTAGAATATCATCAAAATGGGGAGTAAGCGGCGCAATTTGCAACCACAAAAGGTCTTCCGTCACTAAAGCGAAAGTAAGGAAAAGGCATTGTAGTTGTATTACTGCAAACTAAGAGTCACCCGTAGATCTGCTCCTATTGCGATAATACGTAACACCATTTCCCTCTAAATAGCCGCTGCGGAGTCTGAGTCACTGTGTTGAGTTCTGATGCAAAACACTTCGCTCGCGCGATGTCTCTCAACTCAGGAGTGTAAATGGGTATTGGTAATGGCGGGCATTGAACGAGCCATAGATTGGCATCCAATTCAGGAAGAGGGGAAATACTCCTACTCTCTTCCTACTACTTAAACGGGATGATTATATGATCCGTACGGCCCCGCGCTCGCAATCCCATAGAAAACCAAAGTGAAATGTGACGTGTATAGAGCCGGACGGGTTGACGTGAGCCGGTCCGGGAAAAGCTGCCAGCCGTACACTCGCATGGTCTTGGTACAAAAATTTAAGTTAAAAAAAGAACAGAGTTAGAAAAAGTTGCATTTTCGATGAATTCTTACTTTCTTGTTCTGACTCGAAAAAACAAAAGCCGAGAACCGTTTTTACTGAAGATTCGATTTTGTGGTTTTCCCGCATGCGCCTGTCTATCGCTTCATATTGAAACAATTTAGAACTGGTCGATGATAAATGCTTATTGTCTGTGTTTGGTTGGCCAGACGGCAACATTTATATTTGGCTCGCGGTCATATAAAGCACGGACATCGTTACAATCGGTCCATACGTCAAACATTTCAGTTGCCCGTAAGCTGAATATATATATTTAAAACTTACTTACCAGAAGGTTCATGAGAACGATGGGTATAGCAAATATGAAGACAGATAGGAAGATGAGAGAAGATTCTCGGTAAGGCACCAAAGGCGCCCCGGAGTCCGAGGAGACGTTAAAATTGTCCACGATCATGGAGGTATAATCGAGCTCACCAATAGTCATTACAACCACTTTCATTAACGTTAAGCCAAATGTTTCAAACGTTTCCTGGAAAAGCCAAAACAGAATAAAAGTTAAAATAACAGATTGGAATCATGATGGTTAATGAACTTGATTCTAGCACCAACCACCGCTTGGATAAATGCCATTACATTGGCTAAATACGACGAATGGCAGGCTTATAATTAGTATGCAGTACGTGCGTCAATACTTTGAATATCAATAAACTAGGGACAAGCTACGCGTTTGGCAAAACTGCCGCGAAAGCTGGAAACGGAGCAGGGTTATGAAGGGAAAGCATGACTTTCGAAAGGCTCGTGGAGGAAAGGACTTCAAACTCATTTCGTAGTTGTCCTAACCAGCCCTATTTCCTATTTCACCCGAAACCTAAACAATGAATTAAAATTTAAAATATAGCATTTGTCATTACCTGTTCCCTGAATAAAATGAAGAACACCACCGAAAAAGCAACAGAAAACAAGGCCAAAAGGCTGATGGCTTTACCCACGGTGGTTGCCACTTGGAAAAACATTGTCACGTAAATACCAACATAGTCCAGAGTTTGAACGAACAAAATAAGATTTACGTAGCCCAGAAATACAGCAAGTGTTCCTAACTGCCAGGTGAGGTTCGGATAACTTCGAAGACTTGTTAGACTCTCAAATATGTAAGGAAGAATGAATATTATTGTCGACAGATAAAGGACCCACTCCATCAAGTTTGTCACTTGTTTGAAATACTCTAGTCGCTGAACATAGATTTGATACAGCTCTTTTAAGAGATGGAAAGATGCAAAAATCAGAATAAGGAACTCAACTAAGTGTTTGAACACGTTAGTCTCATTCCTTCGGAAAACGGCCTCTTCTTCGTCGTCGACGTAACTACTTTTAGGTTTGAGCACAACATTGCCCCGTTCATGTAACATAAAATATGTCAAAAGCCCAAGAAATATGGAAAAAAGGACAAGGTTTGTCCAGTAAACAAACCATCCATAGACACGCCACTTGATCCGGAGGAGTTTTCTGGAAACATCGTGAACCAGAAGATCTTTCTGTTTGTACTCTACCATGACCGCAAGACCAAAGAACGGCCTCCCACTGGGTCCACTGCTATCGTCAGGACCTGGATCGAGAAGGCTGAAGTCGTATGTGATGGATCGACTGGTTGTAGACCTTTGAATACAGCGATCCAGTACAGATTTGGCAGAATCCGGGAACCTTTGAATTAGCTTTCCCATTCTGTTCTGACCATCAGAGCTCTTCGCAGATAAAACCTCTCTCCATCTGGAGATGAAAGGAATTTTCTTCGTTGTATCCATTAAGAACTTCATTACTCTGCTCTACTTTGACAATTAAAACAGAGCGGTAGAAATATCGCGTGTACGCTGAACGTGTCAGTCATTAACGCAAGGAGTAAACGTGAGGCAATTCTTAGGGTAAATTCAGTCATTCCCCTAACTCTTTGCAATATTCTATTTTGCTTTGTTGATGGGCTCATAACAACTTACTGTGGTGCTTACCTCGAATTTTTTATTATAGTCATAACAACGTCACTTTGCTGGTTATCTATGGCCACATCGAGGCAGTTGAGGCCGTTTTCGTTCGGTTTTAAGCTTGCTTGTCTACTCAAAAGCATTTTTACAACATCCACGTGCCCTCTTGTGGACGCAATCAGGAGTGCAGTGCTTCCAGTTTTGTCTTGGTGGTCTATGTTGGCGTTCTTTTCAAGGAACAGTTGGATTATGCTACCTGTACCTGTCTTTGCAGCGAGTAGAAGAGGAGTGGAGTCATTGACGTCAACGCTGTCGACTTGTGCGCCCATGCGCAAGAGGGTTAAGCAGATTTTCCTTAAGCAGAAAATGGATATCATACGTTCAGTTTGTCTTATGGCCATGGTGGTTTTCAAAAACAATAGAAACAAGGAAATGTTATTGTAACGTGTGCTCAGATACTACTATTTGTAAATTATAAATTTGTTAACACAGGCCTAAGTACCACGTTTAAGTATTTATTGCTTCGCCAAGTGAAAATAATCATCTGTCTTAATTTGACACCTTCATGCCCTAAATAACACATTTGAAGCGAATGACAAGTCCATACTCATTTCCATTCAATGCTGCGAGATGTAATGGTGTCCGTCCTTCGGGATCCTTTTGGTCAACACTGGCGCAAGAATTCTTGACTAAAGTTTCAACATGACGAACTCTTCCGGTTTCAGCTGCCATGTGCAGGGCAGTTTTACCAGCACCATTTGTGAGGAGACTGTTCGCCTTCCTTCCCAACAAAATGTCTAACAACTGAAAAGTTCAAGAAAAACACAGAAAAGAAAAAGGAGAGAAGAGACTCAACAAACCATGGACGGCACAATGTGCTTAGGGCAAAGAATTTAAAAATGAGACTATCCATCGTGAAAAGGAGAATCCCAGATAATAAGTAAGGTGGTCTTACGTTGCCTACGTTTAGGTCTTGAGTTTTTGAGTTAGTTGGAACAGCAAATACAGATTTTTATTGCTTTCCAATTGTTCACTGAAGATTTCACTGCGCTTTTGAAAACTCATTCGGTTGCGAATGTAACCATCTGAACTGTGCATTTGTTTGTGCGTTTTCTTTTTTGATTTTATTTCCCTATTTCCTAAGAGGCACGCTTTCAAGCTACATACGTAACCACATTATCACACAATTGAAATTACCCTTATATTAGCCGATAAAGCAGCACAATGCAATGGCGTCCTTTCATGAATATCAGGGGCATTAATGAGTTCACACTCTGGTCTTTGCAGCAACATGGCTAAGACCTCTTCTTTGTCGTTTTCTATGGCAAAGTGAATACAACATCGCTGGTATTTGTCACGAACTGTGATATTTGCACCACACTCCAGGAGTAACTCGGCACATCTGGTATGACCAGCAGCTACAGCGCAAAGAAAGGGCGTCATTCCCTCATCATCTTTCGGATCTCTGGATGCGAAGCTCTTGAGTAGAAGATCGATGCCGTCTTCACTTCCGAACGACGCTGCACTATAAAGATAGTTTGAGGAACAGTTTCGCGTGAAGTGTACTTTTGCAATAAAAATCGACAGTGCTTGTCAGATATCAGTTTTTTTCTCTCTGCTATAACCTATTCCGTGTCGTGCAGTTCAATGTACGTACTCAGTCGGTCTTTAACTTTTGCTTAATGTAATCTTTCGTATGGCAGATTATTATTCCGAAAAAGATAAAATAATTTTTTTACTTCCCTGCACCTTTGAGCTTTGCCGTGGTCTCCTGCCCTCGAGACTAGGATGGAGAACGTGTTTCAAGTTCTCGGCTAAATGTTCTCGGTAATGCTCTTCCCAAGATCATAGGCTTAAGTTATTTATCTTACCACTGGAGGTTGCAACCCACCTGTGTAAAGGTGTTCTCTGCTTCCGATCCTTTATGTTTAATTGCGCTCCTCGCCGGATGAGGGATTCCACAATCTCTTTTCTTTTTCTGATAGAAGCCAAATGTAGGGGGGTCTTATGGTATCTGTTTTGCAAGTTGGGATCTGCACCGTGCTGTAGGAGGGTGCTACAAATGGAAACGTGACCTGTTTGGACAGCGATATGAAGCGCTGTGTTCTTGTCTCCGTTTGTTTGATTGATAATCTGGCCAAATTCTGGTACATCTCTGGTTGGCTGCATAGCGTAAGCTGGGTAATTTGTAATGTCCACCATAGCTGAAATATGATTTAATAAGAGATTATTAAAACAGCTGGGTTTTACTGGTATTAAATGCCTATCACACTCGTTTACTGATATACTTTTTACCCCTCTACTTTTCTTCTGCAGACGCTGATGGTGGAAATCGACTCACAAGACTAAATCATTGACTCTAAGATATCTGATAGCCCTCAGGAAGAGGAATTGGAGTTCCTTTCTTGTTAATATTTATATTATTTGATAATCAGTTATAAATTTACTTCTAAAGAGCTGTTAATTGTTAGTTAGTGTACCATAGCATTGAAAAATCGCCCCTTCTCAGTTTACAAGAAGAGTTTTCTGTCTTACAGTTCACTAGTTGGCGCAAACCTTTTTTTTTGGAAAATTATTCAAGTATTCAACCAATACTTTCAACACTTTGTTTCAAGGGGCTTCTTCACATACCTGCTTGAATAACTGCAGAAAAAATATCTGAGTTGGCAGCACTTGCTGCCAGATGGAGACATGAGTTACCCTCTTTGGTAGATATACTAACACTTGCACCGTTGTGGAGAAGATCTCTACATATACCCTCATATCCACGACTGATGGCGATGTGTAGGGCAGTTACTTCTTGTTCGTTTTTTGCATCAATTTCCAGGCTCTTTTCGTTTAGTAGGCGCTGAACGGTCTGTCTGTTGCCGAATTCTACCGCAATGTGAAGAGGAGTGCAGCCTCTTGATGTGCTAACGAAGTTTAGTTTCGCTCCCTTCTTCAGCAAAGAGTTAAGGGCTTCCAGAGAATTCGACCTGAAGAAAATGTGTTTAATATTCAGCTGTGGCAAAAAAAAAAAGCTGGGTAAAGCAAAGGAGTTGTTGTTGATTTGGTGAGCTGGATTAAAAAAGAATTGATTGATGATCTATGAAGTTGCAAGCCATTTCGTTCTAAAAGCTATTGTTTTCCCGTACGCGATTCAACGAGGTAAACAAGAAACCTTGTAAGAGTGTTAATTAGATAACTGTACTAACATGACCCATATTAAAAGCCGCTGATCGTTACCGAAGCAAATTTCGTAGTCACTTTTACCCGTAACAGTTGAGATCGGAATGGGAATCCCTTGAGATCTCACGCCGAATTAATATCAGCAGTTGTTTGGCCTTTTTCTTTTTTTCAAGGGCCACCCAACCATCAAACACAAATATCAGCGATTTACCCCAAAGTTTCTTTTGTTTCGAATTCAGTGTGATGAATAATTTATGCAAAATTTCATATGCAATGAAAACATGTTTAGGGGCGAAATTACTCAGACTCTGGTACCTGTAAACAGACTTAGACGACGAAAAAGAAAAGGCTGCAAAAATTATGATTCGTCCTAATACGATTTCATCTGTTACTGGGTGATGTATTAGCATCAGCAATCGAAAGGATTACAGTCCCACGAAAGGCAAACAGTTAACCTGAAAGCAAATATTAGTATTGCGTATTAAAAAACACACAGTGAACAAACGCAGTGCGGCGAACTAAACTTTCTCCGAACTTAAAACTGTATATCTAGTTCCGATGCAGAATACGTCATAGAAGGTTAGGGATCTTCCTGGCCAGCAAGGTTTGACTTAAGTTGGTGTCAAATGACATGATAAAGAAGCATTTTTCTCTCGTTCATCGATTACCTGGCTGCGACATGAAGAGGAGTTAGACCCTCTCGATTGAGAACATCAACATTAGCGCCTGCTTTCAGCATAAACTCTACAACCTCAACTCGGTTCATTCTCGCTGCGTGGTGAAGAGCACCTTGGCCATTATGATCCAAAATGTCCGCTTTGTTTGTAGTTGATGAAAAGTAGGCTTTCACATCAGCCATGCGCCCGTCAGCCGCAGCTTCGAACAAATTAGTCTCTCCGCATTGTATCGATTGCATCTCATACGTATGACCATTCTGCGTTTCGGCGTTGACAATGGAAGGATTTAAAATTGGCGAGGGCATAAAATCAATGCGACTCATCGCCGCTCAAAGCAGAGAAATGCTGCGAAGAATGATATTGGTGCACCAGATGAGAAGTTCAAGCGACGGAATTATTAAGGGAAGCGACTGGATATCCGTGCTTATAATAACACCCCAATTTTCGATTTTCTAATTTCATCCGTGATGTTTTGAAGCAGCTGGTAATACATTTGCATAATTCTTGCTGATGACTTAACACTGGAGAGCGTTATTGAAAGTTTACTGAAAAGTTCTGACACCTTTACTTAACTTTAATTGCAATCTGTTATCATAGAGCTTTCGACACCGATCTATTTGCATATCAAGCGACAAGTACCGCTGTGAATTGTAACGTCAGAAGAAATGTTTGCTTTGAGCATCAGGTCACGATCGACTTTTCTTCAATCAAAACTAGAAAAACCTCTGCCGACTTCATTGCTAAACGTTAGGAGAGTAGGAGAGGATTCTTGTTTCCTGGCCTTCTTAGTATTCTTTTGGAGCAATCCGTTCCACGTTGTTGGAACGCTCCGTAAAAAAACTAATGGCAACGGCCAATTACATCACACAGGGTAAATGCTAGGTCGCACTGCACTGCGATGGTGGCGCACGCAGAAGAAAAAACAAACTTCGTCTCGTCACGAGCGTGCAACAAGCAAAATCTCTGACTTTGATTCTCCCTGAGTTCTTAATTCTCAGACGCGAGACGAATTCGTAGGTCTGGACATCAAATTTTCTAATTGCCCCAGATTTGTGACAAGACATCTTTCCTTATTTTGTGGCGACGCTCAACATTTGTCTTGTTTCTGATCTATTTGATCACCCCTAATCTCCAAAGTTTACATCAGAGATTCACGAAATAGCCTTAACCCTCTACGCCCTGACATCGATTTACATATTCTCCATACTGTTCACTATACATGTCTTTAGGAGCTGACAAGAAAAATTAGTTTGACAATCAAGAGCTTCAGTTTGTGATCATTTCCTTTATTCTCGCGTAAATAATCTTTGATTCAGGGATGATGTTGTTGGGAGAAATTAAATGCTTGTCACTCTTAGGGGTTAAAGAGTTGAAATAAATACCCTAGTTACGTCGCTTGATGCCTTCAATCAAGTTGTTTTGTCCTGATTTTGCCTGAAAACAGTGAAGGAATTGTTTCAGAGTACGTTATCGAAATGGCAATGGCGAATTTCAAATATTATTGGTGCAATTTTCATAATGTTGTAGTGTTACTTACACATACATCAGATTGCATTAAAACCATGTTTTATTCGTTAATCCTTATAATTCCCTTGAGGTTTGGTCGGAAAAAAGGCGAAATGATAGTCGTGTCTATGTCAGCTAAGCTTTGTTTGTATTGAGTCTCCTGTTGCCTAGCGACAATCGATCGTTTGCACGTAATCGATCAAGTGAATGTCACACAACGAGCAAGTGTCGATGCTTCTCAAAGTAACGGAAGACTCTCTCAGATGTTTAGATGAAAACAAAAATTCAGGGTAGTTTTAGTGGCACTTTTGAGAATGAGACGGGGAATTTGAAGGAACGCTCGCTTGGATAGAGCGACAAAGTGCGGCAAAATCGATGATCATGATGACGGCTCTTTAGTCGTTTGAGGTTAGTGAAGTAATTAAGGATGTTGTTGAGAAAAATATCCCAAAACAAGGCTCATTTTGTAGATTTTTAATGGAAGTAACAGTTCTTCTCTTATTTGGCATAGATTTAAAGTCATTTTTTGATCGTCGGTCGGCCGAAATGTATCAGTTGCCGACACTGAGTCGATTCATACTTGTTTCTTTGTGTGAATATTGAAATGTTAATTTTGTTAATCGTTGCTGTTGATAATTTCCAATGTAAGAAATTATTTTATTTTTATTTTTCTCAAAGTTTTTAAGCGACCCGTCGTAAACATCGGATTTTTTTTTCGTTCGTGACTTCCACATTACACTGAGCGTTCTTAAATTTTGGGAGAAATTTCCAAACTGTTTTAAAACAAAGCTGTAGTCCCAAAGGTAATATGTTGATTCTGTTAAGTTGTTTTGTTTTCATCAGAGAACTGTAATCGTAATGAAGTATGGGGCTGTGCGAAAATCTTGCCAAATTTTGTGCCGGTCACTATGATTATCAACAGTCCTTGTAACCTGGTGATTATTTATGTTTGTAAGTCATCGTGACGTAAAGAAACCGCTCAGTTTCTACCCGTGTAAAGCATTCATTAGTAAAGAACCTAATTCACGCACTGTTCGATTTCATCACACAATTTGATCGTTGTTTTGTAGGATATGTGGTTTCCTTTGGCAGACTACCGCAGGTGATTATCGATTCACCTTGAGTGCACTCGTCAAATATGGCGGATGATTTAAAACTAACAGAACAAGATTATGTGAGATTCGCAGATGGAAAAGGTAACAACTCTAGTGAATGGAATAAGAAAGATAGTAATTTTTTTTCTTTGTCCCACGCTCGTGACAAGACGAAAAACATTTTTCTCTAACTTTAATAAAATAAATAACTCTTCTTTTTAATGCTCTAACTGCGATTACGCGACACATGCTTCGCCTACCCACCACCTCCCCCCAAGGAGAAACGGAGGGGGGGAGGGTACGGCTACACATAGGCTTGCTTTATATAGTCCTTTCATTTCACTTGAGTGATTGACCTATTAAGGACCCATTTATTGATAAGGCCTCTTCTCACAATTTACAAGCCCGCAGGCTGCTTTAACTTTTGTGACCTTGCCTTGCCACTCTTTCGATTCCTCTGTAAAAATTTTTATACGTTCTTATATCAATGTGAGCTTTAAAATGAAATCACTTGTGTTGCTGTTTTGGTTCAAACGACCTAAATAGAACTGGCTAACTGAACGACCCCATGCCATTTGAAAGGCTTCAGATTTTAAGATGAGTATTAGTAGCATGACCCTAGAGGAGGATGAAGTCCTTGTTTGTCATGAACAACCTGTTGTTTCTGAAGTACACATAGAGGCAATATCGGGAGAACTTGGCCAACAAATAGATAAGTGAACTTCAAAAAAGAGTGGCCTTCGAAAAAGAGAGTTGTTACTGCTGAATTTGTTTAATTGGATCTCCAAATTGGCATAACCATGTGAGTTTAATTAAAATCTAGAGTAAACTGACTAGCTCGTTCCCAGAGCCTCGATCGTTTTGCTCCGTAAGCATCACTGATTGCTCAGCTATGGCTGAAGAAGTTCACTCAAATTTGAGTTATGTGAAACTCATTTGTTGTCGTGTCCATTACCTATCGAACCATGTAGCGTTAGGAAAAGGTTTGAAATTTTGGATTCGACCTGGGCCTTCAACACCCGTCTCACTGGACAGCAGCACAGTACCCCTCACATGTAATACAGCATTACACGCGCATTTAGCACGCGTGACTCGTCCTGTTTTGAAGAATTGCTTTAACGCGGTTAGCACGTGCATGTGAACGCGTGTAATTACAACCAATCAGTGAATGTAAAATGTGTGAAAATTACGCAGAATTAATCAACCGTAACTTAATAAATGCGTCCACTAGAACAAAAAGACAATGTATTCTATAATCTACTGAAGACCAGCAAGAGTCTGAACTTTGATATTTTCTTAGCGGATTCAAGCGCAAGAAAGTGTGTGTTGACAAAGGGATTTACTTGCACCTCTTGCGCTATGATGTAATTTTCCGACCGGCAGGAGGGGGAACATTGCTTCATTGTGGATGCAAGAGCAAAGTGACCTTCCTTTGTGCAAGGAGCTATAGTGTGGCTCCAAACTTGATATATTTAGGGTAAAATTTAATTAATATCAATCCAGATGAATCAACGATAACTTTGAGAACGAGACTGCAAAATTGTGATGTCGACTCCGTCGTATTTTTGTTGTACTTTTGAATGTGTAACTTCAGCATTATTTCTCTTAATTTCAGGAAGTCCAGCAGTCCATTTAGAACGAAATACATCTAATAGAAATACGGTGACGCCCCTGAATATCACCATGAAGGACCCTGATCACTCGTTGGAGCTGGATAAAATACTTTTACCAAACGAGAATTCGAAAGGAGAGCGACTTTGTCACGGAGCCCTGAAAATGCTGTCTCGTGGTAAAGGCGCCAGCATCTTCGATGCCATTAAACTAAAGGAGGCAGAAACTGGAGCTATAGACAGGGAATTTCTGAGTGCCGAGGATAACGAGGGTTTTACGTTGCTTCACCATGCTTCACGATGCAATAAAGTTGATGAGGTCATCTGGCTATTAAACAGGGGAGTTGAAATCGACGCACTTGGAAATAACGGGCTCACTGCACTCAATATCGCCGTCAGGTATGATCTAGTTATTATAAGCAAAAGAATCGATGTTATCTGTAAAAACCTTTCTGAGTTTAGAAAAATCTGATTTTTATTTTTCTTTTCTGTTTTGATAAAACCATTATCTATGCTTGGCCTTCCTTCGTCGTCGGAAGCCGACCGTGTGTTTGTGAATAGAGGCCAATATGCAAATTGTTTTCGGTGTTTGATTTCCTGCGGAGTGGAATAGTCGAATAATAAAGATGGGTGCTAATCCGAAACAATGATTAGACAAAGGCTCTTAACTCTCAAGGAATCGTGTAAGTTGACAAATACTGGTTGAACGAACCACCAAAAAGTCAAGATACATTAGAAGATATTCTTACCAACGTCATATTTGCCACGATCTCGGTTACATACGCTATCCGTATTCTGAAAAAAAAACCTAACACACCAAATCGAATATAAATGAGCTCTTTTGGAGCCCTAAATAAATACGCCCAGTAAATAAATCTCCTGCCTTGTCACAACGTGGATATCTTGGAACCCAAGCCGGATTACTTCGAATATCAATATCAGCACTCTGCATGGCAACCCGTGTATCAAAGCTGTCACCTGCTCTTGTTCTAATTAGCAATAGAGGTTAATTATCTCTGTCTTCCATTACACCCCTTTCAAAATGAAACTTTCCAAATAAAACTTCTCGGCAGGTTATGATCTTTCTTGAGATGCATGTTGCTGAATGTATCCCGATTGCTGCCTACGTCGTTGCTTGTCGCCAAAGCCTTTCTTGAATGTTTCAGGAACGTTCTTATGTTTGAGGAAGATGTCTTCCTTTTTATAGATCTTGGCTGATCCGAAGTTATTTTAGCAAGTTTGAGCGCCGAGTCACTCGGAATTAAAACGCTCTTCTGAACAACTATCGTAGGCGTCTCATCTCTGTTTCCTCAGAAAAGAGAAAGCTACAACGTGTTCTGGGCATTCAAAAACAACTTTTTCTACTCATCTCAGTAGACTTAGTAAGTAGTCTCCGAGCTCAATCCGTCCAAATCATCATTAGTCTACTTCTAATATATGTACCATTCATGATTATTCCTTTACTTGAAATTTTATCCTTAACATTGCATTCCAACTAGTAGACCACATAAGTTTACATCTTAATTTATTTTCCAGAAATAATTGCACAGAGGTTGTAAGAATTCTACTTCAAAAAGGCGCAGACCCTTCAATACCTGACGAAGAAAACGAGACGCCTCTGCTTTTCGCTTCTCGGCGAGGGTACAATGAAATCGCAGCCCTTCTCCTGAAGGATTCCAGGACTGAAGTAAACTGTGCTAACTCAGCAAAATTTACGCCTTTCCATGGCGCGAGTGGTGGCGGTGACCGTTCGCTTTGTGAAATGCTCTTGCAGTATGGCGCTGATTTATTTGCAAAAACTGGTAACCTGACGACTGCTCTTCATTTTGTGGCTTTCAACTCAAACGAAGACGTTTGTGAACTGCTCATCTCCACAGGTACACATAAATGTTTATCACATTTTGTTAGTAAAGTTGATTGGACGACAGAATCCGAAATGTTTTCATGAAAAAACTCAAGAAAGAGTTGAATGCAACTTTACCTTACATAAGTGAGATGATGTTTTAATTCCATGTGTAACCGATCAACCGAATACAGACACCATCGTCAGATGAAATTTGAAGTGTATTCATAAATCGTTCTCCATTTAAAAAAAAAATTGTTCTCTGATGCAGCTAAGAAGAAATGCCCGTCTGTGAGAGACTTTTTGAATGCTAAAGATGTTGAGGACAGCACAGCCTTACACGTATGTTGTCGAAAGGGAGCTTCTAAAGTCGCGGAATTGTTACTGCGTTATGGAGCGGATTATGAAGCAGTTACCGGAGTGAACTTCAGCACTCCTCTCCATCTCACCGCAATGTATGGCCACGAGGAAATAACAAAGCTGTTACTTACTTGTGGTGCCGACATTTCTAGTAAAGATGGACATTTGCAGACGCCTCTTCATAGGTAAGAACATGTCATAAGTGTTGAAGCTAAAGGTGGCCCGTACGGTTAAACCTCTACGGCAAATTTACACCTCCGTCTTAGAAGTTGTAAACGACAATCGACCATATCATGCTCAAAGGTTGGATGACATTTTGCACTATCTTATAAGCAACTATCCATCCCATAAGTGGGTCGATGTAGAAATTGTGGTGGGGTTGAGCAGCGGATTAATTGCTATGTGGTTTATAAATGGGGTAGCTTCTTTTTACAGAAATATCTTGAACATACATATCTTAAATGAATAGAGATTTCACAGGTACGCAGCATAATTAGAAAACCGAGGTCAATATAAAAATGGCCGAACTACATAGAGCGGCTTGGCAATTTTCAAAAATTTCAAAAGTAGATGTCATTCGATTAGATGTCATTCATTTCTCACGGTAATCGTTTTCGGAATCAATGTAGTAAAATCATGATATTTCTGTTTCGTGCTAGGGCTGCTGCGTTTAATCAAGTGAATATAGTCAAAATCTTGTTGGATAGTGGAGCCGATAAAGAGGCTAAAGATATGATGGACATGACACCATTTTTGGGTGCTGTTGTTCATGGAGCTAAGGACACAGCAGAGCTGCTGCTCAATCAAGGAGCAAACGTTATGGCTGTCGATTCCGGGCACAACAGTTGTCTTCATTTAGGCGTGAAACGCAAACAGCTAGAGATTGTTAAAATGCTGCTGGTTACTGAAGGAAAAGAAAATCTGATGAAGCTGAGGAATAACGAGCTTCAAACTTTCGTGCATATTGCAGCTTCTCTCGAGCAAAAAGAGGTGAGTTGGATCTTCTTTTGCAGTTCTAGCCTGTGAGAAGAAATGGTGGCCACGATCTTGTAGGTGATGAGATCAAGTAATCGAACTCATGATGAGAAAACAGCCTACTGAGTCCAATTGTGGGAATTTCGTGTCCCGGAAGTTTCAATCCTTCTTAGGTACGTTGTCAGAAAAGGCGTTGAGTACGCAAAAGCTGTCTATTAGCTTGTGTAAACACGTACCAGTCCCTCAATGACTAAGCTATTAAGTTGAGTCTCTCTGCACGCATTTAAGCTCTTTCTCACTCTTTTTCTTCAAACTTCAACCCCTCTCCATCTTCCTCTTTGATCAACTAAACGGAAAGAGAGTCGCCTCATGACATAGTTAAAAACTACTGCGTAGCGACGAGCTCAAAAATCTCATTAATTCCAGCAAAGACTACAATATTTCTGGGTACAAATCCCGCGGGCGTTGCTCAAAAGATATTCAGAGTTTGATGAGCCAATCAGGAGGGTCTTCGATGCTTTCCACGGAATTGGTACTACGAATGCGTACTGTCTGTTATCAATTTAAACTTACCTTTGTTTCCCCCTCAACAGATTCTTGATATCGTTCTGCGAGACGACTTCTGGTTGAGCCAAAGGGACTTGAATGAAAGAATTCCATTACACATTGCGGCAGAAAATGGTTCACTGGAATGTGTTCACTCTCTGCTGAGTTGCAAGGCGCTTTTCATTTACGGAAACGACAGAGATAAGGACGGAATGAGTCCGCTCCATCTCGCTGCTTTAAACAAGCACTTGTAAGTTTCTGTTTTTGTTTTTCCTTTTTTGGATTTTTTTTCATCATTTCTCTAAATAGAAGTAGGGCTCGTCAAAATTTGAGATTACACACTCCCCGAGAATTTGCAGTTGTTTCGGAGCAATCACTGAAGTGTATCACACCCACAGGGTCCTCTGCGATCCACAATACAAGGCTCGTTTAGGATCCATGTCTAAAATTATTCACTGTCAAGAGTCCACGTATTATTTTTTGGCAAAATGTGCAAAGCCTTACCTTTTAACACCAAAACTGTGAGTATGCAAACAGTGCCTTTCCCTTCCTCCATTCTCCGTAATAATTAATGACATCTCCATCTCCTTGTGACGAATTAATTAAGTGAATGAGCGGCACTGTCCACCAATGTTTTGTTTTCTAGAGAAACTTGTGTTGTTTTGATGTCTAAAGGAAGTGACGTAACCGCACTTGACAACCAACAGTGTACTCCACTTCATCTAGCCGTCAAGGTTGGCTCATTGGAAACTGTCCGACTGTTGTTGAGTCCTATGTTGCCAAATACACTTGAGGTTAAAGATAAAGATCAAAACACACCCCTTCATGTGGCAGGAATGCATAATCGAGTCGAAATTTTAAATTTTCTTTTGGACCAAGGAGCTGATGTCACGGCTCGAAATAGCAAGAATATGACTTGTCTCGACGAGGCTATTGAGTGGAATGCAGTTGAAGTGGCAGAAACACTCGTCAGGCATAAAAGGTTAAGTATGGTTAGAACGTTTGGTCCATTACGGTTGGCTCGATGAGACGTAATCCTTCATATAACCCTTATTCTAAGCTTATCTCTCTTAGGTTATCTTTTGGATTAACGTGGGAGCTCTATTCTTGTGCCCGGCTCTCTCCCTGATAGAATAAATTTGGTGAATAGCCAAAATTATTTTCAAAAGATCTCCAAAACAGGATTGATCTATTAAAGAAGTCTTACAAACTACGCGTCTTAAGGAATTCGCTTTCCTAGCTTGATCCTTTCTTCAATTAAAAATGAAACATAAACTTGATTTCTTGAGAGATGCAATGAATTAATTGGGCTTTCTTGTTGTTAGGATTGTATACCCTTTTTTATGAATTCCACAACCGGCTTACGGCGTACATTTGCAATTGGTAAGGAAACTGTTCCCAAGTGATTTTCGAAAGTGAAGCTCTCGCCGTCATACAGGAACACTGTCAAAACAAAACCTTGTAACATAGAATTGTTTTCATAAGTTCCTCGGCATTTCATTGCGTTGGAGTTCGATGTTATCTCATGGTTGTTTTTTGACGTTTATTTTCTAGATGGAAGGAGGTTTTGTGCGACACTCCTGTGGATCAAATTACACCCATGGAAAAACTGATAGAAAAGCTTCCGGGAGTAGCAGAGATTGTTTTGGATCAGTGCATCAACTACAGCGACCTGCCAACTAATCATCCCGATTTTACGGTCTCTTTCAATTTCCTTCCTTTGGATCCGGCTGCTGATCCAACAGGTCATCATTACTTTTTCGGTCCAGCTTCCATGGCAAAGTATCGTCGAGAGAGTCTCTTAGATCATTGTGTGACGCAGACGCTTTTAAAGTGGAAATGGCTTGTTCTAGGAAAGTATGTTAGCTATTTTAACTTCGCAGTTTTCATCGCATTTCTTGTAGTTTTTTCCGTTTTCATCGTCCAGCAAAGAGACAAAGTGAACTTTTCAAGTGGCAATGCAGTGACCGAGGCTGGCGAGGATTCCAAGAGCCTTCCAGGAGTTATCTTTGCGTTCTTGATTATATCCTTGTTAAAAGAGATATTTCAGATATTTTGGCAGCGTCTTGGATACTTTAAGGATTACACAAATTTGGTAGACCTAAGCATGTATTTGAGCACTTTGATCTTTATTCTACCTTATTTGACCAACCAAGAGCTTTATGGCGACGTTCGCGTGCAGTGGACTTTCGGAACGTTAGCCTTGTTGCTATGCTACAGCAATTGGTGTCTCTCTCTACGTCGCATAACTTCTTTATCGTTGTACATAACCATGTACATCGAGGTACTGCAGACATTTGTGAGGGTGATCCTCATCTTTGCCGTCTTGCTCTTGGGATATACATTGGTCTTCTACGTTCTTTTAAAAGAAGAGGTAAGATGTTAATTTTTTGAAGCTAACGTTGTGCAATGTTAATTACTAGCATGCACAATAAGAACCACCGACCATAAATATGGAGAATCCGCCAACTGTTGCAAAATTTCGTTATTCATTTTATTTTTGCTGAAGGACCCTTTGATGAACCTTTTTCTAAAATTAGATCTTGTTAATTTTTGCCAAAATAGTTTCCATTAATGGCATTGGATGAGTTGTTACCGGCTCATTCAGGTCTGCCGTTGAAACTTCAATAGATTCTAAATTAAATTCTCATTACCTTTACGTCGAGGGTTGATCACAACTTACAGTTTATTAGATATCTTGGTCACTGTGTGCGCTTACGTTGCCTTTCTTTTCAGGATACCTTTTCATCTGTTTGGGTTTCGATGGCGAAAATATTTGTTATGTTGTTGGGCGAAGTGGACTATACTGACATTCTGTCTGACAACGTGGTGAACAGCGCCAAAGTCCCGGGCACGAGTAACCTGTACGTTCCTCTACCGGTGCTGTCGTATATCTTATTCATACTGTTCGTGTTGTCAGTCTCCATCGTCCTTATGAATCTCCTGGTGAGTCACTGTACCCATAATTAGCTCCATACTCGATGGTGCGATCAAAAGAAAAAAAGAAAGGTTACAAATACCCAAAGCCGACTTGCTTGTTATTCATCTTAATTCCGCCGCGGGGGACTAGGCTATATAGTTCATTACGGGGCCCCTTAAACGTACACTAGTGTCTTTCAAACTACCTAAGTTTAATGATTTACTTTGTGTATAGGCCCCTTTTAAATTTGTTTTTTCTTCTGATTAGCCTCAGTGATAGTTTTACTTTGGTGAGTCCTTAACGGAATTCTCCAATTGAGGGCCTTACCTGTACACTAGTGTCAGACTTATTGGAATACATGATTTACCTTGTGTTCTTACTGACTCCTTCTCGAATTTTCGGTTTTTTTTATTGACCTCTTTAGTAGTTAACTTTGGCTTTGCAACATTCAACTGAGAAGCGCTCTAATTACTGTTACTATGTTAGGTCGGTCTGGCCGTTGGGGACATAGACTCTATTCAGAAGACAGCAACTCTGCGAAATTTGATAGATCAAGCTTTGTTAGTGGACAGTATACGAAAGAGATATCCGACGTGGATGTTAAGACTAACTTACAAAGAATACCTTGAGTTCAAACTGAATCAGAACACGACTGTTAAGAGGTATGTTTTGCATTAAAACGTACTCAGATCGTGTTGGTGAACTACTCAAAGCCCGCTTTTAAAATGCAGATTTGAATTGTGTGGATTTTTCCAGTGGAGTTGAAAGTTGAAAGCTTCCACAGAATGACTCTTGAAACGGCCTTCTGAATTTCCTAATTTTTTAATACAAATGCAAGAAACAAAGGCGGCCACCTTTATTCAAGGAGAATCATTTGCAAAGGGGAAATGCTCTTATGATATAGTAATTACCCGCAAAACGTGTCATATATACAGTGCTATCGTGAAAAAAAGAAGAGTCACAAATTCTGCTTTTCTTTCAGATTTGTATTTTCTGGTACGGGTCTCTCAAATGAAGATTTCCTGGATATCATTGGCAAGAACGAATCCAGCCAAAACGAAGATGAAGGTGACTTAGATGAGTATGATCGGCAGAGGATCGAAAGGCAAGAAGAACAAATGAAGAGACTTCAAGCCACTGTAGATGCTCAAAGCAAAGTACTCACAGCCATAGCTAATAAACTGGGGATAAATGAATAACTAAACACATGTTAAGTAAATGCCAATTTTATCCGGACAAATTCAAATACGAAGAAGGACGCATTATGTCGTTCAGAATGCATTTCCCAGTCATCAATTAGCGAACAATTCCCCTTTTGCTAGCCATGTTTGCATGCCACGACAAGGTTTGTAATTACAATGTCAGAATCAGTTTTAATATATTTTCTGGTAATTAAAGATTAGTGAATCAAATGATTGACGTCGTCGGGTGAATTATCTGAGAAAACTGAACTAATTCACATTTGAATTCATCTTGCGATATATTTACTTCAGTTCTTGAAAGGGAGAAAAAAAATAGAAACGCTCAAATATTTATAGGGCGGTCGTTTCTAAAATGTTTGTTCAAGACGGTGTAGCCTGTGATAAAATCGGCCCTAGGGCACATCCCTCTCTTTTTAGAGACCACTGATGTAAGATAGGATATCACTCTCCCTTCCAGGGTGACACAATGAGATCCTGAGTATGCCTACTTTAGAAATTGCTGTCGGCAATATCAGATTCTTCTGGAGAGTCTTTCATGAAAAAAAGAAAAAAAAAATTTAGTGGCGCGTGTTACGTTTTAATTTTTCGAAATTTGTCTGGTCTCGCTACTAATAAATGTTGCGTAGTTGGAACATTAAATTCAACGCAATTTTCTCAGATATTTGTACAGTTCACATAGGAAACGTTTCACCATCGCCGTATATTTATAAGTTTATGAATTAAAAAAAAAATAAAAACAAGAAAAAACAAAACAAAACAGAAAGGCCGAAGAAAAACTGTCGTTCGTGTCAGGCTGGTGATCATGAAATTCAAGCGTCATTTTAGAACTCTTAAAACGGTAATTGCTCTAAAAAGTGATATTGAAATATCAGTTGCTTGGACTAACTTCCTTACTTTACGACAGGAGAAGCAACCAGTTAGGCTCAGAAAACCCCTGATTTATTTATCGATTTATCTCTCTTCGCATAATCTTTCGTTAATTAGGAAAAAATTAACAAATGTCACTATCCACTTCAGTGTCGTTGATTCACCTGTTTTGGTAAAAATTGGAGTACGATTTCCGCCGCTGAACGAAGAACAGTGCAATCAGTTAAAAGAGCTGTGATAATGCCAATTTTGTATTATCAAGAGCATAATAAATCATTACAATAACACGTTTCGTTGAAGGACAAGTATGCCAAGCTGTTTGCTTTTTTCCCATCCACCGCCTCCATTTCGTGCTATTTACCAAAGCAACTGTTGTGAAACTAATCATCTGTAATTAATATGACTTCATCTGCATCTTCGGACGTGTTTCGGATTTGGCGCTGATCGTGTAACGTCAGAAAGTGTTGTTGGCGATCACGTTCGCCGACCTTCATCATCATCATGAGCAATCTAATGTCGACATATCGAGTTGTTGGGGGACAAAATGGAAAAGGTTTGATACCTACCCCTTTTCTTACCTATATTGATTGTTTACTGTGACAAAGAAACGATGCTTTCCTCAGTTTAGAGTGAGGAGAATTGGTTGTTTATTATGACACAGACACGATTGCTTTCTTAGTTTAGTTTACGAAGATGTGGCAGAGCTACTATTCCAATTCAAGTTGAAGATTTGATCCAGTCCTTTTTATTATTTACCAAATGAGAAATGGAGACTAAATTGTTCGAAAGTTGCTTTACATGCTCCTATATTCTTGCGTGGGAAGTACGTGCGTTTTTATGATTGCATGCGGTTTTGTCACGAAAACGCGATCAGTGCTGCTGATTGTTTCGGCTAGGTTAAGACTCACTAACTTATTTAGAACGAAGAAGTAGTTTTATGAAATAATCAACTACCGAATAAATGAGAAGACAGAACAAGTTATTTATGAGTAACAAGGCATTATAAGTCAATTTACTTTCAAAACTTTTAATTAGAAGAAACCTGAACTACTTAGAATCTAATTAAAAGCTCCGATGATTTCAGATGTTGATATCCCGAGATCAAGCCGGGATTGTTAAGGTTACAGGACAGGAGTTGAGAAGCATCGATCCCGACTGCTCTCGATGTCTGTAACACAACTAGCTCAGTGTTCTGTCTTTCCCTGTTGAACTTGTTAGATGCATCAAATGTGATAATATCAAATTGAAATGACGCTCTTTCATTAAATTCAGAAAGCAATACAATCATATCGCTTCATAATACTGGTAAATCATCACAAAAGTCGCATGCGTACTTTTAGAGCAAAATGAGTCCCCATTCTCCTTTTAATTATTTAGGTAAAGAATGATTTGTTCACTAGCAGTGCTTGTGTGACACAGATATTCTCTCTGTGAAGATTGCTCACCTTCTTCTCACCAGTAACAGTGGCCAGAAAAAGCATAATTCTTTGCGAAAATAAATCTTGTTAATTTTTAAGTTCGTTGGAAATATTCCTCTGACTTTTTCATTGTGGATTGTGCGATCTGACGTTCTGATATGTAAATTAATTTAATTATTTTGTCATAAAAGTCTCATTCGGAGAGGATTTATCGCTTATTTGATAACGTTTACAGCACCTGCAGTAAATGTTTACAGAAACAGCTTGAAATGCCGTATATTAAATGAAGCAGCTCAGAATAAAAATATTCAAAATACACTAATTTTACCAAACATTGGATTAAAAACTGTGCAACAAAAGGAACTAGTCTCTTTCTGGGCAAATTTCTAAGAATAAGAGAGATTGAGTTTTTTATCGCGCATGGTAAGTAGAAGAGTTAATTTTCAGCTGCTAAGTTTTCCTCTGTTACTCGATGTCTTTTTGACCTTTCATCTCCTTCCTTGGCCATCTATGTTTCCCCTTGGAGAGGTTTTAATTTTTTTAACCGCAAGTTGCTAAGTGGGAATCGAACAGGATAGCGGTCATGGTTGAAGAACAAGTAAATATTGGACCAAAATAATACCCATGTTTTTTGATAGTTGACATTTCAGGGAATGATGAAGTAGCTCTGATGGCGACAGCTTTTCTATATTTTCGAAGAAAAGTTGCAATATCGTGCACTCGAGTGTTCTCTAACGAAGAGGACGAAGGAGCACGCCGATAGCGAGAGTTTATAATCGCGTGTGATTGTGATCTCTGTTAATCTGCAAAATTTTCGGGCATGCAAACATATTTTTTCACTCTTCCATGGTCTATAGATGAATTTAATGTTCACCTCTATATTCGGGTCTCACAAGTTCAATCAAATTTACCATGGTTGCCAACCTGAAAAAACCCTTTGATTCAGGGATGGGGCCGAAAGCAAACTCAGAAAACTTGACTCTCATTCGCCAGAGTGAAGAGCTAACTTTTATTAAAGCACCCGTGACACAAGCCCATGGTCATCCTTACCCTATTCCTGTAAAAGGCTGAAATCATGAAATAAAATGTTATGTAAATCTTATCAATAGATACTGCAAGGTTGAGGTCTGGGGGCACCCAACGCAGCAACGCATCTTTGAACAAAGTTGATCCTTGGTTCGACAACGATTCTGTGGAACTAATGAACTACAATCCTGGTGACGTTGATGGAACTCGCATCCAGGTTCCTAATGTTGAAGTATATAGGCCGACCATGAATAGCTTTATTTACTTCTCGAACGAGAATTTTGCAGCCAAGGTAAATGTGAACACATTGAATCGGGAAGGAGTGGCCCCAATTCATCGAGCTGTTCGCATTAATGATGTTGGGGCATTAGCCTCTTTATTAGAAAGCGGCGCAGATATCAATCTTGCAGACAGAACTGGATCGACGCCTCTTATCACTGCTGCAAGGTATACACAAGTCAGTTCATCAGCCGTACATTTTAATAACTCCACATAGAGAGATTCTCAATCTAGATAGCGCGGAATATTCTTTCTCTTTCTTCTACTTTGATTTAAATCTTAGCCTTTTTTACACTAATAACCGAATAGGAGAAAAGTGAAAACAAAGGCAATCCTTTATTACATTTCATGTTGCAATTTAATACGTTTTATAAGAGGATAATTGTGCAGTCCCACTCGTTTTATAAGTAAAGATTGATCCAAATTTAAGCGACATAAGTTTTGCTCAACAAGCAAACAGGCACCTTGGCTTCGTGAATCGAACAATGCTGGAAATAAATATGTTGAATTTAAAGTAGAACTTTGTATCGTTGTTTCGTTTGCAGGTTTAACAGATCAGAGGTGGTTAAGCTTCTTCTTGAAAGAGGAGCTAATCCTCTTATAGGAAATGAGTCTTCTTCGATTTCACCACTTCACGAAGCTGCCAGAAGGGGTTTCACGGAGATTTGTATTCTACTGCTGAATGATTCCAGAATAAAAGCTACCACTATAAACTACGGACATATTTCGCCTTTGCACATGGCCTGCTTCGGCGGAGATCGAGCCACATGTGAAGTGATCTTAAAACATGGTGCCGATGTTACCTACATTTCGAAGGTAACTAAAAATACTCCACTTCATTTTGCGGCTTGGAATGGGGATGAATATAATTGCAAGCTTCTTATCAACGCAGGTAATTGTTCGTTCTCCCTGACGTACATGAACCATTTGTTATGGTTCGTGTTGGTTTCGAGGACTCGTTTAAAACAAGAGAATCACACGATACTATTTTCAGTATTGGCCAGTCAACTTGTACGAGGGAATACTTCACGGACATGTTTTTCAAAGTGTGTGCCGCTATAAGGTAGCTCATAGGGTAATAGGTCTGAAATGCGGTACTGAGATCACAGCGAACATAGAGTGCTGAGAATTGTATCGCTAAATGATTGGAAAGCTGTTTCCGAAACGACTTCTCTTCTGGATCTCTTTTGCGAATAGTGTGTTCAGTAATCGATATATTTGGAACGGGTGGTGTTTTTATATCGTCCAGGAGAATTTGAAGTGTACCCAAATGCTATCTATAATAGCAACTTAGGATTGTCAGAGACCCTGTGACATGCGCTACGCACCAAAATTCAACATAACCCCATGAGAAATATCATGACTTTATAGTATTATTTCTTCGAGAAATACCTAGTCGGTTATCATGAAAAAGTTTCTTGCTATACGAAACGTAGAGTATTAAATTAACTTAGGTTTAAAATAGAAATTGTCAATTGTTTCTTTTTTGTTTGTTTGTTTTGTAAAAGCTTCCAAGACGCTCTCCTCTGTAAGCGAATATATCAATACAAGAAACAAAGAAGGATCAACAGCCTTTCATGTTGCGTGCATGAGAGGAAATGTGAATGTAGCTGAACTTTTTTTGCGTCACGGAGCGGATCATGATTCGCATAATTGGTCGGAGAACATGTCCCCACTTCATCATGCAGCCAAATGCGGCTTTGTGGAGTTGGTTGAACTCCTCATCTTGTACGGAGTAGTCGTTGATGCAAGGGATAGGAATATAAGGACACCATTGCACAGGTAGCTAATTTGGGATATTTGTGGAAAGTTTCTAATACTTTTTCTTTACCCTGCATGGATTACCAGTTTCATGCAACAGAGTGTAAATTTAAGATTGAGGGTAGTCGACAAAGCACGAAGTCTAATCACAGCATGACTGTGTAAGTTAAATGCCTTCTGGCCTGAGAGTCAATCTGAATGGGAACATGGAAACGAATGTTCACATATAGAATGGATTCATTTTGAGTTTACAGCATTTGCCTTTTCGTCTCCAGTTACTATTGAGGAGAATTTTGTATTTAGGACCAAGAGAAAATAAGGTGATTTTCTGTTGATAGGACAGAATTGCATAATATTCTGTGAAAATCATCTCTGACATTGCATAGTAGAGAATCAAAAACATTGTTTAATCCTTTTTTGAGTAAGTTTTTTTTTAATTCTTTACTTCTTCTTCCTCTTTTCAAATTGCCAATAATTCGGTTGAGCGTCTCTTCAACAATTTTCTTTCTGGCTGCGGAGCTCATTTATGATAACTTCGGTGTACTATCAACCACAATTTTTAATAATTAACACATTTTTCTTGTTTTTTGATGAAAATTTAGTGCTGCAACATTTAATCACGTTCGAATAGTCGAGCTACTTGTGGAGAATGGAGCAGATCTAGAGACCAAAGACCAGTTATCGATGACGCCTCTGCTGTTGGCAGTGAGCCATGGAGCATGCCACACTGTGAAAGCTTTGTTGGACTGCGGAGCGGATATAACCGCAGTGGACTCTTCATTGAATAGTTGCCTTCATTTGGCAGTAATCTTCAATAAGCCGGAAATGGTGAAGCTATTATTAGAAAGGGACGGAGACAAATTGATAAGATGTAGGGAAAAAGACTTGAAGACAGTGTTTCATTTGGCAGCTGTTCTGAAAGATCCAAAGGTACTTACTGTAACATGGCAGCTTTTCCCAACGAAACGGCGATGTCAGCCACTCAGGGGTTATATGGTCTTTCCTAACCAATTTCCACTATAGCAATAGCATTGTACCCCAAAGAAACCTGAAAGCGGAGACGACCGAGTCCCGCATTCTGGCGAATTAAAAGAAACGAACAACTTATACTTTGCCCTCCAGGAACTAACTGAATAAATTTGCAAACTTTTTGTTTGTCTCTTTAGATTCTGGAAATTCTCGTTCAAAGGGCGCCGAAAACGGAGGAATATTTTTGCCTGCGGGATGCACACGAGAAATTGCCTATTCACGATGCCGCTGCAAGTGGATCCCTTAATTGCTTGCGGGTTCTCACTCTTTGCCCTTTTCTTGTAAATGAGAGAGACACGGAAGGAAGTTCGCCTCTTCATTTAGCTGCCAGCAACAAGCACACGTGGGTACCCCTTATGATGTTTTGTTTAAAAAATACTCCAACGTGCTCACTCACGCAAAGCCATTGTATTACGACATTAAATGCATTTGAGACTTTGTCTAGACTCGTATGTTGCGCCATAGTGCTCTCCACTCGGTCCAATCGGATTTAGACTTTTTTTAAGCTGGCTACTTTATAAACGCAATCTGCTATTTCAGTTTTTCTAGCAAAACTCTCTAAGGCTTTCGCTGTGACCAAGGCTTTGTCACAAATCTTGAAAATACACTTGATGTACATGTGCAGCATCCAAACATATTTTGTTTCCTTAATTCTTCATGTATAATTTTCAGCGAGGCATGTGAGCTATTGATCCTGAAAGGAGCTGAAGTAACTTCCAGTGATATACACGGTCGCACGGCTCTTCATTTGGCAGTCAAGGCTGGTTCTTTAAAAACAGTCAAGATTGTACTTAATTACCTTTTGTTAAGCACGCTCGAGGAAAAAGACGAAGATGGGAACACTCCTCTTCACATAGCCTGCAGGTACAATCGCCTTGATATTCTCCACTTCTTTTTGGACCAAGGAGCTGACGTCACGGCTCTAAATAACAGAAAAATGACTTGCCTTGATGCTGCTATTGAATGGGAAGCCAAAGATGTGGCCATGACACTGATGAAACACGAAAGGTACATTTTTAGGTCTTGAAATCAGCTGGGGAGAAGAGGAGTTGATGTTCTTGTTCTATTTAGGTGTATATACATAGGTTCACTTAAGGGAAAATTGTCTTCAGCCACCTAAAGGATTGTTCGGGGCAAGGAGGAAGTGCACGACACACATTGTTGGCTTGGTTTGCTTCGAGGTTTGACTTGACCATATTTTCCTGTGATATTTGTTCGTCCCTCCATTTCACCTGAGCAGCAGCTAGCGCTGTGAACTTTCGCTCATAGCCAATTTATTCTAATGAGTGTGTTACCGGCATTACAGTGAAAAAGAAATTTTTAATAGGATAAGGAAGCTTCTAATGAGTGAAAAAGAAAATAGTGGAGATAACATGAATTCCACCAGGAAAAAGGTAACAAATAGATTGCATGTTTCCGTGCGTTTGTCCAATAATAGATCACAGATGACGCCAATATGTGGTAAGAACAAAAACGTGGCGTAACATGCGCAGCTCAGTGTGTAACCGATGTTCTTACCATAATTTGACGTCGTCTGAGATCTATTATTGGACAAACGCACAACAACATTGAATCTACTTGTTTTACGCCATAAAAAGCGAAATATAGTTAATGGTGACGTCATCTAACCATGCGTCTGTCCTCCAATAGGTCATAGGCAACAACCAATTGAAATGCATGTATGATTTATCTTATCATATAATGACCATTAAGAACCAATGCTATTCCTTGATTACTTAGTTGTTAAACGTTGAAATTGCATAATGTTTTAATGGCTATTGAATTGTTATAAATTTTTAGGTGGGAAGAGATGCTGCAATGCTCACCAGGTGTTGGTGTTCACCCGATGAGAAAACTGATCGAAAAACTTCCAGATGTGGCAGAAGTTGTTCTTGATAAGTGCATTACCTACAGTCCACACCCTCCGTCTCACGAAGAATTCTCTGTTACATTTAACCTGGTTCATTTGGATCCTGAGCCTGATTGTCACAGTTACTTCGGGCCAGCATGCATGGCAAAAGATCGACGAGAAAAATTGCTCAATCACAGTGTCACTCAAGCGTTGTTGAGATGGAAATGGCTAATTTTGGGAAAGTGTGTCTCCTTGATTAACTGTGTTGTAATGGCCGCTTATGTCATCCTGTTCTCGTATCTCTTTGTCGAAGAGAGGAACAAAATCAATTTTTCATTGACCTCTTCTGAGAAAGCAGCCAACGGAGATGTTAAAATCAATTCGTCGTTTGAGCTGACCGTGGCTTATGTTTTACTAGCGTTTTTGATCGTGCAGCTCATCAAGGAAGTTATTCAAATCATTTGGCAGCGTTTTTCTTACTTTAGGGATATCACAAACTTGTCAGAGTTAGTAATGTACGTATTAGTCTGGATTTTTATACTTCCTCATATGACTGGGAGAATTATATACAGCACACAGACTCAATGGATAGCAGGTATACTCGGTCTTCTACTAAGCTACATCAATTTTACATTATCTCTTCGTCGCTTTGGTGGACTTGGTTTGTACGTCACAATGTACGTGGAAGTTCTTTATACATTTCTGAAAGTGATGTCCACATTTATGATTGCCCTGATTGGATTCACCTTGGTATTTTATGCCTTGTTGAAAGAACAGGTAGGAACGGTTTCGCAGATATTACGGAACTTTTCGTATTCATTACCGTAAAAACTAGTGATGTTTCAAAAAAGACGTGTTCGGATCAATTCGGGGCATTATTTTGTGACTGGAACTGAAATGTGAACTTCTATGTGAATGTTAAGTGCATGAAGATCCATCGGTATAAAATAGCAGAATCGTTCGCGATACAGTATAATTTTCTGGTGTTTCAAGTTTTATATCATTTCTGAATGTTAACTTGCATTTCACGCTTTATAAAAATTTGTCTGAAAAACCTTCAGCTTCTTTGGGCTCTTACAGCTGACAAAAATTGCTTGCTTATAAATATAAAGAGTACTTCTTATGAATGGAATTGCATGCCTTATAGGTTTTGGGTTTATTTCTCTCTTAGGGTAATTTCTCATCTTTCTGGTACGCTTTTGCAAAGATCCACGTCACAATGGTTGGTGAGTTAGACTACTCAAATATGTTGGTTGACAAAGCTGTGGACAACGAGACAGTGCCTGGAACAAACATTCCATATGTTCCTTTGCCAACACTTACCTTCTGTCTGTTCTTAGCGTTCATATTGTTAGGTAGTGTTGTGCTCGTCAACTTGCTGGTATGTAAGATATCAATTCCCTATGTCACTATATTACAGGCCACCAGTTGCTTGACATACATCAAAAAACGATCTTTAGTTGTAAGGCGAGCTGAGCAGAGTATCGTTAGTCATTGATAAGACGTGGTTTTCTCTACCTGGAGAAAGATATATTTGGGGTTCTTGTTGATACATTCTATAATTCGATGTCTCTATAGTAGTGGAAGTTGAAGTTGGAGTAGCAGTTAGAGTTAGTAAATGTTGTAAGAGTAAGGCAGTGGTACATTAAAGAAGTAGCTATTGTGATCCAAGACTCCTGGTACCCTTCGTTCAGCGAGTTTGTTCAAGCTGTAGTCTCCTAACGTTCCAATGAGGAGGTGAACCCGGGCACCGGGCATGGTTGCTACGTCGATCGGGCAGTTGCTGTTATTATCATCCAAAAGTTAACGAAAGTTGTGTTCCATAATCATAGGTTGGTTTAGCAGTTGGAGATATCGAGTCTATTCAGAGGACAGCTAGTTTACGAGCCTTGATTGACCAAGTGTTTTTAGTTGACGACATCGTCAAATCCTATCCAAGGTGGATTTTACGAAAGATCTACAGAAGCTCGTTGAGAATAAAACCAAATCAAAACAGTTTCATGAAGTGGTAAGTATTGTTTTTCGATACGTAACTTTTCTTTCTTTTTTATTTTCACGTCAGTGGCCACTTCATTCGTGAGCTTTCATCTACATCTCAGTCTCTAATTCTTCTATATCCGGTGTTTGTTCCTTGATTAATTTTATGTATCACTCTGAGAGATTATCCCTGTTAATCAACTGCCTTCCGAATGAGTTGTCATGCAGTCACGCCCAAAGTTTAGGCTAATGGGATCTAACGAATTATAAGTCGCAGAATACAAAAGCGGGCAATAACTGTACTGAGGGTTCAACTAAGGGTTCTCAAAGCTTAGTTGATGCCAAAGAGAGACTAAGAAGTTCTATTTTTCATACATGGCAGTTGTATTATTATTTTACTCGAACTCTCATTTACATTTTAGGGTCACACTATCTGCTACCGATATCACAGGAAGTGATTTTGTAGAAATGCTGCTGAACGGCGCATCCAGCGGGAACTCTAGTGATATTTGTCGACAGGCGCAGTTGCAAGAGGAAATACAAGAGGAAAGGATACAAAAACTCCAGGCCGCTGTGGAAGCACAAAGCAAACTCCTTGAGGCAATGGCTGAAAGGTTGAATATAAAGGGTTATCAATAAAAGGCTGGTTGATCACACAAAAGAAAAAAGAAACAACCACCCTCATGAAGGATTGACTATCCCATTTAGCGAATTATGGAACAAGCGACCCAGTGTTCATTGATTCAGTTTGAATATGCGCGCTTGTCCCAGATGTTATTAAGTCTCAAGTAAACGTTCAATCGTTTTCCTTATATTAATATTATTTTAAAGGTGATCATATGTTAAAAGAAATTACTCCCACACCATCTTCCTTGATATTTTGAATGTCCCAGTAGCATTCAGTTTAGGAACTAACTACGTTGAAAGAAAAGAAGATATTAAAATCAAATTAGTTAGAAGTAATCCACTTCAGAAAGTTGCCCTTGTCAGTTATTACATATTTAATTTAATTATGTTGTCATTGTGCATTCATACAGAGTGTAAATGATAAAGAATGTGGAAGTTGCTAATTAAAGTTGCCTGCTAAGTTTGTAAATGCTTTTATTTCTCACCTTCCAACGTCTTCTTGCTGGTCCCTTCTTGGAAGTGTGCATTGGAAATTCAGTGCGTTTCTGCTTCATAAACACTATCCCACATTATCGAGTCCTAATGAAGCCATAAAGCACTACAGTCATAATTACAGTTGGTAAAATATTTTGGCTTATAAGAGTTGTTCTAAACCTGTCACCCGAAACGGGGAAATTTCAGAACTAATTTCCTCAAGTGGTATTGACCTTCAGTGCGTTACCACGATTGTGTAGTTTCCGTCTCTCTTAAATCAAGATGTGAGATAATTTTACAGGTGTTACAGAACAAGATGTCAACAAACTATATCAGAAAACATTGAAAAGTAAATCGTATCGTTTTTAGTAGACTTGATGACTGTAAGGTGATGGCAAACCTTTTGTGGTACGTGCTGCAAATTAAAAAGATGTGGAATGTTGAGAGAATGAATAAATAGAAGAAACCAGTGGTCACCTGACACTTGAGCCTGTTTGGCGTGACAAAATGTTGTCCGCGGACTTAATCTGTCACTCCTAAGCGCTTTCGCAAAGCTTTTCTTTTCTCTGAGTAGATGATGTCTGCACAGAAAATTTGAGCATATTTCACGCAAAATAGAGGCTAATTATAAAAATATTCTTCAACCCAATGACATTAAAGAGTGTGGAAAAAGTCGTTGCGTGATATAACTGACACATTGTGCTAGTCTCGTGCTGTTACGTCAACGTGAGGGTCGTAGAAGAGTGACCACTCATGTGAGACTTTACCCCCATTTCATTTGAAATTTGCATCCTCTTATATCTAACGTTGCGTACGTCACGAAACCGATAAACAGCACCGTCACAATCAATAAGAAGAGCGTTTGGTAATGCTGTAAATCTTACGTTTACTTTGTGTCGGTTTCGCTCCCATGTCGACTTATCGCTCTGTTGGCGTCCTGGATGGAACTGGTTTGTATTCTGTTGTTATTTTAACGGGAAACTTGTTAGAAACGTGATCAGAATGAATGAAATGAACAATGAGGCCACTGAAATATTTCACCTCACTGCTGCGCTTGTTTGTCGTTCGTTGTGAACTTACAAGATAACTGTATGACCATGTCAACCGTCTCGCCCACAAAATATTTTATAATAAATATATTTCAGCTTCTTTCTTACGTTATATATTCTAAGAGTGATTAGGAACCAATGAAGTTATTGTAACGTGTTGCTTGTGTTTCATTATGCCATGCTTTAGATAAATCATAATATGTAACTTCACTCTTGCGTCACTGTCTGATGTTGTCATTGTAGCAACAGGACGTTGTCACAACACTATTGCCCTTTCAAGCTCCCTATCAGTTCCATTACTCCATTAAAAAAAGCAGAAAAGGTCCGAGGCTCAAGTGTTATCGTAATTTCCACTGCTAGGTGCGATCTCCGAAATCCAAACTGATCTTAATTAATTTTCCAATTAAGAAAGAAAGCAGAGACAACATCGATCACAAAGGCCCATATCAGTAGTAATCATGTTAATTTTTGTATCACTTGTTTCATTGATGCTTTTTTCCATGTGCAATGTAAGCAAATGGGGATCATGTTATTCCTTTGTCTTGTAAATTACGACTTCAAAGCTCGCTTGTGTAAACGGCAAGGAGAGTTAATTGAGATTATGATGACTTCACTAGTTCTTCATTGACAAGTAACTACGCAGGGAGGCAGGTGCGTAAAGAAATACGCGAAATCTTGGAGCTTAAGATAACAAGAGAAATCATGCAAATTTTCGGTTATGTTAAATGTCAGCGAGCTCGTAAGTACTGCTTTGTTCTAGTACTGCATCGTATTTAACCCTTTCACTCACAAGATATCATTATTTATTCTCCTTACTGTGTGCCATATCATTTTCACTAGGTCTGTTTGGAGAATTTGGTAGTGGATCAACTAATCATGCCCTCATTGATATTTTTGTTTATTCTCATCACTTGTCTCCTTGATATTGTACCGATATTAGAGGGAGAAATTCAGTCTTGGTCACTCATGGAAGTTAAAGGATTAAGCAGCAAGCAGAAGGAGCTGAGGATAACTCGAAGTTGTACATTTGAATTTAAAACAATAATAATGCAATTTTTTTGGGAGAGGTTACGCCCGTTCCTGGCCTTCAGTCGGTAACACGGAGCGAAGTAGTAAACGACGCGATAGTATCGGCAGAGTGAAAAAGAGCGAGGCTTGGGTCGGGTCGGGTACCACAAAGATCCTACAGCAACATTAGGGTTTGGGGAGCCGATCAAGGAAAAACTGTTGATAGATTATCCAACAGACTTACACTTTTTCAGTTAGGTGACATGCTTAATCTTCGGCAGACGGTTTCTAGGAATTTTTATGGACTTCATCAGTCGTTCTAATATAGTTGATGATGATGATCAAAGTCGGTAAATAAAGGAAAAAATATTGGTCAGAGCCAAAAATTTGCCAAGTAACAAATACAAAGAACAAAACAAATGAAAATATATCTACCAGAAATCTGACATCCGGAACGCTTTTTCTTTCAATATCCTTGTCTCAGGAGAAGAGCAAAAACATAATTTCGATATTTCTTTTGGTGCAATATCTCTGATTTGAAATTTTCAGTGTTGCTTGATATCGGTTGTGCATTCTAAAGATTTGATTTCTCGCCCAGTGCCAAATATGTCCTCTAGCATGAGCAGTACAAAAAAAAAAGCATTGACCAGGATAGACTTCATATTTCTCCCTTGAGAAAGGACAGCCACACTGTGAATTGTACAATCTGTATACTTAGTTATTTAGTGATTTCATTTTGTCATTTCTATTTTGGGCGTTCCTGCGTATTAACATCATAAGAAAAAAAAAAGAAGAAGTAAACAAGATCTTAGAAACTGAAATTAAACTGAACCATTGAAACCAAGCAGAGATCAAAATAAACAAATATACAATATATAAACTACTATTTTTTGTTATTTTTTGTATAACAATTTTCATTATTATTGTCATAATTATTTTTGTTATCACCGTTGTCATTTCTGTAGTTATTATTATTTATATCGTTATTGTTATTAGTTATTTTTTAATAATCTAGTGAATTGGTATTTTTTTGGATGTTGGAGATTGACGAAAAAATAATTGATTTTAACAGATAGTCCGGTTCTGTCGTCCAGAGGTACACAAAGAAGCACCCTCTCTGCATCTAAAGTCAGACCATGGTTTGACAACGAAGGCCTGGAACTTATATCCAACCCCGGAAGTGGCAATGGATCGCGTCATCAAACTCCTACACCGCCAATTGAAACAGAAATCAAACCATTTAAGCCCACTCAAAATGGCTTGCTACACTTTTCAGCTGATGCGTCTCTTTTAAATACGGGAGATATAAACGCTCTTGACGATGAAGGCCTCTCTGCTCTTCACCGAGCCGTCCGTCTTGACGATGTGGAGGGTGTGACGTCTTTGTTGGATAATGGTGCAGATATTAACATATTGGGCATGAGTGGACATACACCCCTTCATGCTGCTGTAAGGTATGTGATTGATTTCCCTGTTTCTAGGTAAGCTTGTATGTGACCCTTCAGGTCACAAGTCACAGGTCATTGGACTGTGCTGTGCAGCGAGTTGCGTTACTGTAGTAGTGTTTTTGTCTCCCGCTTTGAAGTAAATATCAACGGGTGTCGGGTTGGGGCGGGGGCTTCTTCTGATGGATTACACTAGAGTTCATCATTCAAGAAGACGAGCAATAGTACTTGGTGCTTCACGCCGGGAAGACTTACACAAGTTCCTAACTTGAGGGTTTAAATCTCAGAGGACTAACAGTCTTGGCCAGCATTTTGCATGGAATGTTATGGAGTCAAATTGCCACACACGGGTTTTTTCATTTCAGTTAACAGAGTTTGAAGAATCACGGTTTTGTATGACAGAGATATTTTCAGTTCTGTGATTACAATTTCAGGTTTGAAAGATCTAGGATTGTCCAACTTCTGCTGCAAAAAGGAGCTGATCCTTTAAAAGAAAACGAAAATCACTTGACACCACTTCATTTAGCTGCACGAAAGGGTTTAACAGAGATATCCCGCGCTATGTTGAAAGACTCTAGAGTAGGACCTTCCGCATTAAACAAGGGGTGTATCACACCTTTCCACTGCGCCTGCTTAGGTGGAAATCCGGAGGTGTGTGCATTACTTTTGGACGGTGGTGCCGATGTAACTTCCAAAGTATTTAGCACGACTCCCGCCTTAAGTTTAGCTGCTTGGCAGGGCCACGAAGAGGCTTGCCAACTTATCATCGAGAGAGGTAAGCTTTGCAGAGTGTGAAATTGAAACATTTTTAAGGAAGAGAAAATTCAAAGTACTCCAAAATAAAGAGCTTAGCGTATAACGTTCTGAATTGCGCTTTGGGTGTTTTGGGACCGGTTTACAGAAGACTCTTGGTAGTTAAATCTTTAAATGTTGATGGGATATGGAATATCGATGCAATGTTTTATAGAATTAAGAAAATAAGATTGACATATTCGAAGTCTGGTGGTTAAAGAGACAAAGACGCACTCAGAGAACGAGGAACTTTTGAGGGTCATGTGGCTCCCCTTTATTCCCTCACAGATTAAGAAAATATTTCTGGTAACTTAAGCCTTATCACTGCTGCTTTACAGCTTCCAAAAGACTGCCATCTTTAATTGACTTTGTCAACGAACGAGACGAAGAGGGCAAAACTGCTCTTCATAAAGCCTGTGATGGTGGTTTCGAACGAATAGTTGACTTGCTTTTACGTAACGGTGCAGACAGTAATGCGGTGGACTGGGTAGTATGCATGTCTCCTCTTCACTCAGCAGCTAAATATGGTCACTTAGCGGTGGTCGAACTACTTATCTTAAACGGTGCCGTTATTGACGCCAGAAACGGTCGCCTGCAGACGCCCTTGCATAGGTAAGACCGTTTCTGTCTGTTTCTTTTAATAAAAGAAAAATAAGTTGGAAATTAAAGAAGCCTGTTTGTGTATTTTTTATCTGATCCCTTAATAGCCAAGACAAACACTGAATGAGTTTTAAACAAACAAGGCTTGGCATCTTGTCTTGATATAATGGGGGCGTAAAACATTTCTTTTAAAAGAACGTGGCTTTAGACACCATGTTCGTGTTACGACATTGAATATTTAAAAACAAATTATTTCACGCTCTTCGACGGTTTCACGCAATGATATTTAAAAATCAAATCGTAAATTTGAACAATTTTTTTGGATAACAACAACAAAGTAAAATTTTCTTCCGGCGATGATAAAGTGCACCATTCAAACAGTAACTGTCAGATAACTTTGTGATAACAACTAATTATTCAATTTGTGATAAGCGACTATCATACTCTTACCAGTGCCGCAGGATTCAATCACGGCAAGATAGTCGAACTACTTTTGGAGATTGGGGCGGATCCGGAAGCCCGGGATACGTCAGGAATTACACCCTTCCTACTTGCAGTGACCCATGCAGCAAGCTACAGTGTACAGGTTTTGTTAGACAAAGGGGCAGATAAAACAGCTTTGGACTCTTCTTTAAATAGCTGCCTCCATTTGGCTATCAATTACTGCAAGACGGAGATGGTGAAAACCTTATTAGGAAAAGACAAGGATACATTGTTACAGCTTAAGGACAAACACCTGAAAACCGTATTCCATTTAGCTGCTGGCATGAAAGATTCAGAGGTAGCCCTACACATCTCTCTTTTCTCTCAACCAATACAACAACTGGAAACAGTGTTAGCATCCGTTTCTAAATAGCTTAAGGACGCTCCTTTACACACATACATACATTCAATTGTAAAAGTATTGACACCTTGATGGCGTTCGCAATGAATGACGTGACCCAATGGCTTTATGGGTTAACATATCCAATAATCGCACGTTCTAAATGAGAGATCCACGCCTTCCTGAACGACAGAAATTAATAAACAAAGATTTCTCGTGAATAATGGAAAAAGCTTTCACACAGTAATACTTAACCATAAAGGCGTTTTTGCCATCTAGCGTACACACTGTTCCTTTTTGTGGAGCCCCAAAATGTCCCATTTAATTGAGATTCACTAATATAAACTGTTCCTTCTTAAAATTTTGTACCCACGTATCGGTAAGTTTCCTTCTTTAAATTTTAGATTTTGGAAATTCTTCTACAAGAGAAAGACACATCTCCTTTATGCCAGCGTGACGTAAAAGAAAGGCTTCCCCTTCACATCGCAGCTGAAAAAGGCTCAATCCATTGTGTCGAGGCTCTCTCCAGGTGCCATGGATTTTCATTTCACACCCAGCAGACGGATGAAATTGGAAGGACACCTCTACATCTAGCAGCTAGTAACAAACACGCGTGGGTATTTCGATCTGGAATAAAGTCAAATAGAATGAAATCCCCCATAGAGCTCAATTCATCCCCATTAATGGAGATCCAAGAATATTTAAGAAACCACTAGTTCTGTTTTGTGAATATTGCTCCCTTCGTCATCTATAACTTTTGACGCCAAAACATTCCGGTCAAGAGGAAGACTTATATGGCATCAGATAAAACCAACAGAGGACAAAGAGATATCGGATTCTTTCCCCGGCCGCAATCTCCATTTTGAAAATTGCTGACCTGTAAACTTTTTTACTTTTGTAGCACACCAAAGGGAAATCAGTTTAAGAGCGATGAGTTCGTTTACGGCGTAACTGATTCGGTGAAACACGATTAAGCATGCATGCATGGGGTGGGATAAGATCTAAAGAATTCCACTCACAAACATCCAAGTAAAGGGTTAAAATAGATTACCAAACGATTACAATTTTTGGAAATATTTTTGTTTTGCTTTTTACTTTTGGTCGCATCTTTGCAATCCTAGGGAAACATGCAGAGTCTTACTGAAAAATGGCGCCGAAGTTTTTCAAATGGATGCGAGAGGTTTTACTGCACTTCACCACGCAGTAGAAGCTGGATCACTGCAGACCGTTAAAATTTTGCTAGACTGCCGTTTGCCAAGTACTTTAGAACGAGTAGATTTAAGCAACAACACACCACTTCACATAGCGTGTATGCACAATCGTCCTGATATTTTAAGTTTCCTGCTGGACCAAGGAGCTAACGTTACAGCCAAGAATAAAAGGAACATGACTTGCCTTGATGTGGCCGTTGAATGGGAAGCGAGCGAAGTTGCCATGACGTTAATGAGGCATCCAAGGTTCGTCAAGTAGAATAAAATGAATATAAAAGTCGGTCTTGATGTTATATCCCAATTTGCAACTGAAAAAATTTGAAGCAAAGTGTTGCGCTCACAGTCTAATTATAAGACTCAGTTCGAATTTCTTACAACAAGTTTACATAGACCAGAAAAAAAAAGCCAACATTGAACAAATTACGTCCCCATACACTACTTAAAATTGAAACCTGTTATCTGGAAGTAACAACTTAAAAAAATAAGTAATTTCTGGCCGCAAAAGGCGACGTAGTGTTATAGTTAGCGCGCTGGACTCAGCTCGAGATTTATCAGGTAGTTGTAAATTGTCTTAAGCAATGCGTGCTCTCACATAACCTTCACGAAGTAGTATAAATGAATACCAAAGAGCTGTGGGAAATCCTGTGGAGGGGGTAAAGATAGTTACAAGGAAAAAGCATACCGTCCCAAGTGATAAGCAGTACTCCTAGTCAGGCTTAAAACACTTTTAAAAGAAATGTCGCGTTCTATATCAATTCCCTTGCTTCTTTTTACAGATGGGAAGAGGTGCTTAATTACTACCCTGACGATGGTGTCTGCTCAATGGATAAATTGATCGAAAAGCTGCCGAATGTGGCAGAAATTGTTCTCGACAATTGTATAAGTTACAGTCCTCTTCCTCCATCACACGAAGATTTTTCTGTAAGGTTCAACCTCCTTCCACTAGATCCCAACACGAATTCGGGATGCAGTAATTACTTTGGACCAGCGTGTATGGCAAAACATCGGCGAGAAAAGTTACTGAATCATAATGTCACCCAAGCTTTGCTGAGATGGAAGTGGATGATTCTTGGAAAGTTCGTTACTTTCTTCAACATGTTAGTATTTGCTGTTTTCGTCGCCTTGTTTTCAAGCTTCATTGTCAAAGAAAGAGAAAAAGTAAAACTTTCACATGCTTCGAAGGATGAGATAGCAATTGTTGAAGACAATGATAGCTTCCTGAGCCACACACCATGGATCATAATTATATTTTCAGTTGTTCAGCTCGTCAAAGAGCTTATCCAAATGTTTTGGCTTCGGTTGTCGTACTTTAAAGATCTCACAAACTTATTTGAACTTATCATGTTTGCCTTCGTGTGGATGTTCACCCTTTCTTCCATCTCGGAATCGTTTTCCTTAACCGCGGAAGTGCGATGGTCGGTCGGGGTATTGGGATTATTTATGTCCTACATCAGTTTGACATTATATTTTCGTCGTTTTGGTGGACTTGGCTTATACGTAACAATGTACGTTGAGGTACTCTTTACCTTTGTCAAAGTGATATCCACTTTCATGATCGCCCTGACTGGTTATGCCTTGGTTTTCTACGTACTACTAAAGGAACAGGTGAGGGGACGGGTGCTATTCGCAACATTAGAGCGATAGTTTACAAACACGTGATCTTATTGGAATACAATCCAAAAATGTGTGGATGGATGGGTCGAATGATGAAAGATTCAGTAATCAATGCTGGGGAAAGGACTGAACAACATGTACACAACTTTTACCTTTTTTCGCTTGGTAGGTGTTGAAAGACTAGCCTTTCAACAAAGCTCTACTTATTTCACTTAAATGTTATGGGCTGTTCTGATTTTTAATAATTTCATTCATTCGCAGGGTAATTTCTCAGATTTTTGGTTCTCAACGGCAAAGATCCTTGTGATGATGGTTGGGGAACTGGATTATACAGACATGTTGGTTGAACACGTTGTAAACAACCAGACAGTACCTGGGACAAGTTTCCCATATGTTCCTCTGCCGAGACTAACGTTTGCGCTTTTCTTAGTGTTCATTTTGATGGTATCCATTGTGCTAGTCAACTTGTTGGTAAGCCAATGATTGTATACGATTCCTCTTCCTTACTGGCCCAAGAATGACATTATCCATCGATACAGCTTCCATTGTATCACTTGATTCTCTGATTCCCTTCTAGCTCCTTTCATGTTAATTGCTTCCTCTCTTCTTTCCCTACAATGAGACAGACTTCTACTAAAAAGCTAATCTGCTGCCAATAAAACGAAAATCAGCGAAACATGCTGTGTTTTGTGTAAGACACGTTGTGCTTTGGGAAGGATCAAAAGTATGTCTGATAATTTGAGAACCATATTCAATCATCTGTTCTCATCCATCCTTCTCAACGTGTACTCTTTCTAGAGGGAATGCGTTGATGATAAATGATGTATGATATATGTGTCGATAGATACATGAAATGAGAAATATCTGACAATTTTACAACAACTTGAGCTAGGATAACTCTTCAGAAACTTTGTTTCTGTGTAGGTTGGTTTGGCGGTTGGAGACATTGAGTCTATCCAAAGGACAGCAAGTCTACGAGCTTTAATAGATCAGGTGTTTTTGGTTGACAGCATCATGAAGTCGTATCCGAAGTGGATTCTGCGAAGGATTCACAAAAGTTCGTTGGAAATAAAACCAAATCAAAAAAATTTCCTGAAAAGGTAGGTATCTGATTGTGAAATCCACATGAAAGAAGAGAAAATTCACGTTACAGATCTAGTAAAGTAACTTATTTTTTTGCATTTATTTGATTGTGGAATTCTTATAATCGATATTAAAGTGTCTTCCTACAAAATTGCACATCAAGGCCGGCAGAAGCTTAAATAATTTTGTTCTCCAAGTGCTTGTAGTTAGCTCCTTGTCTGATTGACGTTGGCATATATTAGGGTAATTTAGTATTATCAAGTGAGTTGATATCGTAAATTGGCCACCGTAAAGAATTTAAAAGGTACATATTGCTTGTCTTGACAAGGTAAAGTCTCTTTCATCTACTTAAAACCTATTTTAGTTTGGTTGAGGAAGATCAGTTACAGTTGGTAAGAGGGATTCCTTGACGATTTCTGGCTAATCGATGATAGAACCCCACATGTCATCTTGTGGACGATTAATGTCATATCCCTTTAATTTTTTATCAACTCTTTATTACTTCGAAGGGTTCTCCTCGCTGGTTCAGATGTTTCGGGTCGGGAGTTCATTGAACTGCTCATAAGTCGCAAATCAGGTTCGACCACCCCAGAGCAGGCAAGGGATGAAACACAAGGAGAGAGCATCAGAAACCTACAGGCCACGGTAGAAGCTCAGGGGAGGCTTCTTCAAGCGATGGCTGATAGGTTAAGAATTAGAGAGTAAAATGTTATTCCACTGAATTCAGCGTAATTTTCAAAAGGAAGCTTCGTGAGTATTATATAAAGTAAACTTATTCCGCTCTCTAGATCTGCAGCGATTGACAGATGGTTCAGGCGACAGTGTATGTAAGGTTTGCTTAAGTGTAGCCGTGATCAACTCGAACTGAAGCAGACTATGTAAATGAAATTTACTAGCTGCGTTATGAAAATAGATACTCAGCATCAGCTCAAAACTGTTTTTGCGCGCTGATCTTGAGACCTTCCAATGAAGTATAGTTCCTCCTATCCGTGGATAGCCACTACGAGAAGAATCGCTTTCTTGCCACTCCGAAATCCACCCGCTGCTCTATCATCACCAACGTGTGGGTTTCCTCTTCAAGAAAAACTTAAACACGATGCCACCCATCGGCTCTGAAATTTATTTGGAAATTTTTGATACAAAGTCTGCCACTATAGAGGTACCACTATTCACCCATAGGGCAGTAGGCGGAAATTTTTCGTCTATCTTAGCCGGATTCGTAAGATGCTTAAAAAATACAAACTATCAAAATTTTCATCATCAGCTGAAGTTTTCAACAATTATTTGCCTGTCTGCTTACAATAAAATTTTTGATTTACTGCTGTAACTAAGCTGGAGTGTATCTAAAGTTAAGCCACCAGCGAGGATTTTTTAATGATGGAATTATTGGCAGAGCGTTTCCCATTATACTTTAGAGGAAACGTGCCCGTTTTACTTATTTTAAGATGATGTTCCGAAAAATTGGGTAATTTCATTGATAATCTCATACACGAGCTAAAGTGGTTATAGCAGTGTGAAATATTATCTAATTAACCAACATCGCAGCCAGACTAAGGGCTCCTGAGACACAAAGTACTGACAAGTTCTGATTGGCCTTGTTTAAAATAACATCTTTACGTAGACAACGTGGACACTTCTCGCGATGTAAAATTTAACTCCTTAAATATTTGTGAAGCCTCTTCGAGTAGAGGGTCGCATGGGTTTTAAAATTCATGTGCGACAATCTGCTGGTCTTAATCTCTTCTCAACAGGTGTAAGGCAAAGGTGCGACCTCTTACTGATTTTTTTTATGTTTTGACCACCCGTTTTAAAGATCTTGTGTCCTTACGGTACGTGACTTTCACCAGTGCCACGCGCGCAAAGTCTTGCTATACCTGAGGCTATTCTTAACATGAGATAACAGACTGTAGACACTTGGGCTCACTCTGTTTGGAACATTACCAAAATTTTTCAGTGACATACATTGCCACGTCGATTCTATTATAAATATATTTCTGTTTTTCCTCTTTCAAAACCAAGTTGCTGTGTTTGAGAACAGAATGAGTTAGCTTTCCATTACTCGATAACAACATTCTGGTGCTATATCCACCTAACACTATGCTGCTAAACACCAGCTATATTTCTAAGCATCAAAGTTTTTTCCATGATACAAACTACCACCATTGAAACAAATCTCCGAATGTGCCATGTTACTATGAATCTTTACCATTAAACTCTTCTCTTTGGTCGTGTCGCTCAACTTTCGGCTTTATGATATGACTTTTTCCTTTTCACTTCTTCGAGTAGAAGTTGCTTTGTTAAATGGTTGACCTTGAAAAACTGAACAAAGGCCAAACTTTATTTAATTTGGCGTCTCCCTAGAGTCAATAAAATAGTCTGTTCATCGAATAACCACTACTCATTCTGGAAACTCATTTACGGCTTCAAGATTGGACTATTTGAAAGGCTGATAATTAAATACTATTATTTTTTTCTCAGAGGGCAAGGTAACGAATCCTGCAATCTGATTGGTTCTAATCGCGGTCCATATTTTCCTATCTCTGCCCACGGCCACAGTAAAGCTTTCGCGAGTAGCCGAGTACATCCCTACCTTCGCTGCCATTTTTCATAAATTTATCTAGTTTTTCCAGCTGGGCAGTATTCTTTAAGCAAAAACGTCGGTTACTACCTCAAGCCGATAAATAACTTATGAATCCTCTCTTTTCTCTCTCTCAAATCACTTTGGTTGACAGTAAAATCTTGGTTTCGAAATGAATTTGTATAATCATAGGTGTCACTAAATTGGTAGACAAGCGGTCTAAAAACCGTCTGTAATTAATCTTAGTCCTTCACACTGAAAAAGTACCTAGAAAGTTAAAACGTGAGGTATTTGGTTGCATTTGAATTAGTCGATGGAACTTATATCCATTTGATATCTGAGTTCTCTTAAACAATTTGTTTGTAGTGAAAGAGCGAGCGAAGTTTCAGTTGTACTACAAAGACGCTTTCAGTGAGTCTTTCCAGGTCCGTTCAGTTTGGGCAATTGTACCGTTAATTGCACAACACAAACTGAAGGAATTCTAAGAGGAAAAGCCGCATTTAATTCTCTTATGTCTTGTAGAAGTGTTTCATTCGAATTTAGTTTTTGGGAAGGAAAAACCAGATTTACACACGCCAATGCAGTAAACAAACGTGCAAACTCTCACAACTTCAAAATAAAAAAATTTGAATTTCTTTACAATTACTTTCCTTACCATTCACTTACTGAACAGAGGTAAATCTTCGTACATCAATTAACCGTCGACGAGAGTGAATAATACTTTCCGTAAGATCATTGACTATTTTTTAAGGAAATATTGTCATGGCAGTCCTCGCAAAAGTAGTTTCGCTTTTTTTTCGAAAAGTGTACTGGCGCCTTTTTTTTTTTTTTCTGGCACGCTCTAATTGACAGGTGCCAGATTGTGACAGATACTTGTGAAAATAATGTTTCAAAGTTTGTTGGAGGCCTTTTGAATCAACTTTATCATTTGGCAGATAAAAGTGTTTCGGTGAAGCCTCTCTCTTAAATTTGCTTTACCTCGAATTTAAGTACCATCTATCAGGGACCGCGCAGAGGGAGGGGCTAGGGGGGCTTAACCCCCCCACTTTTTCGCAAAAATAAAAATAAAAATAAATTAAACAAAAAATAATTTAACAAAAATAACGGAACCAATAATAGCCTCCCTACTCAAAAACATGCTGTGCGGTTCCTGTTTACTTGCTCAAAAATTCTTCAGTTTATGTAGGATCTTGCCGTGATGGAAGATGGCAGTTTATGGAAGGTCTTACCGTAATCCCTTAATCATTCGGGTTCTTTTGGAAATAATTTCGTTAATTTTAAGGAGTAGAAAATAAAAATGTTATTCACCAGCCTAGGTCGGTCTGTATAGGGAAAATTGTGCCCTCTGTCTTGAGTACCGCCCGAAGCCGTAGGTCGTAGTCTAATAGGCTGTTATTGGAAGAGGAGAGAGTTTTTCCGCAATCTCGTCTTCAAAAAGGTGACAAAAATTGAAGTTAACAGTTCGGTTAACAACACCTTTCTACTCTTGATCTGAAACCTGTTTTTACGTGTTACATGTCTGTGGAGGAATTACTAATTTACTGGCTTCATGAAACACGCTTTGCCCACTTAAGTTGTCACTATTTTCGGGTGGTATACCCTGTTTTAACAGTTCTCCAAGTAGAAGTTGGCACTCTACTCAGAAAATATGACTGCCACCAGAAACGCAGTTGATTGAAATCGAGTGGACACAACCTAGGTGGCTTACAGAAATGCAAATTTTTGGTGTGACGAGAACATGAACATTTGAGCCTACTGAGAAAACCTGCTGTTCACGCACGACGGACATTTCTAGAGTATGAGAATTGACGATAATAATATTGCTAAGGCTTACTTAGTTTGACCCTTGTAAGGAAGATCTTCACATTCACATTGATAAAATAATTTTGTATATATATCAGTGAAATAGCTCTAGCCACGGAGACCTGCGTTTTGAATTGTCAAACACTTAAGGTTGAAATACAGACAAGGGAAAACAATGTAATAAAGTGATGTTTAAATTAGAGGCAGGGGCGCAAGTTAAAAAGGAAAAAAGTTTCTTCATCACGGCATGTACAGTCTAATGCTTCACCATCGTCAAAATAATTTTCCTTATAAATTAAAACTAAAAATAATAATTGTGGAATGGAAGAAAAATCTAGAGTGAATTAATGACAAAAATATTGTCATATTTTTTTTTCTCACTTCGTGCGCGAGCGGAATTCTAGTAATCGTGCGACCTGATTGTTTTCGAGAGTGGGCAGGCTCGCATCCGAGATCTCGGGGCACATGCAATTTTTCCCAATATGAACCTCCCGTTGGGTGAATACTATACATTTATTTTAACAAATGTTCTTGCCTCTGATGGAACGGAATTGGGATGAAGTTGCTCTTTTTTAATTTATTGAAGCAATGACAAAAACTGTCAAGGTCTGTGCCTATCTGCATGTCTAAGTAGCATGAGGTGACTTACTGTTAATGAAAAGATGTTACGACTCAGAGAGAACTCTGGATGCAGTTATTAGGGTAACTTTCGAATGAATTGGCCTCTACACGGCTCAGACAAAATAACCATAATGAATAGGAACCCTCCAAGTGGCCTTGAGCGATTGTGAGTACTGGTACCACGATGCTCGTAGCCTTCAGGAAGAGACGATATAATATTATTTGGAACCACCACAATAGTCAGAGTTTAACAAACAGTTGCGAACTGATACACAGATTATTTTAGTTTTTACTTAAATTTGCGAGATAATTGGTTGAGAGTACAAAAAATTGATGCCTCTACTTTCTCTTTAGATACTTTTAGGCACCATCCTGAAATTTTTAAAAGCATTTTGGCTCAATAACCATCAGCTTTAAGTTTTCATTGTGGAACACTGATTAAATCTTCATCTACTACTTTCCCCCGGGACCTGCACCTTCCTTTGGTCTTGATATTCTGTGAATATGGATCAAGTTTGAAGCTATCATTTAGAACTGATGGCAGTGTAAGAACGAATATATTTGCCCAATTATAGGGGGTTTTCGACTGCCTAAAGGAGAAATTATTGTTTTGCAGCACCTGCAATAGCACTTGCTCCTAAATATAGCAGAAGTCGGTCAATTTGTAAGTTTTGTTAAAACAAGTGTTGAAAACAATAATATGCCAAGATGTTTCAACTTAAAAATCACAGCTTTCACAAACCAGACTACAACATTGGATTGACAAACAACTCTTCACTTGACAAGGCCACTTCCGCTCACGTTTCGGAAACGCCAATCATTGTATGTCATCCACCATGTTCTCTTTAAGAACTGTTCACACATGGAAGACCACGCTACGATAAATGGTAAAAAAAATGGAAAATCATTTGAGCTGTGGTGTGTTCTCGAGCAATAGACAAGAAACGATGAAGACGTGGCCTTTATTGAGAATTTAATTTACTACACTTAAGTGGACTTTGGAAATAAATCAGTAGGTATTTTTCGAGAAAGCTGGTGGAAGTTATTCTGTTTTTACAGGTGACTTCTTTCAGTCTCACGAGTCATTGTCTATCTCCCCATGAGGGGTTCGTTGCCTCACCCTGTTTGAGCACCTTGGTAAACAGAAACTCCAAAACAATCCAATATGATTTGTTTTGAATTGGTTATTTTGTGGCATTAAGAAGGCAGTGAAGAAAGGGCTTAAACACGGAGATACAGAAAGGCTCCTTCTTTAGGGGTTATCGTGGCAATTTGTGGAAATGATTGGCAATAAACTACTCACGCACTATGCATGGCGCCTCGATAGTCTTAAAGTACGTTACCAGAAAACAATTAAACTTTAAAAGTATGGTAAACACGATTTATGGCATTTCAAGCTCCCGCGTGCAATTTTTCCAAAGCCCCATATTGCTGTAAAAGAAATGCTATAAATAGAAACACGCCCACAAAAAATTTGAATTGGTAAATCTGAATATTCGAAATTATCGTTCTCGTGGTTTTGTCTCGCATGGAAATTTACGCGAAAGCTGAAAGGTTGGCCACCCGGAAAGCTAATAAAATTCTCATAATTGCTTCGCAGATATGATTGGTGCGCTCACCATCACAAAGTGTCCGTAAATAAACAGGCCGCGGGCTTTCCTTTCAGTGGTTGATCACGTGACAACATCCATTCACCGAAAAATAGCCACCTGCCTCTTCTACTCCGCTGAGGCCAAAAATCTGTCAAGAACTTGTAAGCCTATGTCAAAAGCGCTCTTGAAGAAAACGGCATTGTTTTATCTGAGTAGACGGATTGAATCAATGCAGCTTTGCTTGAAAATCTCCTCTATTTCCTCTTTCACCTTCGCTATCTACATACGCAATATTGCTTAGCTGATTAACAAATCTATGGAAATGTCGATAATTGCTTTTACACTAAAAATGATCGCTGGCTCATTACCTATACGTTATAAATGCGAAATGAGTTTTAATTCGTCACCTACCCACAGAAATTTTCACTTAAAATCCCCGACTAAGAAATTAGCACTGGCGAAGACTAATCAGCACAGTACAACCAATTTAAAAAAAAAAACCCTCGATTTATTTAAGGGTAACACTGCTGGCTATGGCTTATTCATTTGGAACTGTTTTTTTCGCTTGCACGAATCCTAATGTTCTCATCCAAAACCACAAATCGTACAATTGCACGTACAACACAAAGAGTTTTCATTGATAAATAAATCTCTCTTTATTTTCTCCCAATGACTTGAGATAGAACTTCCTTTGATACTGATTTAGTAAAATTGGAAATCTATAAAAGGTGTACTGCCCACGGTGTTACTGAATTCCCATTTATCTCTCATGCTTCTTTCCTCAACAGAAGCATCTGTTGTATAAAAAAATTACTAAATATACAGTTGTGTGAAGCTGACGTCTAAATATCGTTTATTTGAGCGTCGCGGTTTCTGTTTGTAATCGGATGTTAAATTTGAATATATGTTTGTTCCGCAGAGGCCACGCCAACCAGTCATTAAACGGCGGATTTATTCAGTTCATTTCCAAAATGGGAAAGAAAATTATACGTGCTATGAATAACACACAGTACTGATATGGTGATAAAAAAGCCTTCAAGATATAAAATTCGCATTTCCCGATTTGGTCCCTCCCTAATGTTTGTTATTGTGTGATAACTCCGCGTTATTTTCATACGTGATATTATTTTTGTTCGATGGCCTTGTCGTTTGCATTTCTTTCATTAATGAGCGTGTGCTGTTTTCCAACACGCAAAGCTCACTCGTTCAAGTTTAATGCTAAAATTGGCCTGAAATATACCTCGTCCAAGATAGATTTATCGCTTCCATTCAGAGGAATAAGAGCATCTCTGGAGAGTTGCATCTTTTCAAAGTCAAGCCTCGGGCGACGTCTCTTGTTTTCATTAGTATTTTCGCTTCCTTCCAAGGTTCGCTTGAGAGGACCAGAGTCTCTCGTTGTTCGATTAGTTTTCCTACTAACAGGATGCGGGGTCTTATTTTTACAAAGAACATGAGGTAACTCTTTATTCGTGGTAGAGCCATTTACTAGAAGTTCACTTATTTCGTCGTCGGAAGATTCAGCGAAGTCTGCGGTGTCTGATTCTTCATGCCTGTTTGCTTGATTTGCATATTTATTAACTGATAAAGTTAGGTGCCCTGGCGATGTATGAAGACTGGTTGAATGAATTTCAGCTAATGGCTTTACAGATCCGCGAGTTTCCTCCGAATTCTTCTCGCTCTCCTTCTCTCTTTTTAAACCAGGTAGACAAGCTTGTGAATGAATTGCTTCCTTGCGCTTGGCCACCAAAGCGCTGGGATGGCTTCGGCTTCGCTTCGGGTTATTGGGAGCCTTTCCGGCAAAGTCTAAATTGTAGGGCTCCGACCAAGAGTAGAAGAACGGTGGCTTTATATTTCGATTCTCGTCGAGGCCATGTCGACTCAGCTGAAAGGCCAGCGTGTCAATACAAGGCAAACTGCTCGTTAAGGCCATTTGGAAGGAACGATGGTTGGCACCTCCTCCGTGTCCTAGTAAATCTTACTCACGCGAGCTGGTGTAGCTGACTGATTTGGCGCGGAGCGCAGAGTGCGGAGTGCTAGCCCGGTAACTAGTCTAGTCCGATTCACACAACACACTTGCCATCGGGCCACCTGAAAACACAAAGTTCAACTATTAGTGGAGAAATATGATTGGCTAAGGCCAATCAATTGCACCCGTTGAGCCATTATCTTTGACAACAAAGCAGCAGGTTCACTTGGAAGTGATCATCATTCATGAAATTCTACACGAGAAATTACTCACTACTTAGCTTTTCAGACAAATTGGCCTTTATCATGGACCGGGTTTTTCAGTAAGTTTTTCACTTGATTTAACTTCTTTTTTTTTTAGACAATTTTACTTTGCGAAAGAAATTGCGTGTCTGACAGCTATTGAGTACTAGATTAAAGCCTTATGTCACCCAAGTAAATGAATTCGACAGAAACTAAAACAACGAGGGCCTTCAAATTAAATTAACATTTGTCAGTCGAAGGCTTGAATATTGCATGCTGCAATAACCGCAATCGATTTCGAATAAAATAGCGAGGAAAAAGAAAGGATAAATGCAGAGCCCTGAGTATGAGCCAGAAACAGTCTTACGATCTATTTAATAAGCCTCGTCTTTCCTGTCTACGTACAACACCAAAAATATTTCATGATGATGAGAATTACTAAAAGGAACAGTTAGAGGTGCGGATTAGGATTGACTTGATAAATGCAGGTTTTTATTTCATTTCCTCCAGCACAGTCCGAAAGGCTTGCCTTTTTCGGAATTATTAAGAATTATTAAGCGATCGTGGGGAAGGTTCGAGTAACGGAGTTTGCTTTGTAATCGTCGTGTAAATTTTTTTTCCCTTTAAAGGGAAGGCCACCGGGTCTTTTGTCTTAGATTTCGTAAACAAACTTCCAAAATATTTAAAAGCACATTGTGAGATCCTGCAGGGCGGGCTGATATCAGAATGCCTGTTATGCAAATTTCTTGTGAGTTGAGCTGAAATCATTTTCATAGTAATTTTGCACCACGTGTTAAGGCGAACATTTAGAAACTGAGCTAGCGGCGAGTAAAATGAATCAGATTATGTGTCACGGCGAGTTTTCCCTGAGGTTGGAAACGCATTGAATTTATTTCGAAGCGATGTGAATCGTCGAATTTTCTACGACGTTTTTGGTAGCGAAGACTAGCTTCACTGACCCACATGGTATATTGAGTGTCTTCTTTAATCGTAATTTGAGAAGTGCAGATGCTGTTCTTTTGTGAGCTTTTAGGTTCGCAAACAGCTAAGGATCGTATGTCTTGTCACTTTTTTCTCTCTTTTTTTTTCCATTTCATTAATTTTTAAACCTCAATTTTGTGTAGCTATCACTAATGATTTGTTGCATTTAAACTGTACGGAAAGGTCGTCGATTCCGCTGGATATGCGAATATACCCTTGACTAACAACATTAAATTATCGTCCCAGTGAAAAGGCCGCGTTAGCTGGCTGCTGATCTTACTTCCATGGGATGACTGTACTTTTTGCAAATATCCTGTAATGTTAGAACTGTCCACTTGAAAAGTTAGTGAATGGCACAATATTTTCCCTCGGCACATCTTACTTTTCATATTTAACGTCTACTCTGTGCTAATTGCTTTTATGTTGATAGATGGGCAAGATAAAATACACGTGGTGAAAGAACAAAAAAAAATGTTCAAAAGTACACAGAGTTGACATGCATGGAAAGAATTCTGTTATCGAAGCTGACGTTCAGTTGACCCAAGAGGAAAAGCTTAAAGAGCAACTTGTTGTCCGAAAAACCAGGGCGTATTCTGTGAATACCAATTACAGTGACAACTTCATGGTCACCTGTTCGCGACATAATAGATCTTATATTCATAATTGAGCTTATTATTCTCTTCAAACGGTTGAACCCTTTTTAGCACAGATAGTTTTCGCGATGCTGTGTTTGGGGCCAGGGAAGTCATATGCGATGATTTTACGGGGTCAAAACCATTCAAAATTGCTCAAAAACAGTTGTGCAAACAAAACCCATTAAATTGAGATATATAAATTTCTCAGCAAGTCTCCCGATCCATACTTTCCTAAGTTGACGTGCAAAATGGATGATTACTTTGTATATCATGGCAAGGAAGACTCCAAACGGAAAGTTGTACCTATAAATCATTTTATATATTGGGTAGTTAAGTGTTTCACTGTAGTCTGACCGCGCTGGAGAATTATTAGGAGGCGCCCTGACTTAACATTGGCGTTCAAATCTGGGGTCATTTGTTTTGCGATGATATTAATAATTTCAATTTAGCATGTAGGGTCCATTGTAGAAATACAAATTAGAACCTCCTTTCTAATAGAGGTGACAAAAGTACACATGAACAATAAGCAATGAGTCGATCCCAGCTCGTTAAGGTGTTGTAAAAGACCACGATGAAGATTCATGCTTGATTTCAAGTGCTAAGTTCTCGGCTCGTTGAAAAAAAGGAAAAAAAAGCGGAAAGATCGCTTGCGATGCACTAGAAAAAAGTTAATATAATTCTACTTTAACACCAAGGAGCCATTCTTTGTTGTAACCACAACAATTACTTTACACTTGTCATTAACAATTCACGAACGTTTTGTTTTGAAATGCAAATAGATCGAGTTAATTTCAATGAGCCAATTTTTATCGACTGCAGCTGCCATTTCTTATCGCAAGAAACATTTTAATTACAAAACAAATGAGGGCAAAGCTTCTCGAAGTGCGAACCCCAATACATTACGTTGCTTGATTGATCCGTAAAAATGGACAAATATCTAACAGTCAGTCGCATAAATATCTTGATATAAAACGAAACAAATACGACCTCTTGTAAGGACTAAAATGCACAGGAGCATAGCCTAGAAATAGCCTTTGGCATTGATGAACGCTATTCACTAATTTAACCAAACGTATCTCAAATTAAGCCCATTGTGAGTAAGAGATCTTCTTGCGCCAACCAGGGGGACTATAAAAACCTTTGAATGGGTACAAGCTGACTAATTGAAGTATCGGCAGAAATGGCATATCATGCCTCGTGATTTCAAATTTATTTGATCGTAAATGATTTGTTTGGTAAGAGTAACCTGTGATTCTGGCCAACGAAGTCCACTGATTTTCGAAGATCATGCAATGAAGTTTTAGAAACCATACATGTGGGATGAATTCTACCTAATATATACATTGTTCAAATGCTTAAGAAGTTTATGAAGCTCCCCAGTAGAACTGAGTAACTTACTGTTTTCAATGAAGCGCTCCCTCTGACGAAATGGCTGAGTACGGAGAGTGAACATTCAAATGAAGCGGCCTACAGCAATTGCTTCTTAACCGTTTTACTCCAAACCTCTTACGTTGTACTTAAATGCATTGTTCTTTGGTTCATTGTGGCTGCCTTCAGCGTTGAATAAAACAACTGGTCGCTTTCCGGACATTCATAGCAGTTGTCATGTCAACAATCAGAATCGTGCGCTTCTTATGCAAATATGACAGCACGAGCTTACTCAGCACGTGTCTGTAGGTCAAAAGGTCTTCATGGCCGAAAGCTTGCTCTTTGCTTCCACTCAACTTGCGCGGAAAAGAATCAATGATTGTATCTTCTCCTGCAGAGACGCCTTCGTATTTTTCAATTTCAAGATTGTCATCGATGAGGCAAACAATCCTGAATCCTGGTGCGCCAGGTGGATAGATTTGTTGTCACACTTTCAAAACAGAGAGATTTGTCGGAACTACAGGAGAATCTTGTTAAGCATACTACAGAAAAAAAGTAGAAACGGTCTGACAAGGAAGGGGAAATCAAAGAAACTTCCTATGGAAGCGAAAATGAATTAGGTTTGAAAATGGAAAAAGGGATAGTCAGTGAACCTATCTTTTCTCCTACTTTACTTCACCGAAAATTGTTAAATTTTGGTTATGAGGAAACATTTTTCTCAGTCGTACACTCGACGAAAGCCGAATAGATTGAAGCCAGTCAACCGTTATGTGAAACACTGATTTCTTTTATCTTCCCTTTTTGGTTTTTAACTTCAATATATGAAAGAGTAAGAGCCTTTTTACACCTTAATTTTTTCTTTTGCTTGTGTTGTTTGTTGTTTTAGTTTTTCTGGTGCTGTTTAGTTCCTCTTTGTAGTTTTTTTAATTCAGAGTTCCTATTTTTTCATCTCTTAATTTTGTTTACTATGAATTATTATAAAGCTGGTTGATCTTTTTTGTCTTTGCTCAGCTCTGTTTGGTTGTTGTCTATTTATTTGTCTTATTTTTGTTTTGTTTTTTTTAATGTGTTACTTTTTTTTGTTCTTTTCTTTCTTTATTTTACTATTAATTATTCAAGTTATTTTACCAGGCAACTTATCATGCAGTATGAAAATCTCATGAAACAATTTCAAAACTGACGTTTGTAGGAAATTGTTGGGAGAGCTCAAATTTAAGTACAGCTTGAATCTTCCACAAAAGGTGGGCTAATTGAGTTTTTGAATCAAAACTGAAAATTTAGCAAGAAAAATATCTACAATATAGACGCTGGATAATGTACTGCGTAAAATTAACCTACCGCAAGGCAACAATTAATCAAATTTTCATAATTGTTCATTCGATAAGTTTTGGAGAAAAGGAAAAATTGATAACAAAGTGAAGCTTTAAAGAAGGCAAGTGCTTCTAGCCTCATCTTTTTAACAATTCATCATATTCTCTGTGAGCTATTCGTGTGCACAGCCGCTGAATGTGCGACAAGGTAGTATAGCAGGCGCGACTAAATCTACCAATAATACCTCAGAAAATAATTTAGGTCCGTCACTAATCTTTTTCTTCTTTGATGAGCTCAATTAATTCAACTCTTTCACTTCCCAAGATATCGATGGAAATCTTCGTAGCTATCCTTCATCAATTTCTTGAGAAACTACTTCAAAGAATTTGGTGCAAAATTTAAAAAAACCCTAAGCAAAATGAAACGATATCTCATAGTTGATATATTTTCTTCATTCTCATCGCCGAATCGTTTGGCATTGTTATGGCTATTGTAAGCAAAAAGTGTGTATTGGGTGGTCCTGAGACCTAAAAGGTCAACTCGTAGTCATAACTCGTAGCTTTTCCTGTGTTGATATTTGCTGTTGTTTTTAAGGTTACAGCTCTTTTTCAAGCAGATAGTCTTACTTGAGCCGTTCAAAATTGCGGCTTCTTAGCACTCTTCTCTATCTGACAAGAACGATAGACTCCGGAATAGAAGGAGGAGACAAAAAAAAGCATTACCAGGGCCTTCTAAGAGGATGAACAACGTAAGTGAATAACTGAAAATAAATAGCTTTCTTTCATAAATCGTACAAATAGTGTTTCCAAGTAATTTTAAACAACGAGCAAGGCGTAAATAGAAAAGAGTAGTTAAAAAGTATTCGTGTTTCGAAAATGTTGGTCCCAAAACTACTACGGCACATGTTTTACATCTTGATGATTAATTCCAAAAAATTCTCGAAAGTCCTGTATGAATTGGTAAATAACACTTAATATAAATGCACGGTCACGTGACCAAGAAAAAAATTATCAGGAAAGAAAAACAAATTTTTGCTTTTCAGAAAATTCATGCCGCTCCATTTGCGATAGAAAGATCCCTTACAGAAAAGTTCTCGGGTTCTTAATTTGCGAATTAAATAATTGTTCACTGTTATTTTATGGAATGATTGACTATTGCGCTGAACGGCAATATTTTAAATTAAGAAGAGGTTTCTATGCGCTGGTGGAACAGAACCCGTTACGCGTGCCTCCCTAGCATCTACAAGTAACCAGTATTTTTTATGTGTTTATCCACCCCTTGACATCTGTTTACTAAGGCAGGCCTGCATTTTTTCGAATTAAGAGTTGTTTGTCCGAGAGTCACAACCTTCGTCTACCAGTTATCGACTAGAACACTTAAAATTTTTAACTTGATACTAGTAAGGAATTATAATTTTCTGTGGCACGGCCATAGAAATTCACTCAGTCAAAACCACAGCTGCTAAAATCAGAAGAAGTTGTACTTACTCTATGATAATCACAGTCTCTGACTTGCCGTGTATGCTTGCCTTGTTATCACCAAAGTATGAGATTTTCTTTCTAACGGCGCCGAGCATCTCAAAAACATTGAGGGCAACCTGTTTCACCCCGTAGTATTTATTATGTTTTAGCACACTAGAAATTCATTTATTTGTGAATGGCAAGCTGCCATATTTTCAAAAATTGATTGATTTGTTTTAAGTTAAAAAGATAATTTTCGACTCTCGCACGTGATTGGATGAAAATAAAATAAATTTCATAAAGACGAAATATGTTTTTTTCATTTTCCGGCAAATTCGTCATTCACCAACGAAAAGTGAACTTTACTCCTTGATAGCGTGCATATTTTGGTATCAAATAAGACGAGTTTGCTTATTAAGATAAATACTGACTGAACGATTCGCCAACTGTTGTAAACAAACATGCGGGGTATGGAACATAATTATTATTCCACCCACGCAATTTTTTCGCTGCGATGACTGAAAAATACGATGAGAAGAGATTAACGGTACCTTATGAATGGAGGATTAAATATTTGCTGCAAGACAGTTTCAATGGACTTCCTGAAAAAAAAATTCAGTTTTGTTTCGCTTTGTTTTTTTTAAAAACGCGCTTTTCCCCACTCTTTATTGTTTGCGAAATTCTTTGTAACTGGCTTGCTTTGAGGAAAGGAGTAAAACAGATTTGACATATTTCAAGTTACGCACAGCAATTTTCAGGCGTCGTGGTGCACGAAATGATCTGTAATGATTGACAGATTGTGAATTTCGGCTGACTAAAGGCGCGGCTGTTTGAGGAAATTTTCATACGAAGTTGGAGTATACTTTAGCGATTAGAAAAGGGAAGGTTTATCTAAGGATAGAGCTCATTATTATATAAAAAACGAATTTTTTTCAGTTTTTTTTTTATGTCAAACATAGAAAGAAAAAATTTAAGTTTCCAGAGACAAGACGATGTCGCGGCTAGGAACTGAAACTTCACGACGAGCATCTTATTATCGGTAGCTTATTAATGTATGAACGATGTTCTACCGGCTTTTTGAGGGCTCTTCGCTTAGTGTACGTTGTCTTGGTGGAACTAGCTGCTTTTAAATTAAAAATTGTTCTGATTTCATTTCCAATTTCAAGAAATAAAATTAAACTTTGGCGAGATAAAATATCTTTTTTCAACTCACCGTGTTTCTTGGATGTTTGTGACTCGCATAGATCTACGCCGGAGAGAATCTTCTCGTTGTGCGTGCTTCACGGTGGTGTGCGCCTTTGAATTTGATGACAGGTGTGTTGTAAATATATAGTTTCGTGACATTACGGCAAAAACTTACGATAGAATATCATTAACATTGACCGAGAGAGAGGGTTAAATAAACAATGAATTCTGCGAACAAGCCAGCTTCTGAATAGTAATTACATCTGTTATGCAAGATAACTGTGTCATCGTGACGAAAGTGGAATTCAAATTTTTAAGAAACGGTTGCCATGCATTGAATAAAATAATATACTATCCAAATTTGTTGAAGAAAAAGTCTCCTTGATTTCAAAACTAAAACCCTTGAGATGAAACGAGACCTAAAGTACGCGTTCTTTTTAAAAAGAGTTCTATCGTTATATTTAAACTATTCATCAGAATGTCATGAACAAATGCGATAAGAACACATCGAAGAGGGATCTTCAAATATGAAATATATCTTGAAATACAGCCACAGGCCATTGTGAAGCAACTCGATTTATAATCTCGAACAAGCACATGGAAACCTTTTACTAAGAGTTTTTTTTTTAACATATTCCTCGTTTTTTCGATTCTTCATTTTTCTATTACCATATCTCCGTCAAAATTTTATAAGCGCTGTCACCTATTTTCTCCATGCTAATGAAAATATTTATCCCATAGCGCCGAAACTTGACGGCAACTTTACAACGATCAATATTTGCGAACGAGAACATTGTTTTTACACTCTGAGTAATTCGTGCGTCTTTTTTCGTTTAGATAACAAATGAATCTTCGGGAGGTTGAGCTGTGTCAAACACTAAAATTTCCGCAAATGGTAATGTGGTCACGTCCCTCCCAATAGAACTTGCATGAGTGGCGTGCTACTTTCCCGCCAAAATCCGTGACGGGAACATTCGTCTCCACGGAAACAAAAGTCTGGGATAGCTGTCTTTTCTTTGATGGGGTTTTATGTTTAAATACTGTGGTTATTTGGAACTCAAATTTGAGAGATCGTTTGCGACTGCATAAAGACCTTGTTTTTTATTTTTTCTTAAAAAGTCAACCTTGAGGTTTTTAACGTTTGTACTTCTCAATATAACAGCTTTTGCTATTTATGTTGAAAACAAAAAGACGCAAACTCCTTAAATGAGAAGCGGTTTTTTTTATTTCACCACGAATAAAAAGGAGATAAACTCGATTCCATTATAAAACAGTGTTGAATCATGTTTTCGTTTACGAAACTGAGTAACGATTCGTGCATCTTCTTACGATAGTAGTCTCGTCAATGAACGGACGTCGACACTGCAACCAAAAAGGTTGTATTCAATTCTGGGTCCATTGACTGATCGATTCGATGACTCGGTGATTGCCTAAATTAGGGCCTGGCCCTGTGGAATTGCAAACTTGAAAAATGAGACCGTAATTCAGAGATCGCTGAATGATATTGATGTGTTTCATTAGTCATTTTTGACCGTAGCGCTTTACTCTTCTGAAGCAAACGACAGCATTTCCAGGAATGAATATTCAAAGTTTCAATTAAGAGCCTTTGACCGCAAAACAAGTAACTGAAGAAGATTTGTAACAACGGGCGTCTTTTAGCTGCATACATGACTACCAAAACATATTTTGTACAATACATTCACAATGAAATTTTAACAACACTGGTTCAAACTTTATCCATGTTTCGTGTCCTTTTCCTTAAGACCTTTTTAATAATTTAATTCAAATTTACATCAATGTCAAGAAAACTAGCTCCCGTACCGACGTACATGTGCTTGCTGGAACTCCTTCATGCTTCAAAATGTCGTGAACTTAGTCTTTTTTCGCATTATAACCTTGGGTTGAAAGCACCTGTATTCCCCTTTATTTCGAACACGCATTACCTCAATATTTACCATTTCCTACATCATTGCGTGCGCGGGAAATAATAATAACAAAAAAAATTCAGGGGAAAAGACCATGCAAACTGGCCTTCGATTATTTTTACTTTTCATTGTAGGGGGTCGAAAAGGGAATTCTAATTAAACCTAAAGATACATAAAAAAAGCTGCCCGCGGTCAGGATGTCTTCATCTTCGATAACATGCACGGCGTTCTCCCCTCGATTGATACAATTAATGTTACGTTTGTCATTGAAGATCATTATCGCAACAAAATGGCGTGCGGATATTTATCAACTAATCAGGCCAGCCTTTACTCAGCGTCTGTAAATCAAAACGTGATCGTACAATGAACTCTGTGTGTGGCCATCAAAACGTCTCACTTCAAAACTTAGGGTTTCTCATTAACAAATGTAAGTGAATTTCCAAAGTTACCCTTGAGCTAAAGTCGCCCTTATGTCGAAGAGAACTTTGTCATTCTTCACTTCACCGAAAAGCGTTCGATTACTTTATGAACACATTACTATCAATGAAATTAAGGACAACCCAAAATCAATTTTGCCCAATTTTGTCGCAGAAGGATAGACCTACAAAGTAAGAGTCACTTTGCATGGAGTACATTCTTTTTCGATGATAAGAACCCGCAATCTCTCATTCCCGAAAAGATAATAACACTCTTTCTGGAAGTACACTAATGAAAACAAAAATGACAGTCACGTTCAGTTTTCTCCTCAAGGCCTTAAGCAAAATTTTTCAAGGAGGCCTTCAGGAGAGAAAATTCTAAAAGACGCTCTTATACCTGCATAAAGCTTTTTCCTGTTAGTATTATCTGATCATGGAAGTATCAGTAGCGTTTTTACAATGGTAGGAGGTAACCAAGGAAACTTTTTTTGTCAATAATTCATCATGTAAATGATGATCTCTCAAACAGGGTACTGCCGGATGAAGATGAGAATTTAAAATTTTTTTTTAAAGCTTTTCATATCATTTAACTTCCCATGAGATTGAAGCATAATTCTGCTAATGTTAAGTTACTCCCGCAAAATCCACAAATATCAAATGTAAATTCGCTTCAAGTTGATAATTCATGAGTAAGCCATTAAACATTTCGACGTTTTGACGGAAGAATTTTTGACCATTAACAGTTGCACGCAAGCTGAAGTTGTTTTGAATTGACCTGTGCCATGTTATTTCGAATTATTTCGAGTGTCGTAAAGAATTGCGATTATGAAATAATTGGTGTCCTTGTTCTCACTAGGTTCCGATTTCATAGTTTTCAAAATGCGCCGTTCCAATTTTTTATGCCTTCATTTCAAGTGAAGGGTTGTCATCCTATCGATCTCCTTTTAAAACCTTCCCTAATTAAACTTACTCCTAAATCAAAAAATCGTGTGCAGCGCACGAGATTATTCGGGTCGTTAGCTTGAAAAGTTGTGTATACTTTTATGTCTTTCACATCACTCTCTCCCTCTTAATCCAGCTCTCTTAAGGCGACCCATCCAGAAAGTTATCAGGTACTGATGGACACTAGCAATCGCAGATAAATATTCAGACATATTCTATGAAAATCAGGCACGAACATTTTGCATCGTACATCATCTAGAAAGAGTGAAATTCTGTATTGAAAAGGAAGAAGAAGAAGAAGAAGAAGAAGAAGAAGAAGAAGAAAAAGAAAAATAAAGAAAAAGGAAGAGGAGAAAATGAAGGAACGAACATGAAGAGGAAGAGGAGAATAATTTCTATCCTACACGAGGAAGAGTTCACCACTCAAAGCTCTGGACACAAGATAAAAGTTCTCGACATCCAAGGCGATTTGAAGGTTACAAAGCACAGAAAGGTAAATGAAGTGACAAGTGCTTTTTGTTTTAAGGAATCTTTCTCGAAGTTGGGTGGTTGGATGCTTAACATGGAGGAGAAAGGGGGAGGGGAGGGGAAATTTCAAAATTTTCTCTCTCTCTCTCAGACATCTCTTTGACATTTTCAAAACACATTTCAAGATACCCTCTGACTGCGATCGTAAGATTTATTCGTCGAGATAATACGCTTAGTACCTCTAGATTCCGCAATCTGGTCCTCTGTATGAGTAGAAAGGGATTTTTTGCCGCATGGTTTTACATTGCCCCGTACCACATTTTAATCAGACTAGGTTGATTAGCCAGTGCAGCAGCCTGATTTTTTTCAATTCGGCCTCGTTCAAAATCGACGGACCTTCGGCTTCATCAGGATAATGCTTTTTAAAAAATAATCCTTGACTTGCCTTTGGACTCACCTCTATCCAGTTTGCACTTCGTTAAAACCCCTCAATTAAAAGCAATTCACTTTGCGTTCCGTCGCAAAGCCACCATGGAATTAAACGGCGAACTTCCAAGAACATAATGAATGATTTGTGTTTATAACAAAGGCTCTTTACTTGGTATAAATTAGTTTTCTAGGTTTGAATATACTCAAGAAAGACAATGTATGCAAGGACCCGCCCTTCTCCACGGGGAAACCATTTCAAGAATAATTAGAAAGCCTGAAACGACTAGTTATATCATAAATATCTAGTTGATAAACATTGCGGTAAACGTCATGCAAAATGTTCCTGTTTACGGCGTGGGTACATTCAACTATTAGCGTATTTGTATGAAAACGTCTTAAGTGTCAGTGGTTGCGTTTACTTGAGCGGTGAACAATCAAATCAACCACTATCTAGAATGCTCGAAAGATAAATTAAGTGACAAATTAACTTTATACTTAACGAATAGCCTCGTAACCTTAAATTACAAAACGTGGTGCTTGATTTACGTGCTGAGATGAAGTTAGAAAACAAATTTTCGAAACAAAGTCCTTTTCCACGCAAAGTTGAACGTCATGACGATAATCGTAACTCCATCGTGCAAACAAAAGCACACAAATAATTCATTTTAGTCTATAAAATCACATCTTGTATGGATTGAAAATAGAATCCGCTCTGTGGCGTATCAGAGGCTTTCCCTGCAAGTTAAATATTCTAAAGCAGGAAGTGCTCTCGACATTATAGAAATGCTCACTCATGCCTCCAGCCCAAGGTAGGTAGCAGTGAGGTGCAGGAAAGAGATTATGACATAAGCACCATTCATGAGTGGTTCCTTTTTGAAACGTTGGAGGCAAGCAGGACACACTGAGGTGTGGAGGAAAGAGCACAGAAGGCCTTCCACTTACATCATCAAGAAGTGATGTGTGGGATTCAGACCACATTTTGAAGGGGAAGTGAATCTTTTCGCTAGACGATTTGCGAGTGTCAATTTGTTTTAAGGATGTCGTAGATGGAACAATTTTCTTATCTGTTTTTCGCTTTCTTTTAGGCTTGCGTCTCTTTGGTTGGTATTTGTATCCAGGGTTGTCCATCTTATGCTGCTCTGTCAGTCTCCGCGCTTCTTCCACGTACGGTTCTTTATCTTCTTCAGACAGTTTACGCCATGCTGCACCAAGCGCTTTGCTCACTTCAGCGTTGTTAATTCCAGGGTGTTCCTTTAGGATGTGGTAGCGCTTCTCTCGACTCCACACCATGAAGCAATTCATGGGTCGTTTCACATGGGCTGAGGTCTCCATTCTTAGTTTTGGGTGCGTGCCTTCGCGAAATCTTACAATGGTTTCGTTCACAAAGCGTTCAAATAACACGGAAACTCTTGCTGTGATTTGAAAAGCCCAATCAATTAGATGCGAACAAAGCCAATTAAAGACATATTAGTGGCAGGTATTCCTCAAAGCACCAAAACAAAGTTCCACCAGAAACCGAAACCCCTTCTGAATTATTCATAATGTCGTGAACACCTTTAGGCGAAAAGGCTACACATAAAGTTACACGCATGCAGAACACCTTCAATGTTACAGACGGGGTAAGTTCAAGATCTACCTTAGAAATTAAATATCATATTTGCACTTTACATTCAAATTGACTTGATGTGGTTGCTGCTATAAAACATCTCCACCTATTTTAAAAAGTTTGCGTGTTGTGCACATCACAGCACGTCACAAACAGAATCAAAACAACATGCATATGTATTCCATTGTTTATATAAGCAAGCGATAAGTTTGATACAGTGACAGCTGGCGATTTTTACGAAGAACAAGAAAGAAAATAAGAAAGAAATAATGACAGACTTGTCAAAACATGTAATTTTGAGAGAACAATGCAAAATGAAGCGGGAGAAAATTTCTTTCAATAAAAACTTGTTAATTTCTTTTTCTTTTTCCTTTAGGAAAACAGGAAAGGTAGATTTAGTAACTTGGAACATCTGTGGCTATGTTTTGAAATATGGGTCTACATTGTTACTGTTTTGAGACTCAGCTTCCACGGGAGTTTACGCCCACTCTCTCCTTGAAGCCAAGACAACATGTTTTCCTCTTCGTTCTGTTTTCATCTCAAACATGGTGAAGTCTTTCTCAGAACCCGATTCCACATGATGAAAAAGGATTTTGAGAGCTACCTTTTTAGGAGAGAGTTCTTCCAAAATCGTGTCATCACATCTTAAGGAATTGATTTTTTTAAATTGACGTTCGAGAAAAGAAAACAGTAGGCAATTCTTTTCCGCGGCCTAAAACGAGATAAAACAACGAGGAATGCTCGGAGAACAATAAATAATTTCAGTGTAAGATTCGGTGTCAACTCTTATCAAGAAATGTCGCGAGCATTGCATAATAAGGAGCGAGAAGTCAACCAAAGCACCTGAAAGAAAGAAAAATTCCTGAGTTTTAATTTGATAAAGAAATACCGACATCAAAGAAAGAAATACTTTTATTCGTAGTTTGATCTCGTTTCACTTCTGGGTATATTTGGCCTGATAAGAAAAACAAAACGGCGTGGAAACTGGATTGGCCAATCCGATAGTGTACACTATGCACGCATACATCTCAGGAAGATGAAATGTTACTATTCCAAAAGTGCTATTCAGCAACAAATAAAAGAGGCAGTTCCAATTCGATATCTTAGGGTGAAAAAGCCATCAATGTTTCAACCGTTGTTAGCCGTGTTCTTAGTGTAATGTAAAACGAAGCCTTTTGAATCACACTGGAAATATTCAAGATATTTATAATCTCTTGCAATATTCTAATTCATATTTTAAATAAAACAGTAGATTGTTTTATGACAAACATGAAAATCACCAACAGTATGGCAAACTAAAATAACAAATTACTAGGACAAAAAAGGTGCTGGTAGAAACACGAATTCTAATTATGCCTGCACAGAGGAACGTAATTAAAACATCTGTCAACTATGATGATTTTAAATTGCATTCTTTTTTAACAAAACCGAAACCTCGCGATGCCGGCATATGTATGAATAAGGTATTCATCGCCTGGCTTTGATTAACGACGACAAGAGACTCTTGGCGTGAAAACTCAATCCTTGCGTTGAGGTTAAACGTAGACTTCAACTCAAAGGCGTCGCTCCTTTCATTTTCTTTCCAATAACACCACTTATTACTTCATTTCAGGTAAGTGAAACAAAGTCTTCTATACGATCTGAACGTACGGCGCCAGAGCCGATTAATTAGCCAAGAGACCTAAGCTGTGCCCGCACGTTTCTGTTTTTTGTTTTTTTTTTTTCCCATCGTGTTGAGTTGACTTTTCGCAGTTAAAAGGTTGGCATCAGGAGGGTCCGTGTCAGTCAACTTTCATCTAATGACTCATGGTGGCACCGGATGAAAATACAGGTATAGGGCTTTAAAGAGTCCTATTTCCTGTGTCCTTTGTCACGTCATAGTTATGAAAGACTTTTTGACTTTGAGCCCTCTTTGCCCTGATTTGAAGTAATGGAACTCATAGAGAATCAGTGTATGATAAACAACAAATAAGCCCATAGCCTTGAAGTGGCTTTGGGTCGAAAAATTGTTAATATTTTGATATCATAAGGTCTAAGTATTTCAGAGTGTTCGTCAACCTATCCACATCATCTTTAGCATGGCGTTCCTGTCCCCTTGTCGCATGGGTGATACCTAGCGCTTCCCAATATTGTGTCCTAGTTCGGCAACTATATGCGCCATTCACACTTGCTGTACACCAGAAATATCTTGGGGTGGTGGGGGGGAAATTGGATTTTTCATTTTGTTCATGGAGTAAGAAATACCTAAGTCAAAAGACAAAGGCCCTGCCTGGGGCTTCTTCCGAGGCGCCACGAGTCTAAGTGACTGCTATACATTTACACTAAAATCACAATCCCCTCTAAAGGAAAAGCTGAATCCAATATTTTCAATCTCCAGTGTATTTTGCATTAGTATCAATGTATGTATTTTGTATTTTTGTATTTTTTATACGCAATTTGCACCTTCCTGCATGCAAGTTTCCATGTTTTGTAACGTAATTCTTTCTTTTGTGCTGTGTTACATTATTTTATTACACTCGGTACTTTTGAGTCTGTACGATAAATAGGTCCCACTTATATTTGTTCCTCGTTTAGGATTTTTAGCCTTTTAATTTTCTAATTTGTATACACCCGTAAAAGGCCGAAGTATTAAATCACCTGAACAGATTAGGGTAAGTCTTCTCTCTTCAACCTACATAGCCTCAACAAAAGCCATGATTTCAGATCGAAAAAGAATCGTGTCTGCCATACTAGCTCATTTTAAAACTAAATTCAGCACTCTATAATTTAGACAACAATGAATAAATAATGCATTTCCGCTGTTTGCGCCCTCTTGTAGGTTACCATTAATTTGTTACGATATGCTTCCTTTTGTGTTGTGTGATATTACCTGACCTAATTCACATTAAACATCAGCGACTTTGTAAGATCTTAGGATTTTTTGCGTTTTTTTAATTTTAACTCGTGAATACCAAATGTTCCACCTGATGAAAAAGTCCCAAACCGGCATTGTGCAACACTAGTTTATTTTCTCTCTCCCTGAACTACAATTATTAGGAATTTTGGAGAAAATACTTGCATACTTTGGATCCTTCTCCGTTCGTTTGGTAGCCGTCTTACACTTTTATACATAATAGTTCACTTTTACACTTTAACAATATCTATGAAAAAAAAAAGCGTCGCAAATTTGAAAATCTAATAAATGCACTAGTTTACTAGTTTGAGCATTCTGACGTGGCTTGGATGATACCAAAAGTGGCTTTGCCTCCATCCTAGCGTCAGTACTGTATTGATGAGGCCCAGAAGGCCGAAACAGTACTGTCTGTAGCACTGTCTGCAGTTAACTATGTTTGTATGTATGCACTTTTTTTTTTAACAACAGCTGGTAAATGGTCTGGATAGAAGCAGATATGTAACGAAAAACTTTCCTTTGTAAATGCATACATCGTTTTGTTACTATTGTTTGTTTTGTCCAATCAGCATTTTGTTACACACTGTAAATTCAACTTTGTACTTTGTTTTATTCAAACTGAAAATGACAGAAGAACTGCCGAAACATGTTTTTAAAAAGTGTCGTTCATTTTCTTAAAAAAGCTGGTAACCTTTTTGTTGTAATTACTCTATCGACATTGCTGATCCTAGCAGTATGCAGGACGCGTGTCATATGAACTTCTTAATAAACCTCGCTCATCGTGGAGTCTCTGTGGCTTAGTGGTAGAGCATCGCAGCGCGGAAACCGAAGGTCTGAGGTTCGATTCCTCGTGGGGACTCAGAATTTTTTCTTTGTCCCACGCTCGTGACAGGACGAAAAACATCTTTCTTTAGTTACAATTGGTTGAAAATATCACCAGATAAGATGAATACAGCATGCCGCAATCCCTTTTCTGAGCGAATAAACACTAACTGAAGTATCTAAGCAACAAAGTCCTTGATCTGCATGATTCGTCCGTGGAAGATTGCACGCATGTTACAAAGAGGAAGTTGGTTTTTTATTCATAAAAGTTGCGTGTAGGAACGGAAGTTACTTAAGCTTTAAACGCACAATTTTGTCTGTTTGATTTTTCAAATCAGAAATGATGACCTCAGGCTCCATTACGGTTGTTATCACTTTCAATTCGAGACCAAGTGTCTCCATAATTTATGTGGTAGTTTTGAAAGGAGACACTGATAATTTTTTGGCAAAGCTCGAAAAGCAATTCAAAATTTCTCCAGATACAATCATTTCAACTTGAACTTTCAAGAGTGCGAGTCACGTTCTTTTAAGTCATGTAGATGAATATTAATTACAGGCTTATCACAGACTTAAAATATGGGAATGATTTCAGAGGGCTGAACGGTGGCTTACACTCAATACATTCAGTCACCTTAAAGATCAGGTAAGTAGAACGAATTTTCAAACATTTTTAAAAATTTTAAAATTCTTTTTCTCCGTGTATTTGCATGAGAGAGACTAAATCCATTGGGGGTGAGCTTTAACAACGGAAAAGCTGGCACTAAATAGATATATACACCCCTTTTCAAAAACGTTGCAATTTGAAAAATTATATGAAATATCTACACCATTTGTTTCCTCATCAAAAAGTCTCTTTTTGACGAGAAAACAAAAGTTATACACGCATGAATTTTATTCATTGACGATCGTCTGAAGTATTTATTAGTGGCAACGTTACAAAGTCATGCGGAGAGCAGTAAATGAGACTGAGAACTAACATAACTCTCTCGCGTGGCTACCTTTTTCAATGTGTTAGACATCCTGCAGCGTTTTTCATGTTTTCAATTATCACACC